GTTTTATTTCAATGTCTTGTTCCACGTATAAGAATGAGTTGTCAATAGAATAATATGAAACCTGTCGCAAGCAATATCTACTGTTGTTGAAGAACCTTCTCCAAACTCACCTACGTTTCCATAAGAAACAGCAGTTGTATATTCGTAAGTTCCAGGAACTATTTCTGACCTTCTAATGGCATTGTCGCATTCGTTATATACCATTCGGAAACATTTCCGTTCATGGCATCCAAAACTGTTGGCGTTATATTCTGAGCGGCGTACATTTCATATGGGTAAAAATATAGAATAGTTGAATTTATGTGTCATAATAGAACCCACTCGTACCAAGCTTTACTTTCTTCCTGACTGAGTTTTTAACTCTTCTTTTTCCTTCATTGCCACTACTTTCACTAGATGAAGTTACTTCTTCACTACTTTCACTTTGTTCTACTCTTCTTCTTTGGTGTCGCTTTTGGTAACTTGCCCTCTGCTTCAAGTTGTTGCATTTTTGCCTCATGTTCACCTAGTATGTTGTAAATTTTCCATGTCCTTTTTGCCTTTGGGCTCTGGTCGCCCATCTCAGGTAACCAATATCCTAGAAAGATTTTGTTATAGTTTGTATTTGAGTCTTCGCTTATTGTTTGCATGACTCTTTCCTGAGTTTCCGGTTCAAGCTCTTCAAATATAGCTTGTCCATATGGAATATGCTCGTTTCCAAATATATGTTTTTGTAGCCATTCTGGTTTTCTTTCCATGTTACCAATAATATCTTTTGTGAATGGGAAAGCTTTTACCCAATGTTTCAGTCTTGCGTCATTTATTTCTGTAGTTGGTTTTATTTTGTCAAGGAACATGTTTTTCAATACTAACATTTCATTTGGTACTGTCCATTTGAGTTTCTTAAATATTCATCCCTTCTCAGTTCATTGTCTGCAAAGTAAGTTTTTATGACATTTTGTAAACTTTCGTTTGCAAGGTCATGTACAATAGGTTCTCTTCCTTCTCTCTCCCTAACTTTCTTTCTAAACTCTTCACCAAATATACCATCTCTATGGTTCTGTGTAGTTCTTTGAGATAAATGTTCTAGAACGTCAGGTGTTATATTTCCATCAGCCATGTTCATTTCATACTGGTCCAAAATATCTGCATGTTTCATATCTTTCAATGGCATTAAAGCCGCGCTGAAAATACCAGCTATATCTGGTTCACCATTCACTTCCATTGCGTCTACAACTTCTTGGAATTGTGGTTGTAAGTTTATGAACCACCTATCCGGATTAGCTTTATGACCCCATCTCATTGTAGTTCCATAGTCTGCAGAAACAAAAGTAGGTTTGTTTCCATATTGGTTAGGTTCTGAATGAACTTTAAACAATGTTTCATTTCTATATGTTTTGTTGAAATTTAACCTTTTATTTTCACCGAGTTCAGCCAAAGATTGAACGTTATATGGTCGTAAGTAAAAAGGATTGTTGTATTTGCGTACACTTTCTTTCAGTTCTTCCATTCTATGCTGAATATTTTCATCTGATGTTGGAGTCTTTTGTATGTCGGCGAACATTTTTCGATATTCTTCTACTATGTCAGCCGAATTTTTCTTAGACTCTTGGAAAGATTCCATATTCTCCGCATACTCTTGTTGAGGGTCAAGATTTTTCGGCTGTTCCAAATCTTCATCTAGTTCTGTGAAGTTAGTTTCCAAAGGAGGGACTTGTTCGTTTCCTTCTGGCTCTTCTAGCTGTTGTTGCTGAACTATTTCTTCCATGTCTGGTTGTATCTGAACTTCTTCCTGTGGAGTTTCTTGTACCTCATCTGCTGGCATTTCATATATTCCGAGACCGTTTTTAACAAGTTCCCTATTTAAGTCATCCGCATTCATAACCCTTTCTTCTTTCGTTCCGTCTCTATTTTTTACGCGTTTCATGAAGATAGTTGAATTATCATTTATCTCTGACACCAAATATCTCGGAGTAAATTCATCCATGTCATTTGGATGATATGCTATTAAATCATATCCCTTAGCGAGCTTGTATTTTCCAGGTTTGAAATTATATCCCATTTGGTGCTGAACCATAAAGCTAAATAGGTTCGGGTCAGTATTTCCTTCCTTGAACTTTCTAATAGCTTCTTTATATCTGTCACTAAAGTCAAGAGTATCTGGGTAACCATAATTTTCCTTAAGCATTTTTAAGAATTCTTGGTTTCCTTGTTCTCTACTTCTTTTATGTCCTTGCTCTGTTTGTGGTGCAGTGTTTTGAACTGTTGGTTGTGGTGCAGTGTTTTGAACTGTTGGTTGTGGTGCAGTGTTTTGAACTGTTGGTTGTGGTGCTGGATTTTGAACTGTTGGTTGTGGTGCAGTGTTTTGAACTGTTGGTTTTGGTGCATGCCTGTGTCTGTGTCCATGTGACGATGTAAATGTTTTAGGTAGTCCTGGTGCAGGTGCTTCTCTTGGAGGGTTTGGTGGTATATAAGTTCCACCAGCTGGCACATATGTTCCATCTGCAGCATAATGTCCTACCTGACTTTTCGTTCTTAAGAAAGCATTTACTAGGTCTGTTTTGGTCTGTTGTAACTCTTTTTCTTGACTTTCCACAACAGTTGCTCTAACGGCGTCATAGGCACTTTGAACTGCCTGTCTCGTTGCTGCATCTGTTATTTTCGTCATATTTTGTGCTACTTCTCTTAACTCGTTGTCGAAACCTTCAGACTTCAGTTTCTTTCCAGATGAGAAGTCGTTCACTAGTTTCACCTTACTATGAAGAGCTTCGAAGGCGTTCTTAAAGTCAGCATTCATTAAAGCTTCATTTGAACTGTCTTCATCCGCTTGTATTTTTGTCCTTATTGACCCTATAAGTTGGGCTGCTTTGGCGTTGGCTTGGGCATCTAACCAGTCATTATTAGCTTTTATATATTCTGCGCTTTTCATTGCCTTTTGCATGGCTGCGTCGTTATTTTTACTTTCTTGTGCTAAGTTTTCATACTGTACGGTTTGGTTTTGCAACTGTAAAAGTTTTTCTGCCTTTACATTTGCTTCAACTTCTTTTTTATACTCATCGCTATCCATATATGTCTTCAGGGCTTTTTGTTTTATCTCTTCATCTTTCAGTACTTTATATTGAGTAGTATGGTTTTTCAAATTTATAACATCTTGTTCCATTTTTGCTACTTCTGCTGCTTTTTCTGACACTTTTTTCGCATATTCCTCTGTACTTAGTTCTTTCAGTTGTTCTTCTTTCTTCTTTTTCTCTACGTTTAACTCATTGAGTTTCTTTGTGTGTCTGTCATATTCTAGTTTCTTTTCGTTTTCACTTATTTGTTTCTGTATGTCTATGTTTGACTTTTTGACATCTGTTATTTGATTTTTGAGTGAACTCAAATTCATTTGACTTTGAGGGTTATAAGCTGTTCCGTCTGCAGCTCCACCATAGCCTGCCATTTTCGCTAAAAGTGCCGCTCTTAAACCTCCACTCTGTGCACCAATAACTCGGTTTAAAAGCATAGGGTTGCTTGACATTTGTTGCAACATAGTGGGGTCATTCATAATTTGTTGTTGCAACTGTTGTTGTGGTGTCAGTTTTACTATTGGATGTTTCAATGCTCCCTTCCTCTTACGTATATTCTTACGTAGCTTACGTGGCATTTTAAGTGAAGTTAAAAAGCGGTTTTTGACAGATGTTTATATGACACTATTTGTTCAGCACAAAAAACTACTCGGTCAAAGTGTTGTCAGTTTTGTAAAATAACCGTCCTATCTCATTCTATAAGGGGAAAAGGCTTCTCAAAGTTTACTTCCTTGGAACGCCCGTAACTTTTCCTGTAGCGACGATAGACCCTTACTTGTCCGGACAAAGTTATACTAAACATCTTCGGGGCTAGAGGGCACGAAGTGCCTGGAGGCCCCACTACCTTTTTTTTTTTTTTTTTTTTTAACCTATATAAATATATCAATAATCTAAAATGATTATAGTCTGAACTATATTTTACCAGATTATCAAATATAAGAGAAATGAAATAAGGCATAAAAATATCATAGCATAATTATTGGATAAATGCATTAATAAATTATTTATATCATAATGAGAAAAAATCAAAATAAGAAAATGAGCATAATAATAATTTAATTAAAAACAAAAACAATAAATAAAATGTAATTTTCGTTAATCAAAGTCATCAATGTCTTCGTCTTCTGATTCCCATTCGGACTTGAAAACTTGATAATCTCCTCCTGGTACACTCTGAATGAATTTTTTGTATTTGTTCTGTTTTTTAGAACCTTTTGTAACAGTTTTTTGTTTCAATATCATTTTGGAGTAACAATTCTCTTCAAATGATTTGACACAATCTTCTGGAAGTGGGGAAGATGTAATGCTTTTTGTATATCTCCGAGAAAATGCTCTGGATCATTCCATTCTAAGATTGCAACGTTAACTCTAATGTTAATGTTCTTCCAGGCTCTTGATTTGTCCAAATAGCATGCAATTTTGGAGTTAAACGCTTCATTCATGCAGGTAGATCCAATGGAAGAAACTTTGGAAACTATGGGTGTCCATTTGTGAACCCAGTCATAGAGCATGAATTGAAGTTGGATCGAATTGACACCTTTTTGCCATTCAAAGCATTTGTAATTGTGCGGTTCGCAAAAAGAATGATTGCCTACGTAATGGTAGACACAATTCTCCCACATTTTCGTACGTTTGTCAATATTTTCTTCGGCAAAACATGACCAAAGCCACATACTTAGGCTTGCATTCAGACCCCAGAAAGGTCTCTCTATTTTTTCAATCTTCTGAGTCTTGTCGTTGAAAACTTCAACTGTCTTATGAGAAGCTGAGAACTTTGTAAAATCTTTTTGAGATATTTTTTGATACATGACCTGGATCGAATCTTTCAAGATGAGAGACGCCAAATTCTTTAAAGACAGAGACACTTTTGTTATCTCGGTCTTTAATAATCTCTTTAACATCTTTCAAGATATTGTATTTCTTTAATTGCTTCAAGATGATTCGAGTTCCAGCACTTTCCATATTGTTGGAAGCTCCGGAATACTGAGCATGCTGTCTGTTTCCACCAATATGGTTGATGTTCACGCATGCAAGAACTCTTTTTGTGACAGCATCGAGCGCAGTTACTGTACAACTTGGCGAGTTTCGCCTGTGCGTCCATCTTGCATCAATGGATAAGTAACCACTGAAGGACTTTCTCGACAGCATTAGGGAAATACTTTTAAGTCTTCTAATCTTATCGTCACAAAATCTCTGTTGTCTCATGACACCACTCTTCACAGGGGGCTTAGTTCCACAAAGAGAAAGAAAGCGAGCACCTTTTGTATATGGCATTCCGGTCATTATGCAAGCACCAAGCATCTGTCGCGCTGAGAGTCGACGACGTTCGTGGAGTAAAATGTTATGCATTGCCTTTGTTTTCCGTTTTGGGTGAACAATATGGCCCATACAACAACAAAAAAATGAAATCCCGCCAAAAGTGAAAATTGAATAAAAAGTAATAATTAATAAATATATACTATATCATTAGATGAATATTTTGGAATAACATTTTAAAATCGAGGTTTTTCAATGGATAACGGTTCAATCAAAAATTTGACCCCATTTTAGAATCTACATTAAAAATGGAACATTTCTGTCGTTTCAAAATTCCAAAATAACGTTTCTATTCCTCTCAAAAGTAAAAATAAACTTTATTGGGGAAAAAATATTTTTATTTTCCAAAAAAAAAAGAAAACCTTAAATGCAAATCTAATTTTGATGCTTTTGTTTGTGATTTTTTGGATTTCGAAAAAAATTTGAAAATTCAGACAAGTTACCATTAACACTAATACGTTTCAGCGAGTCGGTCCCATCAGAGAAATTTTCATAAATCGGCGATATAATTTATTATTTCAGCAAAATATTCTCAGATCCAACTAGAATAAGGTCAAATTATACAAATTTAGCAAAGGCTAGTTATCCTACCTATTCAATTAACTTTAATTTTAAATAATTCAAGACAATTCTCAAAATTACCTTAATAATCGCGTTCTCTTCGCAAAATGACGATTCATCATTCACTACCAGCATAACTGAGGGCTTGTGCTCACAGAATAATACAGATAATTTACTTATTAATGCAAAATTTAGTACCAAAAGGTAATCATACAAAAAAAGTTTCTTTATTTTGATTGCTGATTTTATTTCTTCTAAAATTTACCAAATCTAAAAAATCTAAAATTGAATGCTATTGAATTTCATGTTTATGTAACATATACTATTTATTATATAAGGAATAAAAATTTTATAGTTTTAATCAAAAATAAAGGTGTACTAAATGCATACAAAACAAGGTATTTTTTACTCATCCAAAATATGTTAACAGTGCTATTTATATAATCAATATCCGAATTTCGAAATCATTTTGATGAAATCTTTATTTTAAAATTGAGTTGACTGTTAAAATCACCCGAGAAGAGGGATTATCTCAATGAAAAGTGCATAAAATAGCAAACGCACAAGATGGCACTATGCAGCTTTATATTGTTATACAGGATGAACATATAAAATGTTTGGAAAACACTTACTTCGTTCTACAAATGTGTATCTCTTTATATCAAAGATTCTTCTCAAATTATTGAGAGACTTCTCTCAAAAAAAGGAAAATTTGATAACTAAAAAAAATTATGGCATAACCTCTCGTTTTGCATATATATATATTTACATGGTCACAGAGCTTATTTTCATTGTCAAAACTTAAAAATTTTTAGTGGACTATACCCTTAAGATCATTGAATTTGATTTTTATATAAAATAGTTATATATTAGAAAATAATATGAGTTTATGTGATATTATTTTTCAGAAGATTTTGTGTTCTTCTTCAAAATTTTATTTTTTTATTAAAAAGAATCTTTACAAAATATACATTTACTTTAATTAATATTTAAAAACGTGCTCTATCAAAAGTTCCAAAAATTCAATATTTTAGCTTTTCTGAGGTGTCACTTTTGATGAATTTCTGTTTACAACATTAAACCTTAAATTTACCTATATTGAGTGTAATTTCACCCCTCAAACATTCTCACTAATAATTTCATAAGCCCGAAACTCGAAATCATTTTTCAAATAGAAGAGTAAATTACAAATTTCCCCTTGTCATTTTTTATTCAATTCTATCAGCCCTGATCGTAATAGAGTTAGGGTGGTGTATATATGGAGGCATTACCTAAAATTAAACTAGGTTCAGATTTTGTGCTCTTTTTCTGGAAAGGTTCGACCTGACCAAATATCTTGTATCGGCACGAACATCTTTTTTTAATAGCAAACAATTTGATGCAATAATAGTTTCGATGCCATGTGTTTAGATAGATTTCTAGGAATTGAGAGCGAACATTAAATAATATAAATGAGAAATGAAAATCTCAGTCTACAATTGAAGAAAATTATTGAAATAAATGCGTTGTAAAAAACTAACTAATCCAAGACATATATTTAAAAACTAATTGATATAAAGATATCTATAAAAATAGCATTTAAATCTAATATAAAAACATATACAAAATAAATAAAAAAATAAACAAAAAAATATAAAAAGAACTAAAGATTATTCCTTTTGTTTCCTTCTTTTGTGTTTGTGTTGGTGTTTAACTTCTTCATCTTGATTCATTGATTTTAATTTCATTTCTTCTTCAGTTTTCTGTTGTTTTTTATGTGTTCTTCTCTTTCTCTTCTTTTTATGTTCCAACTCCATTTTGTTGTCTTTTTCATCAATAGACTCAATTGGAGTCTTAAACACCTTTCCTGCTAAATAAATCAATGTTCCACACACAACAACAACAGCTCCAACAGATGCAAGAACTCCCCAGAAAGTTGCTTTCGTTAAATGTGTTCCCATGTATGAAAAATTCGGATTTACGCTGTCACCAGATGAATCATCTTTTGTTGCAGGAGTATGTTGAGCAATGAGAGGTGTTGGACGTATTATTTCCGTTTTATTTTCTTCTTTCATGTCAAATGCTCCATCATCAATTTCATCTGATTCTGTTTTGTATGAAACTGAAGAATTCAAATCAAATGGATCGGAATCGAAATAAGAATTGAACAGTTTGATGCTCCTCTTGAATCTCTCGAAGTCAGGACACTTGTAATACCCGTAATTCTTGTATCCGTGCTTATCAAAATATGAATAATTTACCCATGTTTTTGTGTCATTTTTTTCATTACAAACTGCGAATTGTTGAGGGTATCTAACATCGAGAGGGAGCTTGAACGTAACGTTATTTTCAGTCAGTTTGTACCTGAGACACTTAAGATTACCAGGGATTGTAGCAAATCCTTTTTCACAAGTATGAGAATATTTATATATCTGGAAATCAAAGATATTGCTATCACCGACATATCCATATCCTAGTGGGTTATAGAACATCCTATTCTTGCAGTAAGTGGTCGATGAATTGCAAGGTGGAACTGGAATATAATTTGTCGCGTTGTTTCCCCATGATTTGTAATCGAAAGAGCACAAATCTTTGGTATCTGTTGGATCATAGATGACATATTGAGAAGGGAAAGACAAATGTGGAGGTCCATAAGAAAATGAAACTAAATCTTTGGAATCTTTAGGAAAAGCTTCAGGATTTCCGAAGATTGTTGGCCTGAGATAATGATAGTCTACATCGTAGTTGCCTGTATCCAATAAAATGGCCATTGTCGCATCTGTAAATCTCAAGAAAGGTTCAGATGAAGATTGAACAAGAACAGAAGTCATAAGATCAGAATAAAACACTCTCTGCTCAAGATGTGAATAAACTTGGGTAGATTCGCCCCCATTTTCTAATTCTATACCGGCAGGACATGTATTTCCATTATCGTCTGTAATATTTTCATATCCGTAATGGCGAACACCGTATGCATGGGCGTGTGGAGTAATTAAAAAAACTCTTTGGATTCGAAGCTTCGTAAATCTGCAAGCGTTTGGATGGTAAGGTGTATATGAGTCTGCTGGATGATAATACTTGTAGAAAGAGTTGAGAAAACCTAATCCATGGATGCATTCGTGTAACATTGCATAGAAGAAGTTTGATGACCTAGCAGTATCATTTTGAACTTCATCTGGTGCTAGAGAAGGGTTTATACATATAACAGCTTCAAGCGGACGCTTTGATGTATCTAAATATTGAGTAACTTGTGTAACCGCGTAAAAATTGTCATTAAATGGTCGTGCAACTATATGGAAAACTAAATTTACGTTCTCATATGTTGTTGGAGGTATCGAATAATATCCTGTTAAATTTCGAGCTTTGATTGTTTGTTCTAGTGGATCTACTGATAATACGCGTTCTAAATACGATTTAACATTGTTGATAGTACCTATGATTCTATTACGAGTCGTTTCATTAAAAATATGTTCTTTTTTGCACGTGACTTTATATTCGCTGCTCGGACCCCATACAACATATTGCCCGATGGAATCGCATCGCATTGTATCTGTATTTGAAGGATTTAATAGATCGTAATCGAAATGAATTCGAATTTTTTGTCGATTTGTTCCTAAAAGCTTCCTTTTAGCCCATTTTTCCTCGGGCACCGGAATTGGCTCATCAGTATTATTGAAAATATCTGTGGCGCAATTCGGGTGCCCAAAGACGATGCAACAGAGAAGCGGGAGGATAATTTTTGAAAAAATTTGTATTGAAAAAATTGTTTAAAAAGGATTATAAATAATAGATATCATGAATGATATCTGCGATTTAAAATTTGAAAGATTCAATAGGTGCTTTGAAAATTGAAAAAGGGCAATCATAGAAAAAAATGTTAAAACAGAAAAAAATATTATATTTATAATTGTATAGTGTTTTAAATAAAATTTTGGTGATTATTATTTGAGAATATGAATCGAATAAAATCGATTATAATACTAATATTAAATATTATATGAATAAAAATTTTCTTGAAATTTTTCTTTGAAATATTTTCAGTTTAAATATTTCATCATAATTGATAATATATAATAATAATTTACATAAAAATTGAGGGCTATATTCAAACATATTCATAGGAAAATTGTGATTTAACGATAATTATCAGAAATTTTAATGTATTTCAGATATTAGAATACAAATAATTAGGCATTTTGGATTTTTCTAACGGTAAAAATTGAATTTTCCGTAGTTTTTACAAATTTGTATAGCATTTTTCTGGAATAGTTATATATAATATCGATATCTCATCTTAAAGAAAGTATTTTTGACTAAATATCAATATTTTCCAAAAATTCAAAAAAAATTATCGAAAATAAATGAGTGTTGATTTACCACATTATTTATTTGCTGATAAGCAATTGCTTTCTATTCCTAAAATCAACATAAAATCTGAGAAAAAAAAATTATGTTTTCGATAAATGGAGTTTATACACATAATCCAGTAACTTGGATGATTTGTAATGTTGAAAGAAAGTATATAATAATATTAGAACTCGAAAGTCTGTTTGCGTTGTCTGATTTTTGCGCGAAGATTGCGACGAGCTTCTCTCATTCTAGCCTTCACTTCGGTAAGCTCCTCTTCCTGGCGAGCTATAAGTGCCAAGAAGTCAGGATTTTGTACGTAATCGAATTCATTTTCTTTAGCTTCCATTTCTGGTTGCTCGAATTCGAGAATTAAGTTATGTTCTAAGAGATCTGCAGCTGATGGGCGGTCTTCTTGTGGAAGAAGGCACATAGTAATAAAATCAGCGATAACAGGGTCGGAAACTTTTGCAAGAGAAGCTGGCATATATCCGCCGCTAACTTTTAAGTAGATAGCTCCGATACCGACGCATTCTGAATAAGGAGTTTCTCCTGTCATCATTTCAAGAACGCATAAACCGAAAGACCAAATATCGGCTTTTGTTGTGTAATTACCAAGGTAAACCTCTGGCGCTGTATATGCTGGTGTACCCATGCATGAAGCAGCTTGGCCTGTTTCTGTAATCTTAGAAAGGCCAAAATCACCAATTTTAACAATGCCTTCACTTGCATCAATGAACAAGTTATCACACTTAAGATCTCTGTGGATAACAGGTGGATCATGAGTGTGGATATAATTAAGGCCTTCTAAAATCTGTTTGCACCATTTGCTAATAACGGATCTCTTTGGTGCCTTAACGACATCCGAAACGTATGCTCTGATTGTACCATTCGAAAAGAATTCTGTGATGAAAATCATTGAATTTCTTGATAAATCTCTCCAAGCTGAGAAAATTTTGAGGATGGATGGGTGATCTAACTGATGTAAAATTGAAATTTCTTGCTTAATTTGATTACTTTCGACTTCGTTAAACTTGTCAAGACGAATTTCGTTCCAGGCGACTTCAATACCTTCTTCTTGATCATATGCGCGGTACACAATTTTGTATGAACCACTTCCGATGAATTCGCACCTGCGATATCGCTTACATGGGTCCATGATGACTTCATTTGAAGGCTTCATGTTTCAAGCGACAATCTATTTTTTACACTGGTTTTGACAGCTTTACATAATCGTTCGAATAATTAAATGCTTCTATTTTAGTGATTCCGGAATGTACAAAGTAAATACGAACTTTTTGTCAATTTGGATTAAATTTCCAAACCAGATTGTTTTCAGATTGATTGATTTCTCGAGTTATTCGGTCGTGGCCTAGTCCTTAGTTTTTTAAAGCAATACTCAAATAATAAATACTGTTAATAGAAAGAAATACATGAAGATGAATGGAACAAATTTTATAAATTTATAAGAATGGTCATTCTGGGGTCTCTTGGACCTGATATGTAAACTAGTTCCATAACTACTCAGCCAAATAACCTTTAACTGCTTATTTATTCTAGGTAAATTATAGTTGTAGAACCTTATTTGCATTTTTTCACGAATTTTTGACAAAATGAATCTTCCAACAAATGAATATGTACCTAAGCCTGAAGATACAGCTGAATTAAGAGAAGAGTTTTCACGATCCATATTAAATGATTATTCTCAAATTCTTACATATTCTGCTGCTTATTCGATTACCCCTCATCGAGTTCGACTTTGCAAAATGATGGAAATTGCTCATTTGGAGCCAGACTACAAAAACTCATTGCACCAATCCGCAAACTAAAATGTTTACACGTAATACTATCCCAACCAACATTTTATTTGCAAAGAAAGATTCAATTACGTTCCAAAGTATTTATTATTAATATTATAACAAAATAATTGCAATTATGCATATTCTATAGGTAATTTTTAAATGCACAATTGAAATTGGTTAATTTAGCATAATCAATTAATCGCGAATATATATTTTACGATTATTTGTGTACCTTGACGTTATTAACTTGCTATATTGTTTATTTTTGTTATTATTATATCCCGCAAACGCTGATACCGTTGCTCTAATAATGATAAACGATGAACAAAGTTTGAATGCTATTTCTGAATCTAATAAATTCATTCTTTATGATGATAGAAATTTGAAATTTTTTTATTCTCTTTTTATCATCTCGCTGCATGAGCTCAAGCTTGTAATATGTTTAATAATTGATTCATATGCCCAAAGTGTAAAGCCAAACATCAATCGAATTTCCGGTTCAATTCAAATCTCAAACAAATTAATGAAATGATCCGAAATTCGAATTCAATAGCACATGGAATATACTTAATGCTTAATATATGCATAAAATTTATGAAGTTGAAAAATTGAAAATGAAATTCAAAGTAGGTCTTTCCAGAAATAGCGAAATCCACATAATTGAGCTGGTGAATGAAAATGAGTGGAAATGTAACCCCTTATCGAAAAAAATGCCAATTAATTTCTCTTTGTTATATTAAAAACGATGGTATTATGCTAAAGATAATGGTGGCAGCCATTTAATTATGATTAGCCGCATTTATTCTGAAAATAAAAACCCTTATGATAACGTCGAGAAATTTATCCATATGTTGTTGAATGGATATTGAATCATTTTATCTTTATTAAAGATTTTACACAAAAGCAGTAAAAAATTAGATGGCTGCTCAGCAAAGAAAAATTTAAAGCAACCCGTACAAAAAATTGAGGGAAATGTGTTTGATTTATTGACATCACTTTCAATGTCTGTCGCTTCTTTGATGGCTACTGATGAAAAAGCTGCCCTCCAGCTCTTAAGGGAGAAGGTAGCACCACTCAAACTCTCTAAGGGTGCTGAGGACAAGCTTGTTTCAATGTTCAAGGCTGCATTCTCAAAGGATTCCGAAGCCGAAATCAACTGGGACTTCGTTAAGCCACTCACACCAAACGAGCAGTTCCCATACGAGAACCTTGCTGAACCAGCTAACCCAGCTGAGCTCCTCAAGCAACTTGTCGTCGTTAAATTAAACGGTGGCCTCGGCACAACAATGGGCTGCACATTCCCGAAGTCTCTTATCAATGTCGCTGACAATGAGACATTCTTCGACATCACAGCACAGCAAGTTGCCGAATTCAACCAAAAGTACAACGTTGATATCCCACTTGTTCTCATGCACTCCTTCTACACAGATGACCTCATGAAGCCACACCTCAACAAGGTCAAGGGAGTCCGCGTCCTCACATTCAACCAGAACAAGTTCCCAAGAATCGATGCCGAGACTCTTGAACCAGTCCCAACATCCCCAGACTCACCTCTTGCTGAATGGAACCCACCAGGCCACGGCGATGTCTACCACTGCCTCCGTGATTCCGGATTACTTGATCAGCTCATCGCTGAAGGCAAGAAGTTCATGTTCATCTCCAACATCGATAACCTTGGTGCCAGAATTGACCTCAAGATCCTCAACAAGGTTGCTACAGAGAACAGATCTTATGCTGCTGAAACAGTTCCAAAGACACCAGATGACTGGAAGGGTGGCATGCCAATCCTTTACAAGGGCCGCGTAAAACTTCTTGAAACAGCCCAGGTTCCAAACGGCCACATGGACGACTTCAAGAACATCAAGATCTTCGACATCTTCAACTCCAACAACATGTGGGTTAACCTTGTCACACTCAAGAAGGCTCTCGATGAGGATACACTCGTTCTCGATGTCATCAAGAACCGCAAGGTTTACAACGGCCGTAACGTTATCCAACTCGAAGCTGCTGCTGGCTCTGCCATCCAGTCATTCCATGACTCAATCTCAATCAAGATCCCACGTTCAAGATTCCTTCCAGTTAAGTCATGCAACGAATTACTCATGGACCGCTCCGATCTCTACGTCAGAAATGGTGGTGAGTTCATCCTCTCTCCAAAGAGAACACTCACAACACTCCCATCAATCAACCTTGGTCCAAAGTACCAGCACGTCTCAGAATTCGAGAAGAGATTCAAGGCTATCCCATCTCTCCTCAATGTTGACGTTCTTGAAGTTACTGGTGATGTTACTTTCGGCCCAGGCGTCGTTATTGAGGGCAAGGTCCACATCAAGGGATCTGATGACAAGCCTGTTACAATTGAAAACAGACACCTCAAGGATGAGACTGTTACATTTTAAACATTCGATTTTTATGTAAATTTCTTTCCTTTCTTTTTCTTTTTTTCGATCATTCCTCATAAATTAAATTTCTCGTAATTATTTTGTAGAAATTATCTTCAATTTTGTTTCATTTTTTAATAAAATGTTAAATTACTCTATGATGGGTCATAACTTCTGAAACATATCCCGATTAATTTAAGGTCAATGAAAAATGAGCCGATTTCAAGTTATCGATTAACACATGCCTGTCCAAATGATAATTCCGAGTCGCTATCAAGCAACCTAGCGGAATTTGGCGGAATCATTTCATCGGCGTTTTGCAAAATACAACTTCAAACTAACTTAATGATTTGGACAAAAGAAGTTAATCAAACACTAAAAGCTTAGACAATTCTCGGCCAAGAAAGAAATATTGATAAAAATTTAGTTAATTTAATGATAACAATACGTTAATATAAAATATTTTATTACAATTCCAAATCAAATCTTACATATAACTACAAAAATAAAGAGATTTCAGAAATTGAAATCACTGAAGTCTGGAATGGCGAAAGACTTTCTCTTCTTCTTCATTCCTTTATCAAACATCGCAAATTGATATCCGTTGTCGCATACTGTTCCCTGGAATTTGATAATCTGTGTTTTCGGATCAATTAAAGGTATCTGTGTTTCTGGTAAGTGTGGCGCGTCATTAGGGTTGGCATTCTTAACGTATTCATGTTCAAGAACCTGTTGAATATTATTTCTTTTATATGGGTTAACTGTAAGCATTTTTGTAATGAGATCCCAAAGAACAGGGTCTGCTCCATCTGGCATTTCAAGCGTTGTGCTTGCAATTGCACGAACAATTTCGAACACGTTATGTCCCCAGAAAGGAACTTCTCGGAAGCTCATTTCGTATAATGTGACTCCAAGAGACCAGACATCTTCTTTTCCTGGGTCAATAGTATCTTCTTCGTCTTCTTCCATCTCAAAACAATCATCTATGACTTCCGGAGCTTGATAAATAGGAGTTCCTACAACCATAGCGGCACTCTGAAAAGAGTGACCAATTCCGAAGTCAGAAATGAGTGCTGTGCCATCACTTTTCAACAAAATATTTGCCGGTTTAATATCTTGATGAACAATGCCTTGAGAGTGAAGAAAAGCGATACCTTCTACAATTTGCTTAAATAAAGCGCGAGTTTCGCTGAAAGTAAATTTTTTGCCACTTTCGAGAATTGATGCTATATTTCCGCAATTTGCGTATTCAATTACGATGTATGCAATTGATCTTTCCGGAATATGGATAACTTCTCGTAGAGAAATAATGTTTTTATGATGTAACATCCTCATCGTTTCAATTTCTCTTTCTAATTGCGAAATACCTGATTGAGTACATGAAAGTTCTTTAAGGTGAATACGTTTCATCGCATAATATTGGAAGTTTACTTGGTCTAAAGCCAAATAAACTTTTGCAAAAGATCCTTCGCCAAGAACGCATTCAAGCAAATATTGATTTACTTGCTTAAGTGAATGGACATTTTCATAATTAGTATGCAGCTCCTCCTTCCCGAGAAAACTCGAAGGGGAAGTGGCTAGTTTCATCATGATAAAAAAGTGACTGAATATTTTGAGAACTCCCCATCGATAAAACAATGGCTATTTTATGCAAATGTGAGAAAATGGTATATCATCGTGTTTACTTTAATAATTACATAATTTTACAAACTCTTCTTTGTAAACTAAATTTTGAATTGAATAAAAAAATTGATAATTTTGCCATAATATTGGATGATATCCAACTGCAATTAATGTGGCCTCGTTTCGAACAAATTCCGGTACGATAACAAAATTGAATCAAAAAATGGAGTTTAGATTTGTTCGTCTTCCTTTCAAGCGAAAGCCTGTCATTTTAATCGATAAATGAGAAGCTTCACATTTGTTCTAATGATTTTGTGAAGCACAAACAAGTAAACTGAGTGTTAATATATAATATTAATATTTATCAATTAATATTTTGAAAGAATCACTACTATATTTCGTATTTATTTTCCATGCATATGTCATTTTTTAGTACTTTTCGAGAATTATTGGATATCGCATCGAAAATAAAAATTTTGATCGAGAGTAACTATTATCTGTTGTGCCGTTAATTTGCAATGCCTAATGTCATTATGAAAATACAATTATTCTTTTCAATCTTTCACCTAAGGCGAATCAAAATTATTTGCCTTCTGAAAAGAAGGCAAAATTAATAGAGTAATATAAATATCAGCTAATGGGTATGCTATTTTTGGTTCGTAAATAGAAGATTAAATGGTCCGCTTCGGGTGTGTTTTTGAATGAACGAAAAGAATTTTTATGCTCCGTTTTCATCTGGATCCTCTTAGTACGACAGAGGAAGCTCAAGCTTTCCCTGACGTTCCTGTCGTCCCGGAGAATTTCCAGTTTAAGAGGAGCTACTTACTAGGATCTAAAATCACTCCTACACCAAAAAAGAGCAAATCCGCATCAACAGTTGTTACAAGTGATAACGAATTTGATTATATTACATCAGACGAGTCTATTGATGACGACGAAGAGTCCGAACAAACGAATACAGATAAATCACCATATGAGAAAATTCTTGGATATAGAAAGAATGACGAAGGAGATTATGATTACTTTGTCAAATTATTTAATCGCCCTTACAGGGACTGTCGCTGGGTCAAAGGCGAAGATTTTTACCAATATCCACAAAAGCAAAAGAGTGCACTCAAGTTTATTAAGAAAAATCCATTACAGACATCTCCACCATTTTATGATCCATCGTACGATGAAATTGATAGAATTATTGCGATAGATACATCAAGTGAGCCACCAAAATATTTAGTCAAGTGGTCATTGCTAGGATACGAAAACTGTACATGGGAATCCGATGTTGATCAAGAATCTATCAAGGAATTTAACAAGCGAAATACAAAAACTGAAAAAATTGAAGCCCCACCAGATCCAGCCAAATTTGAGCAACTCAAGGAATCACCAAAGACAGAGAGTGGTCTTGAGCTGTTTTCTTATCAACTTGCAGGTATGAATTGGTTAAGACATCGATGGTACAACAATACGAACTGCATTTTAGCAGATGAGATGGGTCTTGGTAAGACAGTCCAAGCCATATCATTTTTAAACTACGCACATACTCACGAAGGCCTCCAAACTCCATTTTTAATAATTGCACCTTTAGTTACCTTATACAACTGGTTACGCGAGTTCAACACATGGACAAAATTAAATGTCGTAATTTATACCGGTCCAAAAGAAGCTAGAAACACAATCCGCGAACATGAATTTAATTATGAGGACGGAACGGGTCCAAAGTTCGATGTATTAATCACCAACTACGAACTCATCATCAACGATACAGAAGTCTTCTCCCAGTTCAATTGGAGCTTTTTAATTGTTGATGAAGCCCAAAGACTCAAGAACCAGAACTCCAAGTTATTCTCTGCATTGGCCAATGTCCATAGTGACCACAGAATTCTTCTTACAGGTACTCCCATCCAGAATACTCTTGAAGAATTAGTATCCCTCCTAGAATTCCTTCACCCAGGCGAATTCCAAGACCTCACAGCTGCAGAAACAGCCGAAGATGTTTTTGAGCTAAGAAAGAAGCTCGAACCACATCTTTTACGACGTCTAAAAAGTGATGTCGACAAAACTATTGCTGCAAAGAAGGAAACAATCATCGAATGCGGCATGACGAAATTCCAGAAGCAAATCTACAAGGACATACTTGAATCCAACGCTAGATTCCTTACAAAAGGAGCTCATTGTTCTAATATTGCGATGGAATTACGAAAAGTTTGCATCCATCCTTATTTGGTCAAAGGTGCTGAAGAGAGGATTCTTCAGGACTTCCCAGGTGCAAACCAAAACCCTTCAATCCTTCTGCAAGCGATGATCAGAGCATCCGGAAAAATGATTTTGATCGACAAACTTTTGCCAAAACTAAAAAGTGACGGACATCGAATACTTATCTTTTCCCAGATGACAAATCTATTAGATATCTTAGAAGACTATCTAGCGATGAAAGGATATCAAAGCTGCAGGATCGATGGCAAAGTAAAAGGCGAAAAAAGACAAGGAATCATTGACAAATTCAATGAACCAAATTCCGAATTATTTGTTTGTCTTTTGAGTACTCGTGCAGGTGGCATTGGTATCAATCTCAACTCCGCTGATACTGTCATCATCTTCGACTCAGATTGGAATCCACAAAACGATCTCCAAGCGCAAGCAAGATGTCATAGAATTGGCCAAACAAAAACTGTCCAAGTTTACAGATTATTAACAAAAGGAACTTACGAACAAACAATGTTCGATTCCGCGAGTAGGAAGCTTGGATTAGGTCATGCCATTCTCGACAAGATGCCTCCGAATAAAGAGATCGACATGTTACTAAGAAAAGGCGCTTATCATTTACTGAATGATGTCGAAGAAGATAATTTCGATGAACAAGACATCGAAGACATATTGAGTAAATCGAAAGTCATGGTTTACAATGAAGCGACATCAGGGTCATTCAGTAAAGCCAATTTCGATCTCGGAGATGATTCAAGTCAAGTAGACATAAACGATCCAAATTTCTGGGAGAAATTGTTGCCACAACAACAAGAGCCAGCTGTTGTCGAAGAGAATTTGTACGATGACGGAAGAATGAGAACGCGCCATCAAAAGACACAAGGAATGAATGACGAAGAAGACCCTGCTTTGGATGATGGAACATCAAGAGACTGGAAACGCGCAGAAAGAGATAAATTGCAGCATTTGTTGCAATGGTACGGCTGGGACAGATGGAATGATGCAAGTAAATTGGTCGGATTGAAGAGAAGTGTCATTGAAATCAAATTGGCTGCAAGAGCAATGTTAAGAAAATTGTTGAATGCTGAAACAGATCTCAGCCAATATACAACAGCAAGAATGTTATTAGATAAAGCTTGTTCGAAGGAATTCGATCCTAATTTCATTGGCGATGATGATGCAATTGCTGTTGATGATGATTTCATGAAACAACCTGCAATGATTGATCCTGAATTCGTCATGGCAGCTGCAAAGAAAGGAGGTGCATGGATAAAGAGAATTGAAATGCTTTATTATCTTTGCATGGCTGTTGACAAAGCAAATCGTAATCCAGAAGAAATCTTTGTCCCTACAGTTCAAGGAAACTCTCCAACATCATGGTGGACAGCTAATGATGATAGATATTTAATCTACGGAACATATATACATGGATTTACTCGTACAGAAGAAGTTTTGGCTGATGACGACCTCAAATTTACTTATAAAGGGGATGACACCAAAGAACCCCCCTCAACAACATCATTAACACCGAGGTTACGCAAATTAGCGCATGGATTAAAGAGATATCTAAATGGAGAGTCAAGGAGATCTGATAATCAGCCGAGCGAACCAAATGCTCCTAAAAACAAGATCTGGCTGAAAAGAGATAAATCAACTGTTCTCCAACACATGTTGCATGGTGGAGTTCCTCTTAAAGAGAACGGAGATCATGATTGGGCCAAGTTCAGAGAGATCTGCGGCTTCAACGACAAAACAGACGAACAGATGCAGAAATACGTCGAAGAAATGATGGATACAGGATCAAATGATGACAACTCGAAACATAATGACAAAGACGATGACGACGCAAAGGATGATGAAGAGAAATCTAATGAAGGAACAGGTCCTGCTGTTACAGCAACAAGAATCAAACAGAGATTCGAGTCATTGACAAAACTAAGACAGATTTTCCTCAAATACAGTGAACAAGAAGTTGCTGAATATTTCTCTTATCTTCCAAGATGGAGAAATGTCCCGAGATCATGGAACGACCACCTCGAATTCGAGTTCTTCAAAGCAATTTCGCAGAGAGGATGGGGTGTTTGCGCGGACATTTTGAAAGGAGAAACATTCAAAGGAGTTTTCGAAGGCGACAATCTCCCGAATTTCTTCACATCTGATGCAAGAGTTATTCGAAGATTGAACACCATTTTGGACTATTTCCAGAACAATTCCCTTGAAAGTCTTCGTCTTAAAGAAGCCACGAATCCAAAGGCCAAAAAGAAGAAGACAAGTAAAGCTAAAGATGACGAACTCGAGATGCCAACAATCGAGAGAAATCCTGATGGTTCTCCTGTCATGCCTTTGATGTTAACTTCAACAGCATGGATCATCTCACTCGGCCACATTGTCACAGATAGAACTGGTTTCCACACTGACAGATACATTTATCCAGCCGGATTCAAGTCAACGAGATTGTACGCTTCGACATTGGATCCAACACACAGAGTTAGATACAATTGCGAGATCATTGACAATGGAGAAGCAATTCCTTTGTTTAGAGTTTCAATGGAAGACAATCCGGAAGTTAAATACGAAGGAAACTCTCCGACATCTCCTTGGACATTGATATTGAAGAGAATTCTCGAGTTGAGAACACAAACTCCGAAAGCTCTTTCTATTTCTGGACCAGATATTTATGGTTTGGCACATCCAGCAGTTGTTTATTGCATCCAGAACATGGAAGGTGCTGACAAATGTGTCAACTACATTCCAAGAGTTTTCTCAACAACGAAGGCCGCTCCTAAGCAGGCGAAAAGAAGATCTCACGCAGAAGAAGGTAACCAAGAAGGACATCAAAAGAATCCAGGTGATGGAAGTCAGACTCCAAACGGACCTCCTCCACCTCCTGGATCTCCAAATAGAGCTTTGTCATTCTTAGGAAACAAATTGCCACCAATTACATCACCACAATTGTTGCAGCAGTTGATACAGAACAAAGTCTTGCAGATAGGAAAACTTCCTCCACAGCAGTTGCAACAGATTCAACAGCAGCAACAACAACAAAGAAAAGCTCTTCAAGGTCCAAATATTACAGTCACTACTCAAGGAATTCCTCAACAACCTCCAACTCCATCTGCTTCTACATCAAATCCTCCTCCTACTGTTCCTCCTGTTTCAAATACTCCTCCTGCAACAGTTCCTGTATCAACTCCTCCTTCTTCTTCACAGCAGCAGCAACAACAACAACCAATAATTCCAAAGCCTTCGGTTGTTCCGAAACCTTCTGAAGATCAAGATTTGTGATTTTATATTTATATATATATATATATTGTAATTTGTAACTTTTTATCTATATATTATTTTATTTGGTTATTATTTTTATTCATAAAATATTTAATTATCAACAACTTCCTTCTTGGCTTGCTAAAATGAATATTCTCAGTCGATTAACTATAACGTTTTCGCTATTTGGTCGGTGCTTTGCTTTACAAATATTTTATAAGGATTTAACAGAATAATCAAAAATTGTGTTGGAATTTTTTTTTGTAAAGTTACAACATTTGAAATGAGTGTTACTCTGAATTTCGAATACATTGGTGCTCACATCAATGATTATATTTAAAATGAAAATTTCTATGATATATTCGATCTCAAAGACATTAAAACAATCATGAAATATTCAAAATTAACAACAACTCAGTTCCTTTCTCTTCTCGAACTATCATCACCAACTATCAATACCAACGAATTATATACCTGCACACGAAATGCGAATGTTACTATCCAAAACATCGACGACGTCTTTACCGTTCTTAAAGCTGTCAAAAAATACATGAAATTCAATATATTTGATGATATTATTGATTTTTTAAAGGAAAATGATAATGAAATGCATGATTATGCAGAAGAAATCATAAAGCTTGAACAACAAATTAAAGAACTTCAAAATGAAAAGAATCAAACTCAAGAAAACAGTGATCATTCTCTAGATATTTTAAGTGAAACATCATCATCTGATGAACCTGAAGAACTTTGTGCTAGAATCGATATAGAAAGTATTGCAAGTGAAAAAAGAATACTTAAACTTGTTGTTATGGGTGATACGGAAGTTGGCAAAACATGCTTACTGAATAGATTAATTAAAAATGTTTTTACAGTTAATACTCCAAAAACAATTGGTTTATGTTTTTCTTATTATTACATTCATAATCAAAAAGGACGAATACTACTACATATTTGGGATGTAGCTGGAGAAGAAAAGTATCGTACAATTACTTCAAATTTTTATAAATCGACAGATTTTGCACTAATTTGCTTTGATCTAACTAATAAAGCCAGCTTTAAAGATTTAGAGAGTTGGTATACAGAAATTATTAAAAATGCAACTCCCGGTATTAAATTTGTTATCGTGGGTAATAAAAAAGATTGTGATGAAAATAGAGTCGTCACATCTGAAGAGGCAATGAACTTTGCCAAATCTCATGGAGCAGCATTTTATATTGAAACATCAGCAAAGACAGGAGCAAACGTTCGCGAACTCTTTTTACGAATTGCCCAATGATATTTTATTCCAGAAATCGGATCTCTGGCGGTTTAATTAAACCTTCTAAGTCACTTCGCTTCTTCTTCTTCAAAGCAATCATAACTCTGATTCTTAATATTGCATACTATTACTGTCCTGTATAAAGGTATTCTGACTATATTTGACTATGTGAAAGGTAATACAAAGACGAAAATATTCCTATATAATTAGTACAATTTAAACAATTCACGCCCGTATAGGTAGCGAGTAGAGGCGACCCTTAAAATTACAAAAATATAAAAACAATGTTGTATAAGAAAATTTTAAAACGTGACAGAAAACTTTTGTAAAAGATATTGAAAATAAAATTTAAAAAAATTTACAATTTTACAATATCTTTTTAAAAAATTAAATGATATTAGTGTGTCTTTTGGTGTGTATATCAGAGTCTGTGATCACACCAAACAACATATCATCGGATTCATTCAAGGATGTCTTCATGAAAATAGTCAACGAGTCTAAGAATAACAATTTTGTGAGTGGTGCAGTCTCTGTCAACTATAGAGGACAAAACATATACAGCGATGTTACTGGATTCTCAGACATATCGAAACGAAAGATTGCTAACAACGAAACATTGTACCCATGGTCGTCTGTCAGTGCAGTCTTAGTTCACGTATCAATCATGCAGCTCTACGAGGATGGTAAGCTCGACCTAGAAGACGACATCAAGAAACACCTCGGTAAGAATTTCTTCAAGAGGATGACATACGAAGATCCAGTAAAGATCATCAACCTGATGAACCACGACACGTGCTGGGATGATACTGCAGAGAAATCGATCGTCCCCGGATCTAAGATCGATATCGACCTCGAGGACGTCATCAAGAAGAACGAGCCTAGGCAGTTCTGCAGACCTGGGACATTCGTCTCTTATTCTGACTACGGTCTCGCCGTCGAGGGTCTTATCGTTGATAAAGTTTCTAATATGAAGTACTCCGAATACGTCAAGAAGAATATATTCGACAGACTTGGTATGAGAAGATCTTCGATCGATCCTATGCGGAATGACATCTCAGAAGATATTCTCGTAAACGAAGCTAAACCTTATGCATTCAACAGCAAGAGAAACAGAATCGAAGAGACCGAGTACTATTCGAACCAGTTCTACCCTTCTGGATCAGCACTGTCGACAATATCTGATCTCTCGATTTTCGCAAACGCGCTCGTCGGTACGAACAACTCGACACCACTATTCAAGAATATCTCTACTCTTTCTGAGTTTTACAACATAACGAAGAAAGACGAGAGGATATCACATGGTCTTTTCCAACAATACTACTCGGGGAGGATAAAAGGATACGATCACCGAGGAAACAATGTTGGATACACAGCATACATCTCTCTCCTTCCTGAATACGGATTCAGTTATGTCGGAATGTCGAACCTGCAAGACGAATATGTCATTTCAAAATCATTTCATCGCACACTATGGGGACTATATAATCCATCAAATGAAAAAGTTATATCTTATTATATAAGTAGCTATTATCGTCCAACAAATATTGTTCACAGAGGTTTCTTCAAACGTCATGATCTTAACAAACATTATCAACTTCTTATTTATGATGGAAGAAAACAATTCTCATTCTTAGGTGATATTTATAATATTTCGGAGGATAACGTGTTCACAAATAGTAACATTAGCAAATGGCCGTATACTGGTAAATATCAAATTACATTTACACATAATCAAGAAGGACAAGTCAATGGGTTATGCATCTTAGACGAATGTTATGAAAATTTTGACTATTTTTCAACATTAAATGATGATAACTTCTTCAAATCGGATACTTTTCTGTTTGGTTTAGATATTTTTCCTTTAACAATAGGTTTGGAATTATTAATATTTTTAAGATGTATAGAATTTCCTATTTTTGCGCTCAGATTTCTAATAATCCGAATTGTGACCTATACATTGATGTTAATATCATTAGTGTTATCTCATCGAAACTTAATACAAAATAGAATTTGTGTGAGAAGAAAAGTTTTAGCTATTATTTATGGACTAATTACATTATATTGTATTGAAACGTTTTAATAATCGTGCATATAATATTACATATTACATGTTTTATCAAGATGTGTAAAATAAATCACATATCTCATGACGATGAAAGTGAAGACTTTTTAATAGAAGAATTTAATAGCAATGATGATAAATACTGGCGTGATGATGGTCTGGCACCTGTGGATATTTTGTCAATATTCATTTTAATTCCTTTGTTAATTGTATATCCTAAAACAGCCAGTAGTAATGAAGTCCTCTGGTTGTAATATATATATATTGTATAAATTGATTATATGACAAAATTTGATAAATTAATTATTTGAATTTTGAGGGAAATGAAAAATCACAAGCAATCGATTATTTTCGATTCAAATGCTGGATAACATTAAAAACAAAAATGATCATATGCTTTAGAAATACCTTTTTGTCAACACATGTCAGATGGGGAAATCTACTTCCCAAGTCAGGGAGAGTTGAATTTTATTTGGACGAAAATATATCCTTTACAAAGAAAAAAAAATCTGTTTTGTCAGTTATAAATACAAAATAAACTAACTTTTGTCCTTATTGTGATAAGTTTAAAGCACCTGATCATCTTTTTATAAGGTTGACAAAAACCCCACAATATCAAAAACTTTGAAAGGCCAAAATATTATTAGTGTTAGAAAGCTTACAAATATATACTTTCTGGCAAATAGAGTCTCAGAAAGTCCCCAAACGATAATTTTTAATTTCCGCACTATATATACAATAATTCAATTTTTTTCATGTCCCAAAACAATTTGGAGGGTGTGATATCACGTATACACCTAGGGTGAAGCTCAAAAATTTGAGGTATAATGATTATATTACATGTTTAGTATAGGGTGTCCAAAGGTGTGTTTAGCACAAACCTGAATACTGCAAATAGAAATAAACAAGTTACATATATATAAAGTTTATTTAAATATAATCACCATTGGATTCAATCACGCGTTCGCAGCGATCGATCCAGGCTTGAAAGACACGCTTTAAATCATCATGAGAAAATTGCTCAAATTGCTCTCTTACAAAATTTTCAAGATCATCTGGACTCGCGAATTCGCGTCCTTCAGCTCTCTTTTTTAGCGTGCCGAATAAATAAAAGTCAGAGGGTGCAATATCAGGTGAATAAATTGGGTTTGGAACAACTTTGACATTGTTTTCCACCAAGTAATTCATTACCTTATGACTTTTGTGAACTCTTGAATTATCAAAATGAATTGCAAACTTTTGTTTTTTGTTTGGATTTCTCAAACTCATCAGAATTGATAATTTGAGTAAGAACATTGTCAATTAGATACTGAGCATTCATCGTATTAGGTTTTTGAAGAATATCAATTGCGATGATGCCATTCACGCCCCAAAAAACCGACAACATCTTCATTGGTGTGTCAATTTTTTCTTCGGGAATGTTTGCGGATTTTCATCCTTCGGGATCCACATGATTTTGGCTTCTGTTGCATATTGAAACCAAGACTCGTCCCCTGTTACTAAAAAGCGAAACTTCTTGGATTGATACGCACCCAATATAGAGAGGAGCTCTTTCGAAAATTGGACTCTAGATTTTTTTTGAACTGAATTAAGGTTGTGCGGAACCCAACGTGTATACGCTAGTTTGTAGTTCAAATAATTGTGCAGATAATAACTGACTGTTGTACGTGGTATCTTTGTCATCTCCTCTATCCTTCTGAGTGATGCTCTTGGGTCTTCATCTAGCGCTTGAAGAATTGCTTTGATTTTTCTTTGATCCGGCGATTTTTGTCAATTTTTATGATGGGCGCCTTTTTGTTCATGAAGTGATACATCCTAACATGATACGTTACGTGGAATAGCTAGGAGCATCCATACCGAAGCATTTTACCAATGTCTCGTAGATTTTTTTACAGTCTTTGCATTTTTTTGCAAGAGCGAGGATGTTTTCTTTATGATTCATTAAAAAAATGAAAAAAATCCCGCCAAAATTTCCCGCGAAACCGCCTCTTGTCTCAAAATTCATTTTATATCCCGGCATGGCGCCAAAATACAACATACTCATTATATACATATATTCATATTTTTTATTATATATTTATAATCAGCATATATCTCCTTTAATAGTCTCATATAGAGCGCTGTGCTAAACGCACCTTTGGACACCCTATATAAATTTTGTTTGTTTGTTAGTTATAATTACAAAATAAAAGTTTAGAAACATCAATGAAAAAAAATAAAATAAAAAAAATAGATTACTTGTCATCTTCTCTTTCACGAGTCAAAGCATCTTGCAATGTCTGTCGTCGCATGTTCTTTATATGTCCTGCCAGAACAAGATCGATGATTTCATCTGTTGTTCTTGTGACATCGTTTTCGTCGACTGCGTCAATGAAATACTGGTAAATGTCTCTCTTCTCTCCAAGAGAGCTCAGTGCGATGCAGACATTAGGAAGGTTCTGTTGGCAAGAGACTTTCAACTTCGTGTCGATGTAAGCCAAAACTTGTGAGTTACATGGAGATTTCTTGCACAAGTAGACAATCAATTCATCAACCATTTTATAGATCTTGTGGATGTTCTTTGGTTTTGCAAACAAGATTTGTTGTAAGTAGTAAGAAACAACTTCTTCTGGAATTGTTGGTAAAAGATATGTGTAAGGAATGAAGTATTCAAGGAATTCACAAACAGATCGTGACTTTTTAGCTCCAAGTTTTGCACCTTTTACGCATTCAATGATTTCTTCATTCGAAATAATGATCTTGCATCTCAAGAAGATCTGTATTATGTTGGCTGCCGCTGTGCATTGTATCGACAAATGGTTGATTGGATTCAACAAACATGAAATTGTTTCAACAGGCAATTTCGTGTTCGTAAGAGGTAACAACTCAACGAGTAACTCAACAAACTCATTTGCTCTGATCGGTTTGTTCTCGAGCATTTGCGCTTTCTTAGTTTTGACGTCAACTCGAAGTTGTTTGAGGAGTTGTGGAACTAAATCTAATAATGTTTGGCAGAAGAGATTTGACAAAATGTGGATTTGTTCTTTGTCATCATTCTGCTTGAAAGGAGGTTGCTGGATATACATCTCCTGGTTGATATAAATGGATGACAATATCTTAAGTGATTCATCACCTATGATATGCGAAATAATCGCAACAGCATTGGTTCTGACATTTACATTGTCAGAAAACAAAAATCTGTCAATCCATTGTTCCCTGTGATTTATAATTGCATCTTTCGTGCATTGTTCTGTTGCTGCACAGATAGCAATTGCCGTTGACCTGTCTGTTTCCAAGTCATCAGCTTTAATCGCTTGTATCTGCATAGTCATGAATGTTTGCATGCATTTCTCTGGACAAGCAGTTGTCAAAAGAGTGAACAACCTGTGAGGCCTGAAGATTCTTCCGTGCTGGCGAATGAAGTTCAAGAACATGTCCTCGGAGAAGAACTTCTTGACGTATTCCGCAATTGCTTCAGGTTGAGAAGCTGTTGATGTCGCGATGTCAACTAAAAATGATTCTTTCATCAAATCAGATGGAACAGCATCGAATGTCGCACACAACTTCAAAGCGTAACTCATGTTTAATCCGCTGAAGAAGTACTGACGTTTCATTTGACTGTTTGCGGCCAAATAATTTGAAATGTCTTCAATCAAAAATTGAGAAACTCTGTCTCGAATTTGATTGATGTAAGAATCATAAGATTTTTGGGAAGACATCAATACAGAGTGCAGAACATGGAATGTATCATCCATGTGGTTTGAATCGGACAATAAAATGTCAACCAATTTGAAACTCAAATTGAAAACTTTGTCGACATTTTCGTCTGTCAAAGATTTCGTCAACAAATTGCAGAAACCTTTTCTAAAGGAATCATGAGGGCATTCGAATGTACAGACCTTGAAGTAGTCTTCATCCAACAGATCCACAAATGATGGAGTGATTTTCGGAAGCAAATAAGTCATGAAATCACTGCATTTCGAGCAGAAAGGAGAGAAAGGAAGCATTTTCACGGAAAATGACATTAAAATATCATCAAAGTCATTGGAAGTCATTTTACTCAAGCACATCATCATGTCATAGTAATTGTCATTGAAGTAAAGTGTTTTCAGACGATTTTCCGCGTTCTTTGAATCGACTTCACTTTTGACTTTTTCATCAGGTTCAAAAGTTTTTTCTTCCATCATTTCTGGGAGGACGTAGAAAAGAATGTATCCAACGGATGTATCAGAACCATTTGTCTCATTGAACATTACATCTTTAGAAACAACGGAGACATCTTCATCGTTAAACAAAGTCCACATTTCATCCTCATTTCTCTGGACATAAGAAACGTAATGACCGCCCAACGCGTTGATTCCTCTGTGGACAACAACACCGTTTAACTTGTACTTGGAGTACTGTTTGTCTTGCTCAGCTGCAGGGGAAATGTCCAATTCAAGAGGAACTTCCAAATGGGTGTTGATTTTGATTCTTTGCTGTTTTATGTGGTCGTAATCGAATCTTTTTACATGGACAATTAATATTGGAGGAGCTTTGTCAATGAAACACCTTCTTATGGCATTGATCGCTCCAATTGTCTCTGTGTTATACTTAGATGTTTGGTCGGTGAAGTAATTTGGTCGTGTCAGTTTTTCAATACAATCTGACAATTTTGTTGTTTCTGGGGTTATTTCGACTTCCAAACAAGTATAATCCTGTGTTGATGTTGTGTCGTGGTAGTCGACATCCATGCCATCAACGTGGTATCTCATTTGTCCCTGGCAGATATCCCTCACGCTCTTTCCAATCTCTTTATCTTCCATGAGGTGATTCGTGACTAAACTGTCAATGAATTCAACGGCATCTTGTTGCTCCCTTAAATTTAAGGGCTGACCCCACCATTTGTAATATTTGGTGAGTTCGAAAGCGGACTCTGTTTTACAGGTAGAATACTGCAATCTCGTAAACAGATATGACAATTCCCTCAATACATCATCACTTCCTTTGTAATTGATGATGATTTGTCTCAAAGCAGGAATTGCAAATATCTGTTGCAAAGTAGAATTCATGTAACATGTTGCGCCGAGATTTGTTAATCCAACTCTGTTAGCACTGGAAATCAAACAGGCATCATTTCTCGAACTATAACTGGAAAACGGTTTCAAACCGTCGAAATGTGACAACAAACTTTGATGCAACAAATTGACACCGTTTTCTTTGATGTCAGTTAATTTCGTCAGACAATTAACTGCGCTGTGGAATGACTCGTTTCTGATGAAATCGTTGTCGTATGTAAAGAAACGGTTTATCAGAAAATGTGTCAGTTTTGGCTTCAATTCTTCTGGATACAAATTGAACATTAACATTTTGTCGATTGTCTTCAAAATCATGTTCAAATTGTTCTGATTCTGTTCAATCATTTGGAAGAATATTTCTGCCAAGTGAAGTGAAGTGACAGGATTTGGTTGGTCTGTCAAATGGTCACTTAAACAAGCGATGAACTCATCAGTGATGATAGACATGTAATTGATCAAATTTTCATTGAACAAATCAAGAGGAAAAGAAATTGCTTCGAAAGCATTTTTTGCCAAATTTCTTTTTCTTTGATCAGGTAACAACAACATGTTAAATATATGTTTGCTAGCGTTATCCAACTGCAGTATTCTCTTCTTCGTTTGGAACTGGTACTCAATAGTTTGGTTGATATGATTAAACATGATTTTTGATTCCATTTTTGATAGTGTCACTTTTTCATCAATATCATTTCCTAATTCCAACAATTCGAAGAACATGTTCTTGAAGACTTGTTCGTTTATTGGCTGGTAGTATCTGAAGAACCTCATTAACTCAAACAAGATATCTCTGAAATTCGACTTATCCAAAAAGTTCTTTCTTATATTTCCGAAAATCAAACAGAAATAGTTGTCAACAAAGAATTTCCTTGTGCAATCTGTAGCTTTCTGTTTCGTATTTTCGTCTAAGAAATAATTGACAAATGTTGTCAAATTGTACAAAAAGAAATAAGTGTTGTTTTCATCGAAAGCGCCTGTTTGGCAGTTAATTCCTTCAAGCATTGGTTTGAGAATCTCATGGCTTGGCTCAACAGTCTGCAATCTACTCAAAATGTCATAAATAATCGATTCACCGTTTGTTTTCAATCTCAAATAAAATTGAGAGGGATATTCGGTTTGTTTCAAATACAAACTTGGCCAACAATTTCTTTTGTGGCTTCTTTTTCCTTTCTTGGATGTCCTGTATTTGATTTCTAATGACATGTTGTCTCCGAAACTGTCTAAATCCTTTAGTTTCGTTGATCTGTTCAGTTCATTTCCTTTGGAAAATGCCAAAATGGTCGAAACTTTGACATCTCTTTGTTTTGCCACTTTTTCACAAACACAACCGATTGTTGACTCACTTCCTACATCAAGATTGACTGTGAACTCTGGTTCTGTTGATGTACATGTGAGTTTCACGATGAACTTGTCGGGAAATCGTGGAGGAACTTCTGTGTCGATTTTGTCTTCGATGCAGGAAATGAAAGAAATCAAAAGATTGAGTTTCTTTGTGTCCTCGCATTCTAGGACCGACCAATGTTTGATAAACTCTGCAATCATCATTTCATCTGTTAATTCATTTCCGTCATTTGAATCGTACATGTTGCAGAGGAGGTCTACGAACTTCTCCCGCATTGGTGACTCCTCTAAACTGAATCTCCAGAGCAGTTCTTCGTTTTGAAGTGGCAATTTGGTGATGACATCGTTCTGATTGAAGTTTAGAAGGCCCATGAAGTGGTCAATGAACGAGTAGAAGCCATAATCGAACTCTGAAAGTGGAATTCCGTCGATTAATTCGTTCATTACTTCGGTTTCTATCAAATCGTTGTCGCAGAGGCTGTTTATGAACGGATAGATCTTGTCTGAGGTCTTCCTGAGTCTAATGATCTGTTGTAGGAACTCTGTTTCGAAGTTTAGTCGCAATGATTTGTATGTATTTGTCAAAAATGCGAAAAACTCATCAGGAATGGGCCGTGAGTTGAAGATTGCTTCAATACAGCGTCCAACAACGACTTTGAAGACCTCTGGAGGAACTTTTAGCTTGAATTCTATGATATCTCGCATTAATTGATAGCAATAGATTCTTGTTTCCGAATCTATGTCTGTTCTTTGTTCTTCGGTCATGATGGCCTTGAAGGTGGCCATATCTGGCTTGTTTCCAATGATATTTAATAAAGATTCGCGTCCATTCTTCCTGCAAGGATGATTGGAGTCGAACGCGATGGTCCATAATGTATTCTTAATTTGTGTGACCTCATTTGTAAGGTTTGGACGTTCTCCAACCTTTGTAATTAATTTATCAACTGTATTGAACCAAACTTTGTTAGAATTATCGGAGGAAAGGATGCAGCCGACAACTTCGGACAATGTGTCATCTTTTGCGGTCTCAGCCATCTTGACAAACATCTTAATAAATGGTTCAACTTCTGTATCGTAGCGAGATGAGTGCAATGACCACACTTTTCGTATGATTTCTTTCTCGAGTAATCCGTATTTAGCGACACCTGTTAAGATATCGCCAAGAGCTTCGCCAAATTGAGTATGAAATTGAAAATTCTTCAAAATGTCGGGATGGCCCTTGACAAAGAAGGCCGTAGGTTCGGCAAGATATTTATCGTTGATTAATTGCTGTAAAACTACTAAAAAGATACGGCGTTGGTCGAATGAATTTTGAACAATGAATTTTTCGAGAATTGGAGTGAGTTGATCCAATAAATAATCTGCGTCTCCTTTTGTTTCAGGAAGAATTGCTCGGAAATGCTCAAGAGCTTTCGGAAGTTCCATATATCCGTTAGAATTCCATGTTAAGTCGAGAATTTTTTGAATAGAATGTGTAATACGAACAACAACATTATCAAAATTAAAATTATCGTCAAATTTCGCGATTGTTGAATAAATTGCCAAAGATTCGTTAAAAAGCTTAAAATTCTGGCATCTGTTGCACATGTATTCAATTAATATATTTGGTGCACCTAATCCTATAAATGCACTGCATAATTGTTGATATAAATGACGCCTTCCTGAATTGTAGAGAGGCCACTCTGTAATCGTGATAATTGTGGTGGCTAGAGACATTAGTGCCTGTTCACCGTATCCAAAGCCAATTAATGAGAGCTTAAGTAGTAATGTGAAAAATTTTTGAATAAGTTTTTGTTGCCGCGAAGAAGGCTTCTCGATATAGAGGAGTTTTGTTAGTAAGAATTGATTTTTGACGAATATGTCTGGTTCTTGCGTAATTTCCTCGGGTAAAAATCCAGTCTTCGATATACAGTCAAATAATCGAAGAAAACCTGGATAAAACGGCTCAAACTGGTCAGGGTCGTCTATTAAATCCCTTACCAATGCAAGCCATGAATCAAAATTATCTTCTGGATCCAGCATTTTTTTAGATTTTTTTTTTGTCGGCAATAATTGCGGTTTTTGGGTGTAATAGGAGGTTTTTATAGAAAAACAAAATAAACCATATTTATCAGTCATATGTTCTTTAGATGCTATTGTATCAAAAATAGCATCTTATGCGGTTTTCAGAATTAAAAAATTTATTTCACTTGGTCAATAAACAAAATTTAGTCAAAATAGTAATTAACTAAGATTGTATAATAAATTATGAGTATATTCACTAATCGTTGAGCCAATCTAAATTCTAACCCGATCAACGGTGAAGAAATTTTCTGATCAAGATCTCCGTTTAGTTATTGCTGTAGATTGATTTTAAAGGAACGAATGAGAAAATTCGTGAAAGTAACAATTAGAGAATAAAAAAATAATTGTAAAGCATTTTGGGTAACGATAATAACAAAAATATAATGATAGATTGACTTATAATTGAGATAGCCGATCATTTATCGAGTAAGATCGGGAATTAAAAGAATTGTCAATAATTTGGTCAAAAAGCCTATTTCATCGAATGAACTCTTGTCCAATTCAGCTTGGGATACTAATGGGGTTTGAAATTCGTGTTATTCATTTGATTTTGTACAATTTATTTTCTATTGATAGCAACTTGTCTGAGCAACACTATCAAGAAATGATATGACTTATAGCATATTGCAATTAACTGTTTCTTATATTGATGAATTACTTGGATGTTAGTCGGATTCGGTGACTAGAAACTAAATAATTTATTGTAATCTTGTAAAAAATATTGCTACTATGGATTTCTTTTGGAATGACTAATCTTATTTCCAAAAGTAGATTGTTAATTTGAGTAAGAATTTGGCCGAAACATAAGGAATTTAGGAAAAAGATGATAGATTTGAAACTTAGAATATTATTTTACTTGAAATAATAAAGAAATCATTAACACTAAATATGTTGGTGTTATCTTTAAAGATTAGGCACAATATCAATGAAAATATATAAATAAAGTTTGATTGAATTAATATATCATTATATTTCCTATAAATTATAATCTTTTGCATAAAATAATTGCTATCTGTCGACTTATATTTTCTTAAAACATGATATTAGCATCTGAAATCGCAAAATCAACTCCAAAAAAATTAGAAAAATTCAAAAATGAAAAATTTTTGCAAGATGTTTAACTTCATTTTTTCGATTTCAAACTTTTTTTGGAAATTAGAAAGTTTCAATTTCATCTGGCTTTCACTCGTTCATTGTATTTCTTGCAGGAAATCGCGAAATTCATATTTTGTTTCTGTTTCTAAAAAGTGACAATTTCTATCAGGTAAATTTACTCAAGAACTCGAATAAAATCTGGATTCTCTCCGAAATTTTACGTTAACCTTGATATTTCAATGGAAGTATAAGTATGTTGCTGCATAATACTTCTTTCATTCCAATAAAATTTATTTTAATCCTTCATTCTACGTCAGATGACTATATATCTTAGTATAGCATTTATTTCATATACAACCTTTAGAAATTCGACGTTTCCTTCAAGAAATTTCTCATTCTAAAAAAAAAATATTATTAAATAACCATCAAATAAAAACAATTTATTTAGTTAACGAAATACCCGATCTTTCTACAAAACGTTCGCAAATCACAGGATCCTCCAAGAGGTTATTAATGTATACAGCACAATTTGAATCTGAATTAATACAATCACCTAAATATGACGAGATGCTGTGAAGCGTTTCGCTACTGAGGTTGAGTTTTTTGAATATTTGAATACTACATGTTAATGGCTTCATAAAGAAGTCAATAACTTGCTGACCAAAATCTTTTACAATGTCAGAGTATTTGTAACAGACTTTGACAACGTTTTGGAATAAATTATCCGATTCTGATTGGAAATTAAGATCATTTGACTTTTCAAACATTTTAGGTAAGAATTCTGATACTATACTAATGTCAAACTCTAAGTGAGAGAAAGCACTAAACATTACTAGGTTAAATCCGTAAATTGTCAAATAATAATTTTTTTCTCCGCAATATTCTGATGAATAAACTAAATTTGCTGACTCTATTAACTGAGTGATCTTTTCTTGATCTGGAACAAATCCTGCGTTGATATATTTTTCAATTCCAATGAGATTATGAGGCATAACGATAAAATCGCAATATTTTAATGTACCAAAGAATATGTCCGATATATCTTTTATAAACGATTCGCCTAAATTAGGTTGGAACAAAATCGAGTAAATTCCTGTACATTCAAGAATCCATTCACTATTTTCATTATTCTGAAAATATTCTATGCATATATTATAGAAATCAGCATAAAGGAACTTATCAGGATGTTTTATAGCGAATCTAGAAAATGAATTAAATCCATCATTTTTTATCTCTTCATCTTCGAATGATGGCGATATTACATTAAGGGTACATTGAAGATACAGACCAATTACTTCATTACTAACTTCAATTTCTGATTCAAATATTTCCCTGAAGAAATATAAGAATAAACTTAATAATTCTATATTATCAGCAAAAGACATTATGGTTGTTAAGAAATCTTCATCAATCTTTCCAAATAATACTGTGAATCTAAAAATAGCTTTGATATTAAGAGATAATACATCATAATCTGAATCACTCTGGAAGTACTCTAATAGGATATTCTTAAGAATATCATAATGGCCGCTAACGTCTTCGATTTTACAATATTTGAAATAAGATTTCAAGAATTTGAGCGAAGAAGCTATGTAATCACTATCGTTTTGCTGCATTGCATATATAATCCTATCAATTATAGTCCCTATTTCTAATACTTTAATTTTGCACGTTTTAGCTAAAGATTCGAGACATTCAGTAAAGAAAGGAGAGATTTTATTAGGATTACTGTCAAGAATGCCAAAGATTAATGCAAAATAATCATCTAAAATCGGTTCATCAACAGATTTTCCTGCTCCGAGTAACAGACCTAAAGATTCAATACTAGAAGATCTAATACAATTATATGCATTATCATTTGCTGCAAATTCCTTTAGATTATAATAAATATCTGGAAGATGAAGAGTTACACAGTCTTGAGCCGAATTAATGAGTTCTTTGATACAATCAAATCCTAGATAAGCAGATGGTAGCTCGTTTTCATGCAGTAATTTAATTAAACCCGTATAAAGAGAAGAAAAATCAGTTGGATTTATTGGAACTGCTGAAAAGTAAGAGGTGAACGCCTTTAAAGTGAGCATTAAAGTATCATTGTCCTGTGTTTCTAACAATTTTAAGAACATTTCGTTGCAACCAACTGATATTTTCTCTAATTCTTGAAATCGACAATCGAATATCTCTTTAAGCAGCATTAATGAAATTTTAACATTATCAAGGCTTTCATTGTTGACATTTTTCTGAATAAATTGAAATACGTCCAAAATATTACGTTGAATCGCCAGCTGAATGTCTTGTAACGCATACATTAAAAGGAAAAGTACTGCAATATCTGAAACATCACCGCTTTTTAAAGCTTCAACAATATATTGATAAAATTCAAGTTGAGGACATTTTTTAGAGATAGTCGCTACTAATTCTTCAGGGAAATAGTTATTTATGTCATTGAGATCGTATTCTGATGAAATTATTGTAATAAATTTTAGAATAATCAAAATCAACTGTTGGAATGAAATTTTCTCATTGTTATCAGAGTAATTAATAATAGGCTCAAGAATAGGAAGAATCAATATCTTATTGTCAACAGATATAGACTCTTCATCTAATATTTTAGTTATTAACTCAAAAACATCATCAAAGTCTGTGAATTCGATATAAGCAGATATAAAATCAAGAAAGGCATCACATAGAGCACCAAGTTTATCATTATAATTTTCTTGAGAAATATTGAAAATTTGTTCCTTCGCTATGATATAAATATCATTAAGCGCTTCAGGACTCACTTTTATATATTTCTTGAGCTCTATGACGAGTACCATCATCTCAATCAAAGTATTTCCAGCTATTGCTTTCGGATTTTTTAAATTGTTTGAAACAAAGTCTCCAAATAGTTGAGAAATGGACTCAGGTGTAACGAGAGGTAGTAATCTACGGAAAATATCGAAGAAAAGCAACAGATCTAAATCAGTATTATTTTTTAAACGTTTTTGTATGAAATTGAATAGCTCATCCCAATTGGCTTGCGTTTCTTTGAATAATGATACTATAGAATTGAGTAGCTTACCCTTAATAATTTGATCTTTTTCGAAAAGAATTGTATTTAGTAGGATTTCCTTTATTTTTACAAAAGAATCAGAATGTATATAGTATTTCGCATGTCTTTCTGCCATTTTTGATATTGTAATTGCTATTTGTTGTCTAATAGTTTTGTCTTTATTACTTTTTAAATGCTGAATTAAAGAAAATATTGATTGAGGATCATCCATTATCTCAAGTATTCTCTTTGTAGCCAAAGAAGTTGCTTCATTAATCGGAACTAATGAAAGTGCAAATATCGAATCTAAATCTTCATCCATTAATGATCAAGGAAACAAAAGAAGAAGTAAGTTTTTGTATTATAATTTTTTCAATCAATTAAATTTTTTAGAAAACCAAAAAAAATTATCCGGAAATTTATTCACGAACAATGTGGATGTGCTTCTGTGTCTTTCTGATGTAGAACTTGAAGATTTCTTCAATGATGACAACAGGGAAGGCAAGAAGAACAATGATTGCCCACTGTGTGCAGTTGAGGTGGACAACGGAGAAGATCTTCTGTGTGATTGGGAGCTCAATAACAAGAAGATGAACGAGAACAGAGCCGCAGATGGAGAGGATAAGCTTTGGATTTCTGTGTGGTGGTAACTGGAAGAATGAAAGATGTTCAGAAACAGCAGTAAGGGCAGAGAACATTTCAATGATAACAAGAACTGTCATAGCCATTGTGCCAGCTGTCTCATCCTCAAGGATTTCCTTGATATGTGGGTTGCCATGGTAGTGTGTGATTTCGTAGTATGTAAGGTGTGGGCCGAGTGGGTCGAGGATGTAGTGGTAGTAAGCAGCAGCGATTGTAGCGAGACCAAGGTAGACACCACCAACAATGTAACGGCAAAGGTTCATTGGTGTGATGATGTTCTCATCCTTTGGACGTGGTGGGAGATCCATAACGTTTGGCTCAGCTGGGTTAACACCGAGAGCTGTAGCTGGGAGACCATCTGTAACGAGGTTGACGAAGAGGAGCTGTGTGGAGCGGAGAAGGTTTGGACCACCGATGAGGGAGGAAACGAAGCAGCAAACGACTTCACCAATGTTGCATGTAAGAAGGTAACGGATGAAGGATGTTGTGTTGTTGTAGATAGCACGGCCTTCGCGGACAGCCTTGACAATTGTTGAGAAGGAGTCATCGGAAAGAATCATCTGAGCAGCGCCCTGAGCGACTGTTGTGCCTGTACCCATAGCGATACCGATATCAGCCTTGGAAAGAGCTGGAGCATCGTTAACACCATCACCTGTCATGGCGACGACGTTGTTCTGTTCCTGGAGGATGCCGACGAGTTCACGCTTGTGCTTTGGTTCGACACGAGCAAGAACGACAGCGTTCTTAGCAGCTTCACGCTTCTCAGCGTCGTTCATCTTTTCCCAAGCAGCGCCTGTGAAGACCTTGCCTGTTGGATCTTCGTGCTCACCGAGCATGTGGATGTTGCGGGCGATAGCTGTAGCTGTTTCTGGGTTATCACCTGTGCACATGATAACACGGATGTTAGCGTTGTAGCAGTCCTTGATTGACTGAGCAACATCTGGACGCTCTGGATCAAGGATACCGACGGAACCAGCCCAAATGCAGCCAGATTCGTACTTGATGAGCTCCTGCTGATCAATGATATTCCAGTTGTTCCAGTCATCTGTGCATTCCTTGTAAGCAAGACCGATGCAGCGGTATGCCTTCTTGCCGGCCCATTCCTGGCGGCAGGAGTCGATTTCCTTGCGGACGGCCTCTGTGAGTGGCTTGACTTCGCCTGTCATGTCTTCGATGTAGCGGTCGCACTTAGCGAGGATGACTTCGAAAGCACCCTTCATGACGAGTGTGTTCTTGCCAACAATGCAGGACATTGACTTACGGGCACGTGTGAATTCGTGTGTGCGGACCTTTGGATACTCCTTGTACCAGTACTTGGAGACATCTTCCATGCGCTCAACAGCACCCTTCTTAAGACGAGCCTCTTCAGCTTCCTTTGTTGGGAGACCAACCTTCTCAGCGAAGACCTTGATAGCAGCGTCTGTTGGTTCGCCCTTACGGCCGAAGCCCTTCTCCTTGCTGTAGATGATAGCACCATCGTTAGCGAGTGTGCCAACCATAGCAGACATCTGGGCAGCCTTGTGTTCATAGAGGTTAGAGACCTTCTGGCCCTGGATAGCGAGAGCACCATCTGGGTCGTAGTCCTTGCCCTGAACTTGGTAGACAGAGGACTTTCCATCGATAACTGTAGCGAAAACTTGGACAACCATCTTGTTTGTTGTGAGTGTGCCTGTCTTATCAGAGCAGATGACGGATGTGCAGCCGAGTGTTTCGACAGCTGGAAGCTTTGTGACAATAGCGTTGGACTTAGCCATACGGTTGACACCGAGGGAAAGAGTCATTGTAACGACAGCTGGAAGGCCTTCTGGGATAGCAGCGACAGCGAGGGAAATAGCAATCTTGAAGAACATGAGACCACCCTTGATTCTGTTGCCGTTGCCGACTTCATCGAACTTGGAGATGTTAGCAAACCAAGTGATGACGCAGATAAAGAGAATGCCGACAGAAATGTACTTGGAGAAGTTGTCGAGGTTGCGCTGAAGTGGTGTGATAACTTCTTCTTCCTGCTGTGTTGTCTCTTCGATGTAGCCCATCTGTGTATCCTTGCCGACAGCATAAGCGATACCGATGAAGCCACCGCGCTCGAGTGGTGTGCCCTTGTAGGCAACATTGATACGATCGTTAACGACAGCATCTTCCTTAACGACTTCGAGAGACTTCTGGACTGGGACTGGTTCACCTGTGAGGTTGGACTCGTTGATGGCGACCATGGAGGACTTGAACTTGCAGAGACGGATATCTGCAGAGATAGCACGGCCTTCGGAGACATCAACAAGATCGCCGCAGACGACTTCGACTGCTGGGATCTCACGGAGTTCGCCATTACGGATAACGTTAGCAAGGGAAGGTGTGAATTCCTTTAAAGCCTCAACGGACTTCTGAGCATTGAGGTCTTGATAAACAGCGATTGTAGCATTAACAACAAGAATGAAAATAATAACCCAAGGTTCAATGAAAGCAGTTGTGCGCTCTTCTGGATCCTCTTCGAAATAGGCGAAGATGAAGCCAAGAACGACGGAAATGAGGAGGATAATGACCATAGGATCCTGGAACTGTTCAAGGATCATGGAAAAGATGGATTTCCTCTTTGGCGGTGGAACGGAGTTGACACCGTACTTTTCGCGGTTGATAAGGACTTGTTCATCTGTTAAGCCCTTCTCTAAGTCACTATTAAAATATTTAGCGACTTCTTCAGGCGTGTGCGCGTGAGCGGGATACACCATGAAAAAATTATAAAAATTTGAGATAAAACATGACCTCACTTCATTTTATTTACTTATCCCCTTCAATTTTGTGAAGTTTACATTTTTGTCAAGTGGCCTATCGTATTGATCCTAATTACATAACGATCTTTACAATCTTTAAGAACGCTTCATGTGATAGTTAACTTCAGAAAATTTGAGAAGGTATAAAATAATTTTTATCAGAAAAAAAACGTTGCATCCCGGTTATTTTTATTTTTAGTAAATATAACAGCACAAATGAATATTAATCCGGATGAATTTGTTTTGATCGGTCATCTATTCAACTAAGAATTTTTTGAAAGGTGACCAAACTATTTTTTGAAAGTCCGCCATAACTTTAATGGTACTATTTCAGCGTGTACAATGAATACAAAAATTCTAAGAGTGCCACATAAAATAGTACTTTAGACTTGAGTTAATGCTACCAAGCAAATGTTAAAAAGATGACTTTAGTGTTTTGATAATCAAAGATTAAAATCATTATTGTCTAAATCAATAATCATAACGACAGAAGTTAATGTTTTTTCATCAGTGCTTTAAATCCACTTTTAAAAGTATACCTCAAAAATCAAAATATCAAAAAAAATTGGCCGATAGGTTTGGCTTTAATTTTTGTCTGCTTTTATGATTTGATATGGATGTTATAATTTTAAAAGTTGAGCCAAATTCACCAATAGATTTTTGAGATTTGCAAATACTCAATAATTTTCAGCGTGTTATCTTTTATTAAAAGAACTATTTGGTTTCAGTATCATATAAATTGATATTTACTTTCTATTTGAACCTTCATTTAGCTAATGATTTAGTAATACAGATTTCATCTAATCCTTATAAGAGAATTTTGAATTTGTTATAATAAAAAAACAAACAGATATAGCTTACACTTCTATAATAAAGATACCTTTTATAGAAATCAGTATGAAATGTGTTTTTTGACACGTAAAGCTCTCAATTCATTATAACATGTTTGTCGATTTTTATATATTTTTCGCTTTCATTATCTATGATATTAAAAATTATGTCATCAGAATGTGAAATAATTAAACAAATGCCCTGCGGGAAGTATTTTATACTAGAATTTATAAAAAAAATCACTGTACGTTTAGCCTACTGGTTATGTCGTGGGGTTCAAAGGCAATATGTTCAAATCAGTAAGCACCCAGTTTTTTTATTTTTTATTTTTTTTAACAAGGTGAATATAACTTTTGATCGAAATCAATGAGTTACATGAATTATCATTTATCTAACTACAATTAAATTGTGAAAATATACTATCCAATATTAGCGTTTAATAAAATCAAAGATTATTGACTTATATTTTGAAAGTAATCTAAGCAGAATTTAGATATCCAAATTCTAAATATCTTCATGCTTAGATGCTAGATAATATATTCTTATTTGAAAAATTTATAATGTTATTATTTTCTTATTTGATATTTACTACAAGCAGAAAAGCATTTATATTGTAAATTAACAGATTATGATAATTATACTCGTTTTTATATGTTCTTAATGAAGAATATCAAACGTATTTCTATGAGTTTTAAAAAATGAAAAGTTTTAATATGGCTAATATATTTATTATCATTAATAGAATAAAAAAGTTTTTTTCGCATATCACTCGATGATTTACCTTCGAGTTTTGATAAATTTCGAAAAAATTTAAGGAATGCTCTTTGAATTTCTTTACCTATAAGCATATTATCTGCCGTATTATTTTTCGCTAATTGTAGAATTTTATTTAATTTTAATAATTAACCTTCTAAGCTTATTGAGAGATCACATTGTATATTTGATACGTAGTACATATGCTAAATCTGTGAATTAGATTGTAAGATATTGAACAAACGTTCTTAAACATTTTAGATTTTAGGGAATTACTGAATTAAACTATATTTCTTATATGATATCTTCATGTTTGGATGCTTTGGGTATAATTTATTGGGCTTTTTCTATCCAAATGTTTGGCAATGGTAACCCAATTTCTAACAAATTTATGATGGAAAAATTTATGACTTTTATGGAGCCGAAAAAAAAGCATAGAATGAATAAGACTATTAAAGATAAGCTGTAATTTGATTGTGAATTTTAAGAAAAGAATTTGGATTAAAATTTGAAATTCTTTTTTTTTGAAAATTAGCCGATGATATGCTTAAGCTAAAAATTACTAGAAGCGGTGTGATATAATTTATATAAAAAAACTCATAATTGCCATTATTATTGGTACATATAAAGTCAAATTATAATTTGCAGTTATGCTTTAATCAAAATCTATATTGAAACGCTTTGTCACATCCATTAAAAAGGCTGTCGCATATAAATCCAAACATTTGCTTGGTATGTACTTTTCCATTTTAACGTCCTGATTGATATAAGCATGTTTTACACTTTAAAATAGTAATTATGACAACCTGTACACCATAGAAGTAGGCTATAACAAGAAAAATTAGATTGACATCGAATAATTTCAAGATTTAGAAACAATTTGTAGCTTTCTCAATTATCTAGAGTTAAAATTCATTTATAATGAGGTCATATATTTTAATTATCTTGTAATCAATGTTCGAACATTACCATTAAAGGAATTTTTACTTTAATTAAATTTAAAAAATATAATTTGTGACTAAAAATAACAAACAAGTTTAATACAAACAAAATAGTATACAAATATACAAAAGAACTATCATTTAACGAATATTTCAATCTGAGATTTGAAATTTATGATAGTTATAATAAAGGAGCTCTATTTTGAGAGCTATGCAGCGAAGTAGAGTGTGGTTACATGACTATAATTCACTTTGTTTTCAATTGTCATTGTGCGAAGTGTACTCCTTAAGATTTGTGAAAAATTGCCTTTATTTATGAGATCAACAATGTGTTTTGGATGACGTTTCGCATTTAGAATAGCAAACTCTAGATTCTCATATGTGATCCCGTTATGAAATCTACTTAATGTATTATGAATGTATGTTTCAAAATCGCTGAATTTGTTTGCCTTCTTGGCAAAATTTGATGGTAAAATGACATTTTCTGGGAATAATTGAGCAATATGGCTTTCTTCATATAATGGATCATTTTCAAGAGGATCAGATTTGTCATTATGAGGATCTAAATCGTTTAATCCTTTCTTGCGTGATTTTTTTTGGTTGGGTTGTCAAAAACATCTTTTTTGACAGATAAACGTGAAAAAATACTATAACCTGAAATTGGATTTGATATATGTGTTGACATTAAAATTTTTGAGTGAAATTGATTAATTTCATTCACCCAACTAAGCAATACATCAACGCTGGAATTACTATTATATCTAAATCCACATTTGGATAACAAGGCATATGCATATTCTTTGCACATTTCATATTGACGTGAATCTTGACGCATTGTGTAAATGTCTTCAAATGTAATACCAGCTTGATAGTCACGTGAATGGGTTTTCCAGTCAATATCGTATTTTTTATGAATTTTGAGTGTTAAATTACATTCTGCAATAGATGTTTCGGTTGTTGACAAATCATACTTAAAATGAGCCATGACGCGAAGTAAACCATTCAAATGTTCTTCCGTCATGGTTGTCAAATGAGAAAAATTGAAAAATGTTGAATTAATACTGAAAAAATATTGGAAACAAATGATTGTTGCTGTAAGATGCTTTACAACTTCCCAAGTTCCCATATAATAGACCGGATAAATGTTTCCGTCTATTTTGACAACACCAAGATTTGTCTTAATGTGACGGTCTCTCATTTGAATGCAATGATGTACCAAGAGCAGATATGCAAACCACATCATTTGACATCTTGTGTCAGCATTAAATGCCTCATTTCGTATGCTTTCATACCAGAATGCAAGTGGAGCTATGAATAATGCTTCATTATAATAGTTTTTTTCTAGAAGCGCCTTTACAGCTCTAATTGAAAATATTGTGATCGGATATTTATCTTTTATCCTTCCCAGAGGTGAAGTATCATTAAGAGCATCACCTAATTCGATTGCATCTCTGATCTTGTTAACATCAACAATTGTATTCAGATCAGATGGATGAACTAAAAGCTTAAGTGTTGCATCGAGTAATCTGGTACGTTCAAGTTTTGACATATGTATGAGATCATTAATCCATACAACTTGATCTCCTTTCTTTAAGATAGCAGTAGCTCTTTTAAATATTTCTTCGGGATCATTACCTTGCAAAATTTCATTAATAAATTCATCTTGATGCTTATCATATCCGGGATCTCCATCAGTAATGATGACTCTAACTCTTAAGTGCTTTCGTATTTCTTCGATTGCTGCATCAATTTCGTGGATAATTCCACTTGCAAACCCATTGGCATGTTCTATAACATGTAATATAACATTTGGCGCATCAAAATTTAGGGGCATACCAAGAAATATGAATAAGTATTTGATTTCTTCTCCATTTTCATCAACAGGACCTTTTTGGTCTTTAGAGGACCAGGTAGAGAGTGCAACTGCATCTATTGCTATTGCCCATTCATATTCAGGTGTATTTTCTACGTGATAGTTCATGCTTTCTAACATTCGCGGAATGAGCTCAGCATGTTTAACAAACTGTTTCATATTCATTATGTCTTCATGAAACCTATTGTACAATGTTACAGGCGTAGGAAAAGGTAAACAAAATTCCAAGAGAACATCATATGCTGCTGGTGATTTGCTATGTATTAAGAATGCCAAATCTACCAATTCACTTTCACCTCCATATCTATAACCTCTTTTATCTTTTCTACAAATGTTTTCCATAATAGTATGTATAATATTTCTTGTAAATTCAGGAACATGTTCCGGAAATTCTGTATTCCAGTAAGTTCTGTCTTGGTGATCATCGTTGTCTTCTTCTATTTCCTTTGTTTTTCTTCCAATATTCTTATTCAACAGACTTCTGCGCATTTCAGCCTTTATTGCGTCTAAGTCTTCTAGGTAGGCTTTATACATATGCATTTTTCCGGTTCCTGTATACGGGAATACCTGAACATCAGTTTCAAATGATCTTTTGTAAATTTGTTTTCGAATATCTTGATTAAATTTAACTAAAAACGTTTCTCGGTCTCCTTTTATTTCAATTTCAAGTTCTTCAATCTTCTTTTTAAGTTCGTTGATGTCTGAGAGAGGAATATAGAATCCAACATTCATTAACTTTTTGAGAGAATGTCAGACCAATCTGAATAAAATAAACTTAATATTTTCTATAATTTCATACTAGAATAGAATTGGTAATGATATTTAATATCTTTTTGCTTCACTTGTAGAAATTATTTTGAAATTAATTTTTTGTAATCGACAAGATACAATTTTGTTATGACCAAATGTTGTCACTACTAATTTAAATTCCATTTACAACAGCTACTTTATAAACATCCATCCAAAATTGAAGATTCCTAAAATTTCAAAATGGAAATATGCAATATGAATGATGAAATCATATCCAATAGTTATGAAATTCATCATACATAAGATAAAAGATAGAAAAATAAGCAAATATGAAAATTTAATGCATAATGATATGTGAATAACTGTAAAATTGCAAAACCACATCAGCATCAATTATTGGCATAAATATATATTCTTTTGATTGTATATGCATTTCTGTTTTGGAAATAACTTTCAGATTAAACTTGTTAAGCCCATTCATAGATAATTTGCACGAAAACAGTTCTGAACAACTTAGAAAATGGTCTTTGTCTAACTACCAGAAATAATTTATTGATAGAAATGTCTTTTAAAAAAGAAAATTTCATATTAGGCATCCGTAAAGGTTTTTGTTTGAATGTTGGGGGTTAAGGAGTGTAATAGTCAAGATATTAGATAACTAAGTGTATGAAGTTGTCATCTATGTTGATAACAGCGGAAAATTAAAAATAATTATTAAATCATAACTTTTTGTCTCATGAAAACCATAAAAAAGTATAAAACTAAAGGTTTTTGCATGTGAACTATAGAAAGCTTTAGATTCATAAAAACTAGATTTTTTTTGATATTTTGATTTTTGAGGTATACTTTTAAAAGTGGATTTAAAGCACTGATGAAAAAACATTAACTTCTGTCGTTATGATTATTGATTTAGACAATAATGATTTTAATCTTTGATTATCAAAACACTAAAGTCATCTTTTTAACATTTGCTTGGTAGCATTAACTCAAGTCTAAAGTACTATTTTATGTGGCACTCTTAGAATTTTTGTATTCATTGTACACGCTGAAATAGTACCATTAAAGATATGACGAACTTTACAAAAAACAGTTAGGATACTATAAATCTAACTGCCAATTTATACACTTTCGGCTAAGGAGAAACATAATAAATTTGACGCTTTTCTTAGCAAGGAAGCCATATTTTTGATTTGATATCATTTTTTAATACAAATTTATATGTGTTAATGCGGGGGTAAACGATAAGCGCAATTACTTTTAGCAAACATACTTTGAAAACCAATATGCTATAATTTTATATTATAATTTGAATAAAAATTGTAAATTGTTAGTTCTTGATGCAGCATTCAAAGATAATAACAAGATAGAACGATTTTCAAAAAGGAATGTTTGATTTTATCATTGAATTAAAATAAAATTCTAATAGTAATATATATGTCTGTGTTATAATGAAATTGATGGTATACGTTAGCACCAAATTACATATGCTAGTAAATACAAGCCACATAAATAACATTTTAGTATGTCTGCAACCTTTTTTTTTGAATCATGAGTAAGTAAGAATATTTTTGTAACAAAATGATATCATGTATCGAAAGAACATACTTTATTGTTGTATCCTCTACTTTTCCAAAGATTATTGTATCTCAAATCTTAATTCTTTAGATGGTAAACAAAAACATTCATGCAAGAGACATTCCAAGGAGCATATTACACTGTAGAATCTTGAAAAAGTTGGAACTAATTAATTCACTCCAGAGGAGCAATGTTGTATGCATTCAATTTTAAAATAAAAAAAAAACTATATATTATCGAACTTAATACTTTGGGTTTTCATATCTATATACTTCTTCCAATGAACTAATTTCCAAACAAAGCTCTTGAAAAATCTTTAAATATAAGATGACTTTTGCTTATATTTTTTGATTTCTCGATAGCAATGCTAGGATATTACAATATTTCCATGTATTTTACTAGGTTGTAACTAGTTGGCATAAGAGTACATATATAGAATCGCTCCGACTATATAATATAATGTTTATTTAATATTACTGTTTATTTTACAGCTAAAGCTTAAACTTATAGTGTATTTATTTTTTAACTGTCTGAATAATGGCAGATTATTTTAATATTTAACATTGATATTGAAATATGAAATAATGCATTTTTCCTTTTTAGCTAGAACACTTGTTTGGGCAATATTTTTCTTTTTTAAACACCAAAATCACATATTTCTCTTATATATATATTACGTGTTTTTAATTTGGCATTAACTTTATTAATTTTAGATTCATAAATCATGAAATAAATCAAACATATAAACTTGATTTGGCTTAATTAAATTTAATTTTTTTCATCTTTTTTTATTTCACTATCGATATTTGAAATTTGCATTACCCAAGACATGGATAATTAAATTTTCAAATTATTGGTATTGATATTTTCGATTTTGATTATGACTTTATTGGTTTAAGAATATTAGGTTATCAATTTAGGTAGTAGAGAAATATCAATACATTTAGATTATAGCTTCACTAGCATCAATAATTTTTCTCCTCAATAATTTCGATTCCATTATTGTATTTCCATATTAAAGAACCTCTACAGCATAAAGTATATTACATTTACTCATTTATTTTATTAATGTAGACTGAATATTTTGGAAACATTCAATATTTATAATTTGGTGCCAGATACCTACAATACTATTAAAAAAGTATCAAATTATGCAGGAAATGAATAGATTCACTTTCGTTGCCGCGCTCAATAATTTGTCATTTAATTTTAATACAAACGGAAATTATATTCTTACATATATTTAGTTTTCCAAATTCTATTAGTTTAAAATGTTTTAATTTTTCATTCAATAAATACTCACAAAATATACTTACAAATTTTCAAATTCCTTAGAATTTTTTTAAGGGTGCCCTATAACGATAATGTAAACATCACAAAATTAACCTTATTAGAACTCGAATGAATGGATTATCCAGATTCTAGTTCTCAATATAATAGCCTTAAAAGTGCTTTTCTGAGGGTGGTCTATCGTCTATAGGGCACCCTTAACTTTTGATAAGAAAAAATTTAATTGATAATTATGATTATACTGTTACCCCTTTCGACGTTATGTGGGAGTGTAGAGTCAAGATGGTTTGATTATTTCGGGGATATAAGCCAAGGGTCAATATTCGAATATTCCGCTGGTAGCGTTATTAACTTTAATGTTTTAGATTTTACCAATCTTGGTAAAAATTTCATGATTCAAGATTGCAACTTTATAAATATGACTGTCACTACAATATATTTACATGATCATCTGCTAAACGTTTTACTAAAAAGGTCTTTATTTGAGAGATGTACAACCCAAGGAAGAGGAGGAGGAATCTACACCTATGGTGGAAATAAATTCGTTTTAGATAAAATTTACGCAAATAAATGCTCAGCAAAGGTATCAGGTCATTTTCTATTTTATGAATTAACAAATTCTTCAGTTTATATGACTTCAGTAGATAATTGCTACACTATTAATAATGAAGATCCGGATTTATTATCAACTACAATTATATTCACTGCAAAATATGGTTATTTGAAATGCTGTAATTTATCCTTTAATAAAGCAATATATTCATCTGCAATCAGTCTTCGTACAACAGAATCTTATTGCATAAATTTCTCTACCATAAGTAACAATTCTAATTCCAAACAGGCAAATGATATTAAGCAAGATAAAGTTTGTATTTTTTCAAGCCATATTCTTAACAATAGTGATGAACGCCTTGTTTGCTTAAGAGCTGCTCAATTAGTAATTAGAAAATCAGTAATTTATGGTAATAATGTATCAACAATATTTTATAGTGAAAATGAAGGGAGATCATTTTACCTTCTTAACGAAGTCTATATGGATAAAGTAAGCACAGGTGGTAATTTGTCAATAAGTTACAATAATAATTACAGAATCAACACGTACAATTTGAGTATAACATGTCCTCCACTTCCTCTTCCAATGACAGCCCCTAAGAAGATGGAACATGTTAATAATGCATATAAGAAATAAGATTATCGAATCATTATAAAATCTATAGCAATTGTATTATATATTTTGAAAGAATAAAAACTTAGAATTAAATAGTTTTACAATTGAAAATCATATGTCTAAAAACATGATTGCTAAATAATATCATTATTCTACCAAATTATGACAGTGATAATATCCATAACATCTAGCAGAAATTTGAAATTGATCCCAAGAAATAGAAAAATGTTGAAATATTCTATTCACTCAAAAATCAATATCATCAAATTCACATTATATACTGCAAGTTAAAGGTCATAGAAGATACATCATTGTTCTTTGAAGCTTTTATTCTCCATCATTTTACAATTTTTCCGATAATAAGACTAAGGAATTACTGCTCTTTATATTACATCAGAATAGGATTAAGAACAGTACAAGTGGAAAACAATCTTAAAATTATGCAAAACTAATAAAAAACATCAATTATTCTTCTTAGAAATGCATTTGATTTTGGATCATAAATACATACTTATGCAATTTCAACTCTTAGTAACAAATTTGTATATTTGAACCATTGAGGATATATGAATTCATGAGAGTTCATCTTTTTTAGCATAAAAAAAATTAATAATTAAATTTGTCCATACTGCGGCTGATAATTATAGAAAATATCAGGAATGTCAAAGAAATTTATTTGTTGTACGATCAGAATTAGGCAAAAACAGGTCATCACAATAATTTTGTTTTGAAATAAAGTATTTTATCTGGATAATTCATGTTTAGATTCATTTTTTGAAAGCAATGAACAAGAAGAAGATATGTTTATGGTATTATTTTCATTTTATTGGCACGATTTTTTTTAAAAAACATTTCTCAAAAAAATCAATCATAATACTGAATTAAACAAAATCATCCCAATAATTTTATTTGAAAAATATAATCATCACAAATTTTAATAATTCAAAATTAAGAGTGCATTGAAAAGTATATCCAACGATATAACTTCATCATGATTGATATATAGTAGTTGAACCAATAAACACAAGTATATTTGAAATTGGAAACAGATAAAATAATGATTCAATTTTTAAAAGGTGTTGCTTTTTTTCATAATAAATTTATGCTTTTTCAACTCCTTGTAATTAGGGAAAGAATATTACAAGAATGGAGCACATACTATTCAAATAATCCTGATATTACAATTGGAGATCGATTCAGCCCATATTTTGGTACAAGACAAGCTACAAGTAACAAATATATAAGAATATCAGACTGTGAGTTCTGGAGATTATATAAAGAATGTGCAGTGAGGCTTGAAGGCACCAGTTCATCAACTCTTATTGAGAATTCAATATTTTATCTATGCAATTCATTGAAGGAATTCGTTTCTGCAGGAGCCATATATGCAAAATCATCAAATAGCCTTGTGATTGATAAATATGGCAGTAGTTATTGCAATGACCTAGTTTTGGATCATTTCTTCGTTCAAACTCCAAACAAACTTCAATTTTCGAAACTTATGTTACTTTATGTGGAAGAAATCAAGAAAATATAGAAACAGAGGCAACAATTTATTGTAAAGAGATACAAAGTCAAGAGCCTGTCGGTTCAATAAAAAACATCAACAGTACTTTCAATTATGGTGTATCCAGTTCAGGACTTAGATTAGAGGAAAAACAAACTCGCGAGATTCATTATGCAGAATTTATTAATAATACTGCTCTTGGGGCACCTGATCCATCCAATATTATACACTTCCTGTCATCTCAAAATGGAGTTGAATTTCGGTATTGCAACATTATTTATAACAAATGTAAATCAGTTATATATTCATATAGGCCATTTTCAATAATAGATTCAGCTTTTTTTAAAATGAAGCAGTCGCATCATTTTTTATTGTAGGAAATGAAAACCCATTAATATCATTTTCACAATCGTATGTTGATCCAATTTCATTTCACGAGGATTCTAGTAATAAACGAACATTAATAGTACAGACAGTGCAGGTTCAATTTAAAGTATCTGTTTCTAAACTCGTAACATATAATTTCCAGAAATATATAACTGCTGTCAAAGAACCTGAAAGACTCATTGATCTCAAAAAATATTTGAAGAAGTAAGGCGTCTAGAAAAGGCCTTTTTATTTATGCAATTTTTGGTAATGTGAAATTTCCTCATCAATTGCAACCAATCATAGTTTGAAAAAGTTTCTAGTAAATCATTAACACTTATAATCTTTTGTTCTAATTAAGTTATAACTAGATTTCAATAAAAATATTCATGTAAAGGAAATGATTTTTTTAAAACATATTTATGGTAAAATTCCGTATAATACTTTATAATTCATTTAACTAAGATAAGCTAAGACAAAATATATTAATATCTAGGAGGCAAGTAAACAATTTAATATATTAAATTGCTGTATTTCGCTTGATAATTAGCTGAATCATGTGCTGATTGGAGTAAATATGCGATTTCCAATCTCTTACATCACTGATTCCGATTTTTTAATTGACTCTTTGAATTCGCAAAATTTTTACCAAATGCGACATTTAGATTTTAAGATTCGAACAATATACATACTTCTATGAATAAAACCAAATCTTGCTGAAAAATATCGAAATCGTAAACGATTAATTTTTTTCCAAAATTTGAAACGGAAAAATCAAATTGAGAGGTTCGCCTCAAAATTTGATAATAAAAATAATTGAGAACTCAGAATTCATTTTTTTCTCATGTCCAACAACATGAACGAGGTTTTCGAGCATGAAACAATTGAATTGGAGCTCGGTGACATCAATGGTGCATCCACAGTTATAGATGAAATGAAGAAATTGCACTGGGCAATTAAAGAATGCAAAATTCAAACGGAAGATCTGGGATTTGAACCAATTGACCTAATTGGTCATTCCTATGATGAATTTTCCCTTTAAATGATTAGATTCACAGCTCCATGATTACAAAAAACGGCATCTCGAACTTTTTTTTTCTTCTTATTTACTAAATTTTTTTATTACTTAAATACTTTTCCTTGTTGATGCTAGCAGGAAAGAATATAAGTTAGAACTTCTCAATTATCACCAATTTAAATTTCATAAGAAATGAGATATGAATCTTGATAAGAATTGCTAAAAAATGTTTAATGTGCATGAAATATGTGTTTCATCTATTCTTCTAATCTACAAGTAGCTGACAAATGGAAAAATTTACTTTTATCGTCAAAATCTTGATATCCTATCGTTGAGAAAGTCTTTATTCAATGTTAAATCTCTAATATTAGACTTATCTCTGTGCGAATAACATGACAATCTGTTTCTATGGCTTCTACACAGTTTTATTAGATTGAAATTTTTATATAACCTTTTACTTATCAAAATTTGTAATAATCAAATCTTGATTTTACATTTTCTATTGTCAACATTAACATTTTTAAAATGTGATGCATTATGTATTGTTGTTTTTATAATATATGATCTCTGAAATGTAGGTGAATAAAGAAAATAAAACAAATTTTGTTCAAATATTCTCTAAAAATTCTCACAGTTAGCAATTATGACAAAAATACCGAATATCATGAAGATTGAGATGATTTATACATAAAATTTACTAACAAAAAATTAAATATAATCTTTGATTATGCTATCAAGTAATTTTCCGTCAATATCCTGATCTGATTCAGATGTTTCAGGATAATCAGAGAAGTTTGGACTTAAACACTCAGTACTATTGTAAACTTTGATAATTTTTGCTCTTGAATGCGAATAATAAGTATCAAACCACTTATTACATGCATGGTTCAAGTCTGTCAAATCTATAACAACTGATTGCGGACCCATAAACACGGAAAACACCAAAATTGAAATATGATCCGCAATTAAAACATTTGCAGAGCTAATTTCATCAATCAACTTATTTATTTGCTCATTGGAATATATTGGCTTAAGATTCGATTTGGAATCCTTCACTTTTGGAAGCAAATTTGATTGAATCAAAAATTTTCCTTTATCCATCGGTTTCGAGCCAATTCTTTTCGTCACATAGTTTATATCCAACGTATTTATGTAGTCCATCATACTCTGATTATGAACACTCATGCTAGAGAACGTTTCTGTCATAATTAATTGGTCGAAACATTGTATATCAACTAACTTCATTGGAGGCTTAGTAGAAAAGTACTTGAGGAGTGGTGCCGCACGTTCATCAACTTCATCCTTGAAAATAAATTGCGGATTCGTTGAATAATCGACTCTTGCTTTGAAATCTCGTGAAATTGGGAGAATGTAGAACAATAATTGCTTCCATGGTTCACCACTTAATGGAGAAACCATGTAACTAACACCCTGATCCTCGGTAACGTTCTTGTGATCGAGATAAGGCTGTAATGGCCAATTTAAATATTCAAATTTGAAGGAAGTCTGATCAAATGGGATCCAAATGATTGGAGACATAACTTTGGTAAAGTAAAGGAATTTTTGGTATTCTAAACAAACGTGGTTGAGTTCAATCCCTGATTTTCCAAAGAAATTTGCATAGCTATACTTAGTACTATGATTACGAATGAATTTGAAGTCGCGTTTCACATCAATTAATGGCGTATTGAGGCATCGAATTTGAACTGTTGATGGCCCATTTTGTGTATGATCGATGGAGAATTGGAATGTATCAGATGAACGAGAGATATTCTCAACATATTTCGGCTCGTAATCAATTTTGGATATCTTTGTTCTGATATTAGCGTTGACAAAATATGGAAGATATTCTGCTGGATATTCAATTGTATCATCTGATTTGAAAATGAAATCTAGATAGCCTTCTCTATCGATTAATGATCTGAACTTAACACTTTTGCAATCAATTGATTGAAAATCTTTCGGAAATGGCGGATTTAATGGACCTCCATCAAGATAATATATTGTTGCTGCTAAAATTATTGATGATACGAGTATGAGACTATAATGCTTAGAATGTAAAACCTTTTTTTTATGATTGCGAATTCGATTATCAAGCATTATAAAAACTAAAGGATAAAATAATAGATCTAACTTAGAGATTTGCATATTTTATAGAAGAGTCAATATCTTTATAAGAAATGAAATTTTGAATTAAAGCGATATGTTATTTTGCTGTTTTTGCTCAATAATAATTTGAACCTCAAAGTAGAAGTTTCGAAAATGATAAAATTGGCTTCTATCTCAAAAAAATTCGAAAAACAAGATAGAGAAATATTTCAAATAATAAAAATAAAAATGGTTAATGTGAAGGTTCCATAGTGTAATGGCTATCACTGGGGACTCTGAATCCCTAAATCCAGGTTCGATTCCTGGTGGAACCAAAATTTTTCTTTTTCCTCAAATCATTCCCAATTTTTTTTTGGCCTGATTTCCAAGATATTTTCAATGAAATAATACTTATCCCAGTTACAATGGATTCTAAAAACCTTTGGATAAATCAATGATCTTATAACTCCTCTTTCAAAGGTGGAATTGGAATTGAAGCCAATTCCCATTCAAATTTTTTAGAATTGAAAATTTTGAAAATTTTTTTATCAATTTTTTTTTTCACAAATCATCATGTCTGATAGTTTTGGTGACTGTCTGATTTGCGGCGACCCAATCAAACGCAAAATCTTACTTCCATGCAATCACTGCAACTTCTGTTTGAAATGCTATGAGACGATGGTGATGTGTTACAATGAAAAGAAATGTCCTTTCTGCCAAAGAGAGGTAGAGAGCGATCCTATTGTATCCACATCGAAAGAGTTAGGATCATACGAAGATGAAATCAAGAAGAGAAGGCCACATGATGAGTTTTATCATGTTTATTACGACTCTAAAGAAGATATCCAAGAAGTTTCTGGTTTTAGGAAGATTGTATGTTGTGATTGCCATACAGTTTGTCCAAATTTCCAAACACTTAAAGGACATACAAGAAAACTCCACAAAAAAGAACCATGTGAAATCTGTTTTGACTCGAAATGCTTCCTTCCATGCGATACACCACTCTACGATCGTCAACAGCTCAAAGAACATATGAAGCAGCATCCAAAATGCCCATGCTGCAAACATATCGCGTTTGATGGAAATACATTAAAGAAACACTTACAAGAGAACCACTTCAAGTGCGACATATGCGAATCTTTAGGCAAGGACATGTGGTTTGAGACAATAGAACTAATACAAGTCCATTTCCATACAGATCATTACGCTTGCGAGAATCCATATTGCGTAGAGCAAGGATTTATCGCATTTGCAACCAAGAGAGAACTTATACAGCACCAAATCGAAGTCCACAAGGCTCCAAAATCTTTACTCAAGAAATGCAAGGAAGAAATACCACAAGAGGAGCTGGATGAGACATTCGCGGTCAGACACATGAGAACAATCAATCGTTTGAAGCAATCTCTCAAAACTTATTATCCAAATGATAAAAACAAAGCAAACGCAATTGAAAAGCTGATAAGCAATCTAGATAAGAATGTACTTACTCCTGATGACTTTTGCGATAAATACAAGACAATTTCCGGTGAAAATGCCAGCAAATTATTTGTTGACGTCGTAGCCGCAATTTCTAATCCTGATACTCGTGCACTTGTTGTGAAAAACCTGGATGGTATCAGAACTTGTAGTGTTCGTAACTAATTTTCAAAATTATTTTTTCTATCTTAAAAAATAAAGTGTTTAATATTATAAATCATCCATTTTTAGTATAAAAAATTTACTAGTCTTATCAAATTCAACCAATTATATTATAAGATAACAGTATATTTCAATTTGAGTTTTTTTTTTAATTTGACATAAAAGCATAGCAACATTTATCATTTGTTAGTCATACTTATATGTTTGGCATTAATATATCAATCAAAATATCAATTTTTTATATTGCTTTATGATTGATGTTTTTATTCTTATATCTTGTAAGCTCAAAAATCATACAAACATCTTTTGAAAGTACAGAAGACTTCATATGTGAGCCATTATCACCTTGTTCAATTGAAACAGCACTTTCAAATGTTGAATCCAATGATACAATTACAATATCTGATAATATTATTGATGACCAAAGCGATTACGACAAATTTTACCATATATTATCAGAAGTTATTAAGAGAAATCTTTCGATATCAGGATCAAATACAATTATTAATTTCAAAAACATTTTAAATCCCAGTAAATCCATTATCACACTTCAGAATTCAAGAGTTACTATTTCAAATTTCATTTTTTCCGAAATTAGTCATTATATACTGATCAATTCCTTCAACTCTAATATTACATTTGAGAACTGTATATTTAAGAGTTGTAATACAAGTTTACAGATCTTTGAATCTAAGAAGTCCAATATATCTTTTATCAATTGTAATATTCTTGAAAATATTGCATATCAGCGCATGTTTTCAATACAAGATTCTAGTATTACGATGATCAATGTTACATTTAGTCGTAACTGCTTCCGTTACGTAAATTGTTTTTCATTAGATAAATCTTCGATAATTACCAACAATTTATGCATCCAGAATAACTCATTACCATTATATTCATTCATATATGCAATTAGTTCAAAGATTTCCCATAGTTCATTGAAAATTTCGAATAATGTAGCAAATCCACTTTTCTTTTGTGATCATACATCATTAATCATTGAAGAAGGTTCGGTTATTAAATATAACTTAGGAACAATTGCTACAATGATAGAATCCAGCTTCAAATCCAAAGATTTAGTTTTGAAATCGAATTCTGCTGATTCAGACTCATTAATTTACTCACAATTCAGTTCATTTAGCCTAGAAAACTGCAATATTATATCAAATTTCCATTTATTACTGAAATTAAATCATACATCAGCAAAAATAAAGAATTGCACCATAATTTCCAATATTGGATCGGTTCTTTGGAGAATATATAACTCAAATGCAGATATTTCTGGTATTTACATTAATGAGACTAACCAGAAACTGAGTTTCGATAGAACAAATCTTTCTTTCACAAATTCCATAATTTCTCACATACAAAACATATCTTTGAAAAGATCACGCATTAATATTAACCAAGTTTATTTTGGAAACACTGTTGTTAATCTCTTTAAACCAAAAAAGAAATCTTTGATTCAATCTTCATCATTTTATGAGACAGACTTAAAGATTGAAGGAAAAATAAAGCTTAATTCAATATTATTTGATCAAGAAACATCAAAAAAGCTAGAAACAAACGTGTTTAAGATGTGTAGAGATTGTGAGTTTGATTCTCAAAAGAAAATGACGCTACTTGCTCCTCTTTCGACTTTTCGTAGAATTCTACAGATAATATTCGTACTCTTCTTATTAATTGTTCCAATTATTTGGCTCAAGAAGAAAATCAAGTTCATATTAAGATAAATTTCTTGTTTACTATTAATATTTTTAATTTTTATAAACTGATGTCTTATGTTATAACTGATTTAAGAATTTTTCTCATATATTTTACAGTAAATGAAATCAAATTTTAACATATATTAAAAATACAACTATGGAGTATATTGAAATATCAATCATTTCAAAAGTTTTTGGGCATTACACATTTATTAAAAGCATAGAATATGGTAATTTTTGAATATTATACTAAAACATAGATTAAATAGTGAAAAGAAAATAAAAGATTACAATTGGAATTGTTATAACCTTAGCTTACTAACTATCATTGTTGTGGTTTCAATATTAGTGTACATGAAAGGATGTTTACCATTTTAAGATTATAAATGAACGCTGCAAAGTTAATATGATGTTCGTTGTTATTAAAAATGCATGTTTAATTATGGATGCAAGTTTGGTGATAAATGAACCATACTAACATTTTCGAATTTACCACATGAAGTGATTGTAAAAATTTTGAGTGGGGGACAAACTCGCCCATTGTCACTTTTTCATTAACCTTAAACTTGTAATTTTCATTATTTTTAATTAACCTTATTTCTTTCCCAATTCCTGATTTATTTTATTCACTTACTATTAAAAGTCACATTTTAATAAAATATAATAATTTATTTATAGCATTTTTTACTATACTGTAATAAAAAATTAATTATAATAAATTAAATGTTTATTAAATCAAATGTTTTCTTTGCAATAATATTTTTAATGTTGAGTAAACAATGTTGGGATCAAGTGTATCATTTTTCAGACCTTTCTGAACAGCTTCAAGCATACTGATGCATTCGACTTTTTTAAATTGTGTCATTTCTTCGAAATCTCTTGTGACTTTTGTGATAACTTTAACACTTCTCTCTGAATCCAGACCTTTAATTTGCAACTTAATCAGGAATGAAGGAACAACACTGGAATATAACTCGATGACAAGTTCATCGAGTCGAAGATTTGGTTGTACACCACTTGTATGTGCCGGATACCATTGTGTCAATTTTTTCTGAAATTAACTTTAAAAGTACTAAGTAAGATCATGAGATATAGCAATATATGTTTAAACCAACTTATATTTTGGTTGTACACCACTTGTATGTGCCGGATACCATTGTGTCAAATTTTTCTGAAATTAACTTTAAAAGTACTAAGTAAGATCATGAGATATAGCAATATATGTTTAAACCAACTTATATTTTGGTTGTACACCACTTGTATGTGCCGGATACCATTGTGTCAAATTTTTTCTGAAATTAACTTTAAAAGTACTAAGTAAGATCATGAGATATAGCAATATATGTTTAAACCAACTTATATTTTGGTTGTACACCACTTGTATGTGCCGGATACCATTGTGTCAAATTTTTTCTGAAATTAACTTTAAAAGTACTAAGTAAGATCATGAGATATAGCAATATATGTTTAAACCAACTTATATTTTGGTTGTACACCACTTGTATGTGCCGGATACCATTGTGTCAAATTTTTTCTGAAATTAACTTTAAAAGTACTAAGTAAGATCATGAGATATAGCAATATATGTTTAAACCAACTTATATTTTGGTTGTACACCACTTGTATGTGCCGGATACCATTGTGTCAAATTTTTCTGAAATTAACTTTAAAAGTACTAAGTAAGATCATGAGATATAGCAATATATGTTTAAACCAACTTATATTTTGGTTGTACACCACTTGTATGTGCCGGATACCATTGTGTCAAATTTTTTCTGAAATTAACTTTAAAAGTACTAAGTAAGATCATGAGATATAGCAATATATGTTTAAACCAACTTATATTTTGGTTGTACACCACTTGTATGTGCCGGATACCATTGTGTCAAATTTTTTCTGAAATTAACTTTAAAAGTACTAAGTAAGATCATGAGATATAGCAATATATGTTTAAACCAACTTATATTTTGGTTGTACACCACTTGTATGTGCCGGATACCATTGTGTCAATTTTTTCTGAAATTAACTTTAAAAGTACTAAGTAAGATCATGAGATATAGCAATATATGTTTAAACCAACTTATATTTTGGTTGTACACCACTTGTATGTGCCGGATACCATTGTGTCAAATTTTTTCTGAAATTAACTTTAAAAGTACTAAGTAAGATCATGAGATATAGCAATATATGTTTAAACCAACTTATATTTTGGTTGTACACCACTTGTATGTGCCGGATACCATTGTGTCAAATTTTTTCTGAAATTAACTTTAAAAGTACTAAGTAAGATCATTTATTTTTGCATAATATAATGCCAATATTGTTTCTTTTGATTTTATTTCATTTATAAGCAAATCAGATTTACCCAAAAACTCCACTCCATAAGCGTTCATTTGCTAAATTAAAAAGTGACAATGGGCTAGTCTGTCCCTTTCTCAAAAATTTTGAAATCGTCTGGTTAAATATGCTGTAAATGCTAATATTCCGAAGAAATACTTGATATGGAATTTACTTCCATTCAAATAAATTCTAAAATCAAGCCGTTTTGATAAACAAAGTGGCCGGCCACTCAGTTTTATTTAACAAAAATGTCGTTGAATCCTCCTCTTATGTGGGCTCAGGACCGTGATGTCGTTTACATTACAATCAAGCTCCAAGATATTTCCAATGAGGAGATCGTCTTTGGCGAAGACCACTTCATTTTCCGCGGAAAATCTGGCGACACAACATACGACTACAAGCTTGAACTCTTCGGAAATATTCATCCAACTGACAAGACAACAAAGTACAACAAGTTCGGCAGATATACTCAACTCAATTGCCGCAAGGCTGACACAAGAAAATGGTGGCCACGCCTTGCAAAGACAGCCCGCAAATTGGCTAACGTAGGCATCGACTGGGAGAAGTGGGTTGATGATCCAGAAAGCTCCGATGATGAGCACAATCACGACGACGGCTCATTTGAAATCAATAACACACCTGATGCCGACTTCACATCCAGCTCAGATGATGAGGATGAGAAGAAGGATACCAAACCTGCAGAACCAGCTAAAGTTGAAGAAGTCAAGAATGAGGAACCTGCCAAAGCCGAAGAAGCTCCAAAAGTAGAAGAGGCTAAGGCCGAAGAAGAAAAGAAGGAATAAATATGTCTATCAGTAATACAATTTTAAAATCAAATGCTCAATTTTTTTCATTCATGGGTTATTTACGGTTTAGGTAAAGACATTGTGGATCGAAGACCCACAATATCTGAACTCCCAAATTTAAAAGCATGTTATTATATGTGAAAAGCTCTAGATTTCGATTCAAAATTTAAAATCATGTTATTTTGAATTCTTTGGCTTTGGGATGGTGTTTCATGCCATCATAAAGCGATATAATGCCAAAAATGACTTTGGATATGATAAATATCATTGTTATCAAATCACTGCTACATATTATATTATAAAATACTAAAAATTCAATAGAAAACCTAAGCCAAATTTACATGGTTTTATTTAAAAACAACAACAACAACAAAATTTATTTATACAAATTTTTCTTGACTCTTGTTATTCTTGGAGGTTCAAATATCTCTCTAATGATCTCTCCTCTCCTAAGAATAGAAATGATACTTTCATCATTGGTAAAATCTAATGCAGATTTCCCACTTTTTGTAGTTAAATTTTTATTACATCCTTTTTCAAGTAAATATTCAACTAAATCCTTATCACCAGCTTTCACAGCAACTATTATTGGTGTTTCTCCGTCAGAATTCTTCGATTCAAGGCTCAATCCATGATTAATGCAAACATCAACGCTTTCTTTATGACAATTTGCTACACTTATCAAGAAACAATTATTTCCTTTACTATCCTGTGATTTCGCATTAAAACCATTATCAAGTAAGAAAGACAACATCTCATTTTGTTTGTTTTTTGCGGCACAAATACAAAATGACTGGTTCTTGAACTTTTTTTCATTTGCAAGACCTTTTTCGTGAAGGAATTTGAAAACTTCTATCTGTCCTGAAGCAATTGCAGTGAAAACAAGCTTTTTATCATTGAATGAATTAATTAAATATTTTACTGCGTCTATATTTCCAAATTGAGCTGCAGAAGTAATATCAGCTATAGAATATTGCTTTTCTGAATAGTTTTTAAGAATATCTAATGATCCAACTCTGGATAAAAATTGGGAAATATTTTCATTGAAAATTGAGTAATCAATCATATTCATTTGTGATAATTTGTATAAAGCTGGTGTATTGTTGCCATAAGCAATCAATTCAATTGATATTTTTGTTTTGATTTTTTCTAATTCTTCAAAAATGTAATTGTTTTGATGGAATTTGATGAATATCTCAATATTATCAGTAACGTTACAACCTAAACCTATTAGATAATCTATAAGTTTCTTGTTTCCGCTTTCAATTGCATAAATAAAAGTATTTTTATCGAATGTATATTTATTTTCTATAAAAGTCTTAAATATATTGAAAGCACCGAGTTTAGCAGCGAGATTCATGACGTTGAAGTGCTGCTTCTCATATTCAAAATCAATTTGAAGAATTTTTTCATGATCTGTTTTGTCAATTGGTTCAAAAGTAGATTTAAAGACTGCAATATCATCTGATAAAATAGCGGATATTAACTGTGTTGGATCAACAGTTTTTGTTGCTGGAATTAATGATTGATTGAAAATTTCGTTAAAAAGTTGATTGTATAGTATGAACTTTGAAGGAAACATCTGTGCACATTTCTCTATTATCAATTGCACATAGTCTTTGTTGGTATTTGCTAATATTTTTTTGATATTTTCGGTTGTTTCAGCAGCGTTATCTTGGGATACCTGAAAAATCAAGTCTTCAATCTGAATTTTGATAGCAAGTGAAGCAGAATTACTCGAATTCTCTGACATGAAAAATCAAAAAATCAAGTTTTGAAGATTTTGAATTTTTTATCCAAGAAAAAAAAGGGAGATGTCTAGCTAACAATAAAAGATAGAATTATAAAAATATTTAAACGATAATGAATTAAAATCGAATTCAAAATGTCAAAATTACCTTCTTTTAAAGACGCTTTCCAGCAAACATTTGGATCTTTTGGGAATATTATAGAGACAGAAATGTGTACTATTCGAGTGCAGAATATGGATGCTCTTCCTGCGCGGCATGTTATAGAATTTTCTTGTTATGCCGAGCTATTTGGGCCTTATATTATTATAAAAAGTGCAGACTCAAAGGAAAAAGGAACAAAAGTACAAGATTTTACATTATTTACTTTATATTTTATGCTGAAATTTAATCATCAGTCTAATGCTCTCGAATTCATACCAGCGTTTCTCAATGTTTCATATAGTGTTTCATTGTTCTTTAAACATTCATCAGATGCTCAAAGTTGGGCAAATAAAATCAGATTTATCAGAAAAGTAGCAAATAAAACAGATATGATTTTCCCTCCTGTATCATGTCCAGTTATATTATACGATCCATCACAGCCAACACCAAAATTAAACTTAGAATTATCATTTATGAATAATAAGGTCACTTTAGTAACATCAAACAACAAAATCTTACAAACATTTAACGTATCTACTAACACAAGCTTTATTTTCATATCTCCATTTAAGACAATCTCAATAGAAGACCGAATGAACGCATTTTCTTTTTTACAGCCTAATTGGTCTGAAAAAGCAATAGTTTGCGATTCGAAATGGTGCTTTGGGCTAATAACATTAACGATTTACTTAATGACTTCTCGCCAATACGCACAAAATCTGAAAAAAATTAATATTCCAGTATTTATTGCCTCAGAATTTCCGGAACATCGTTCAAATGAGCTTGTTTGCAGTGAGGTAAACATGATTACTTCAATGGAAGAACCAAATTTATCGAAAAATTTGTCAAATTCAAAAATTCAATTTAAACCCGTTTCTGTACCAGAAAAAGCCAGCTCTAAGCTTGAATTGTTGATGTTCGATACACAAATCAAGAGGAAAATTTACTTTTCTCAGATTTTTAAAAAGAAATCTCAAAAAAATCGAAAAAATCAAGGACATTTTTACAAAAAAACTCTATCATTTGATGAAGAACTAGCCAAACTCAAGCGTTATGACCATTTCAACATTAAACTTGATAATTTGCAGCTAAATGAAAAAGAATTTCCAGAAATTACAAAAATTGACTATGTAGATCAATTTTTACATCCGAACATTGCATCTCAGGATCTTATAGATTTCTATACAGCTATAGGATTTAAATCTACGTCAAATTCCAGAAAAATTAATGGATATCAATTTTCAAAAGACGTAGGAAGCTTAGTTCTTCAACTCCTTGATGACTGCAGTGTTAAAAATCCTGTTTTCAGTCAAATCTGCTCTGGTATTGCCTACGTTTTGCTTAAAGGAGCAAATGAAAAAAATATTGTTCAACAAATTAAAGAAAAGTTTCCAGAGAATATCACAAAATTTATTCCAAACAACAATGATGATGTTTATAAGCGTTTGGTCATCTTTGTTGCAAGGATTATCATATCAAAAAGAATTACTGACTTTATCAACAGAGTAATGAACGACAGTGAGTGGAGATATTCTTATTATGACCATACGTCTCCGATTTACTCAACAGAGTTCTTAGAATTGCTTTACGCTGCAATTTTACCTCTTCATACTATGAAATTCGTTGGACCACTTGACTACAACAGTCTTCTTTCGCATGAATGGAAGCATGACTTCTTATCTCCTTCAGTCAAAGTTGAATTACAGATCAAGAATATCCAGAATCTTTTAATTCAACAAGACAAAGCTAAGATACAGTCAACAGTCGCTGACATTGTTAGCGAAACAATTAATAACTTCCAGAAATGCTACTCACATCCTGTTCCCTGCCCTCTACAATCGATGAAATCTGTTTGGTACATTTTTGCCATCAGTGTGTCATTGTACAGCCACGAAAACATTACTAAAATGCGTGAATGCGTCGAATCATGCACTATTCTGTTGAAAGACCCAGATTCCATGTTGAATAGTTTAGTAATGCAAGGATTTAAGAAAGGATTATTAGGATACTGGTGTTTTGCAGCTGTTATGGCTGGAAGAGAAGATAATTTGTTCTATGAAGACTCATTTTTGTCTGATGATTCAGAAATGCTATCATATATTGACGGAATTCACATATTATCTAAGATATTAGCCGATTTATCATTAGAGTACTTACCAGAATAATTATTTTAATTATTTTTTTTTATTTGTTATGTATAAAGAATTGTTTTATTGTTTGTAATGGAAATTGGTGTATTGCGTTGTATTACCTTTCTTTATTTAGATTACTATGATGTTAATAAGTTTAACTTAGAACAATCGAATATAAGAGCATTTTTAAATTCAAATATCACCGAAAATTATTCTGATGTGAAAGTAGCCTTGAATTAGTCGACTTTAATATCAGCTTATAGCCAGTTAAACTTCTAATTTCGAAAGTCTCTTCGACAAATGCATATGATGTTGTTGGATTTCCTGCCCTTCAACATGTAGCGGAAAAATAAATGTAGTGATTATGACATTATAAATTGAAAGTAAAATATTTGCTTTATATGCCAATACTAAATGGGTGATTGAGAGACCTCTTTTCATATCGGATGTACTTATAGTATCAAAATAAGAAGAAATGTTTCACTTTTATATATCCTTTTCTGTATAATGCAGTATATTATCATTGTGAAGAAGTAGCTGAACTTCTTATTTCAAGTGATCTAAACATTAAAAAAAAAAAAATAACCATTTAATTTAACTTAAAGTCCTTTATAATAGTCAATAGCCTTTGAAATTTGGCCATGCAAATGGTTATAAATATTACTAACATCAGTTCCTGTGGGATGGCACCAAGGTCGACTGAAAAACTTTCCGGTTATAGCGGCTTGGTGAATAAATACGACGTAACTAGTATTCACTTTGATAACCTTAATAACAGTTGCCCCATAATATGTTGCTTTTGTGTTAAGGGTGCACCCGTATGTACGTTTATTTGAGAGGAGGAGGATTACCCTCTCAATTTTGAGCGATTCGTTAGTTTATTTTCTCGATGAATATGCAATAAAATTTGATTTTTACCTTATCAATATACTTCATATAATATACACATGTTCATGTAAAAACTTTTTTCCAAAATCCTCAGGAATTAAGGGATTTTTGAATTTTAAGAATTTTTTTCGAATTTTTTCGAAAAAAAATATTTTCAGAACAGCCTTAACGGCTAAGATTTAGGAACAATGTTAAGTATCAAAAAGAAAGGAGGTCTGATATAGACAACATATATCGTTGAAGGTTGAAAAAATCTCTAATATTTGAGCCCAAAATTTCAAATTTTAATTTTTTGAAAAAGAGGCCACCCGTATGTACGTTTATTGAGAGGAGGAGGATTATATTTTTGAAAGGGTGAAACATTATGAATATGTTAATTATATAATAATATGTATTATTATAAAAAAGAAAAAATAAAGCACGTTAAAATTTTTCTTTCTTGATTTTTTACAAAATCTACTTAGAATTATGCAAAATATGACTAAATAATTATAAATTTCAAGTTAAATTTTAATTTTGATAAATAATTTAAATTTCAAAATATCAAGTTCAGTTCGACTATGTATGTAGTAATTCCTCAATAAAGTGCCAAAACCCTATTAAAATATATGAACATTTTCAACATTTTAATGTTTTTATTTAAAAATTTGATGGAATATGAGCTTCAAACAATTATTATGTAAATAAAAATAATTAAATATATGTATTTATTCGTATTACAACCGTAGTAAGTCGATTCTTCCTTTCTTCTACTGAGTTTTGAATTTGATTTCGAATTGTAAAGAGATTCAAAGGGAAAATACTAGCGGAGAAAAACTACCTCCATGAAAGGGTCATAATGGACTCAAGTTGTATTTTTTGATATTTTTTGCTTTTCGAGCCTAAATAGGTAGCCAAGATAATGCCTAAAAATAAGGTTCTAAATTCTGAAGTTTACATGATCCTCTCGTGTGCACCCTTAATATCAGGCTGAGTCATATCAACCCTGTTGAAAAGTTGCTTGGAGAGAAATGAATGTTTGCAGCGTCTGAAAAATAATTCAACCCTATCTCTTTCGAGATGGAATTCGTTTGCAACTGTATCAACAATAGAAGACAAGTCTTGAACAATATAATCCTTATCTTTCCCGGCAATTTCGTCTTTTATAGTAGACAAGGGATCTGGGCATGAAAATAAATCATTTGATTCAGCTATAGGTTTTTTCTCATAACAGCTGTTCAGGGAAAGAAAAAATAAAAACATTTAAAAAATTGACTGTCAAATGACATTTTTGCCGTCAGATGTCAATCATCAAAATTAGGTCACAGGCGTGAACAATTATTATTAAAAAAGAATTTCAAGTGTATTTTTTATAATAATCAATAACATTTGAAATACTGCTATACATCCAGTTAAAAATATTAGTAATTTGGGTTCCTGTGAGATGAACCCAAGGTCGGCTAAAATATTTTGTGGTTGCAGTTATCTGGCGAACTCTAACAACGTATATACTACCAACTTTTATAACTCTGATCACAGTTCCTCCAAGATATGTAAATTTTGTATTGATATCAGTCTGAGTCATATCCATCCTGCTGAAGAGCTGTTTGGAGGAAGATGCCCATTTGCAGCGTCCGAAAAAGAATTCAACTCTATCTCTTTCAAGATGAAATTCGTTGGCGACTGTATCAACAAGAGATGATAAGTCTGTAACATCATAATCTTTTTTATTCTTAGCAAATTCCAATTTATTATATTCTGGGGGAATCTCAAAACTGTTGACCTGACAAAGGAGGAACAAAAACATTTTTTCCCAAATAAAAATTGACTGTCAAATGACAATTTTGCCAACAAATGACATGAATTTTTTAATGCAACTTGGGAAGCAGCTATTCATCTAGCAGAAGAGATAAATTAAAATCAGTTGAGTTTCTTATTGCTACATTTTATAAGATTCATGTAATCATTGAATTTCTTCTAGTTTATCACAATTAATATTTTGATAGATGTGTATGCCTGTTCATATGAAAACTAGTTGTGTACAATCTAGAAATTTTGGAATTAATTCTACTCTACCGCAATGAAATGTTTTTTTCTATTATGTCCAGACTTATATATATATATAAGAAAAAACACTCCATAAGTTTCAATTATAAATTATGGAAAAGAAATCTTGAAAAATTAGTTATAAATTAATTATCATTTAGATTAAAAAACATAAATGAGTTAAAATAAAAATAAAGATAAATACAGCATTATAAAGCCGAAGTATCAATATATCCTGGGCTGGAATCTGATGTCTCAGAATCCATAATCTTACTTTCAGGTTCAACAGCAACTTCTTCAACAGTGGAAGACGATTCGAACTCCATCTTGAATGGATCATCTTCATCCACAGTTGTTGTGAACAGTGGATTATCAGTTGTTACACTTGTAGTTGTCATTGCCTGGTTGATCTGAGGTGTTTCTGCCTGCATGAATACCTGTGATGAAGCAGAATCACTTGTTACATCACTTCCTCTCTTCATGAAGAGAATAACGAAAATGATGATCAACAAAATCAAAAGGAATGCACCAACAGCAATACCTATATACACAGGCAACATATTCTTTTTAGAAGGTGTTTGATTTGTTTCTTCAATGAAAATTTGGTTGTTCAACATCAACAATAGTAATTGTTTCAATATCTGTTTCAACTTGTACATATGTCTGTGCATAATATGTAACTCTTTCTTTCTCAGTCAATGTAGTTGTTAAACTACTAATCATTGTCTTTGACAATGTAATTGTTTCTATTTTTGTTGTAATTGTACTTTGTCTGTAATTCTTTCCTGAATGTGTTATTATCTCAAATTTAACAGGAGATCGGCTTGGTGTTGGAGGAGTTACTGAAATAGTCTTGAAACCATTCATCTTTCCATCCAAAACACCTGGAACTTCTTCCACAGGAACATTAGTTTCTTCTGGATTTGGCGAAGGAGTGTTTTCTCTCTCGTTGTATGGAGTATAACTTGTTTGAATGTTGTAGTCAACTACTTCGAAGTTCTGAGCCTTCTCTTCTGGAATACCAAGTCCATTACTCTCAATGAATATATAGGGATTGTCTGAACCACAATCTTTGGAATTCAGAGAGACAATGAGATTTGGATAATCTGGTGAATACGACAATTGGCATTCTCCATTGGAAATCCATTGGATTGGACCACCACCAGCAAAACTCATGTCTGCAGGTACTTTCATAAGATAACTGTACTGTCCTGTCACTGAATTTTTACTGAATGTGTTACTTTCAGTGTAAATTCCAGTTTCCTCTGATGGTGTGAAGACACAAATGGCACCACCATTGGCTTGGTTGGTTAATTTGAACATTCTCTGGCCAAAAATAGTATTTGATCCAGTATTGATTGGAGAATATTCAATTTTGTTCGAGGTAATCGTACTGGAAATGACATTAGCTGGTGTTGTATCAAGATAAAGGGCAGATCCAGCAAGCTGGGCTGAGTTTTGGTCTAATGTAACTTTATTTGCAATTAATGCTGTAGCGGAACGTACATAGATGGCTCCACCACTGTTCCTGGCAGAGTTTGATGTAAATGTTGTGGATTCTCCTATATAAACGTTTGGTTTCTGTGGTGTATTTTGAGGTTTTAATACATCTTGATCAATTTCTGTCAAAAGTCCATATTTACTTGCAGAAATGAATATAGATCCACTATTTTCGTAAGCGGTGTTACTATCAAACGTAGATGATGAAATAAGAACATCTCCGCCAATAATGGAGAGAGCTCCGCCATTATTTGCAAGGTTTTCCTTAAATGTAGTGTCTTTTGAGTCTAGATTACTAACTGAAAGATAAAGAGCTCCTCCAGATCCCATTGTCAATCCGACACCGAAAGCGTAACACTTGGAAAACTCGGAATTGAGAGTTTTAACAACGCATCTGAAGTAATTTCGTTGATATCGTGGCTTGTCAGATTCAGTTGTGGCTTCATAAGAAACTTGTGAATTAATTCTTTTTGCGATCTCAACATCTAGCTGTGGGTTGTACTGGAAATCTGGTTGGTGAGTTATGAAATCAGTTTTTAATGTCACAGATATCGAAATAACAAAAAAGAAGGCAAACATATGAATTGGATAGCACTTTTTTTCTTGAGCCCCGGTAGAAATACAGAAACCAATTTTTGAAAAAATTTAAAAGTATATTTGAATGTGATTTTTATTCCCCGTGCATTTTTACATGTTCGATTTTTCATAAAACGATATTCTATTCAATAATCACTTCTATTGAAAAATTCAATAAGATTTCAAACCTCACACTTACCGGACTAACAAATATTATTTGATATACATATGTTTTAGAGGAGATCATATTTTCGAAGTTTAACAATTGAAAAAATCTCAAGATAAAGATAAAGATTTAAATACACAGAAGTTTCCAATGTTATATTTTGCCTAATTTTTTTGAATACAAAAAATATAGATTGGCTTATTTATGTAATACTAGAGAATTCGGTTTCGAAAATTTCATATGTCAAAATTTCTGAATTTACCGAGGAATTTGAAAGAGTGATAATGAAACAATTGATAAACTCATTTCTAAGCAGTCACTCGATATCATGGATTCAGATAAATAATTATAGACAACATATATTTATTTCTAACAATAAATTTATTCGATCCAAATCGAAATTCAAGTTATTTCAATATCCTTGAGATTATTTTGAAGTAGGACAACTCATATGAGTGAATCATATATGATATGATGTATTCATATTACTTACTTGTATATCTCCATTAGATTGAGCAAAAGTTGAGAAAAAAAAACAGAATGTCATATTATTTGAATTTCATTCATTTAAAATAAACTGCGCCATGCGAAATAAGAAGTTCGAGTATTTCTTTATAATTTTTCACTGTTGCATAATAAAGAGCAGTCTTTCCATAATTATCTTTTTCATTGATATTTGCACCATGCGAAATAAGAACATCGGCTGTTTCTTTACTATTATGCCATACTGCACATTGGAGAGCAGTATTTCCACATTTATCTTTTTCATGGATATTTGCACCATGCGAAATAAGAAGCTCGACTATTTCTTTATAATTTTTCTCCGCTGCATCATGAAGAGCAGTTTTTCCAAATTCATCTTTTTCATGGATAATTGCACCATGCGAAATAAGAAATTCAGCTGTTTCTTTATAATTATTCATAGCTGCAACGTGAAGAGCTGTTAATCCATATTCACTTTTTTTCATTGATATTTGCACCATAGGCAATAAGAACTTCAACAATTTCTTTATGATTTTGCCATACTGCAATACGAAGAGCTGATTTTCCAGAGTTAGCTTTTTCATTGATATTTGCACCACATGAAATAAGAAGTTCGAGTGTTTCTTTGCTATTTTTAGATGCAGCAATATGAAGAGCGGTTTTTCCAGAGTTATCCCTTTCATTAATATTTGCACCACGTGAAAGAAGAAGTTCTGCTACTTCCTTACTATTTACCATTGCTGCAATATGAAGAGCGGTTTTCCCAGAGTTATCTTTTTTATTGATATTTGCACCACGTGAAAGAAGACGCTCGGCTATTTCTTTACTATTATAACGTGCTGCATAATGAAGAGAAGTTTCTCCGTATTTATCACTTTTATTGATAAATCCACCATGTGAAATAAAATATTCCAAAAGAGATGGAATAGTGAACCCCGCGGAATGAACAATACACCTGTGATAATTATGAATTTGATCGTAATAAACTAAAAATGATTCGAGATTTTTAAAAACTCTACAATTATAAACATCGATTTTCTTTTTGTATTCATTCATCAGGAAAGTAACAAAATCAATGTTGTGTGAAATAATTGCATATTTCATGCATTCTTCATCTGGTTTTTTATGTTTCAAGCATTCACTCATGATCTCTTTGCTTCTACCTAAAAATGAAAGTTGTAAACATTTTTGAGTTATTTCTGATTTGAATTTTGTTCTTAAGAACTTGAAACAATCAACTGCTCCGTGGTAACAACATAATTCAAGTAATGAATATCCTCTATCAGAACATGAATATATATAGCTTCTAAGTTCTTCTCTTTCTTTAGATTTTGGATATAATTTGCTTTTAAGTGTTTGATATCTATTAAATCCTTCTCTTTCCGTGCATGAAATGAATGTTTCTTTATCATCATTCATAATTGCTCTGTAAATTGTGTTTTCTGTATGAATATCCAGATTTAAAGATTTAATTTCCTCGAAATCACTAGATTTGTCTAATTTAATTCCATATTCTTTATAAAACAAGAAATTAAAAGCAATTTCAACATATCTGACATTTGTTACATGATATTCATCAGAAATGAATTTGGCAAGAAGCAAATATGACTTTGTGTAGCGATTATTATACGGAACCATATTTGAAATATCTCTTATAATATTTTGAGGAAGCAGTTTGATGGATTCAGTCAATTCTGTTTTGATCATTATGTAAATTGAGTTTAATTCTTCTTCATTTTCCGTTTTCAGCTGATACAATAAATTATATACATCAATGTAGTCTTTGTAGATGCTTCGCAATTCATTGTATTTCTTTGGAATGTCTTTCTCAGACATTAAAAAAAAAATACAGTTTTTTTCGCAAAAATTGAACAAATTTATTCGAGTTTTTAAAAATTAATTAAAATGTAAGGTTTCGTAGCTCAGTAGGTAGAGCGTAGTGCTGATAACGCTAAGGTCTTGGGTTCGAGCCCCAGCGGAACCATTTTTTGCAAAATTTTTATAATTCTCCACAGTGTTTATAGGGATCATTTTCACACTTTTTGCATGATGAATGCTTTCCATTATTTCATTTGAAACTCTGAATATTTCTATCAGGCAAGTAGTTTGAAATATTCGATTATAAATATAAAAGAGATTGAACAACAATAAGCTGCTAAAAAATCCAGAGTTTCCAAAAAAGTGACAAGCATATCATGTGATTTATTGATCTGCAGTATGAAGATATATATTTGATCAAATATAATTTGGGGCCTCAGGTGGCTTCGCTTGCCCTTCGGGCAAGCACGCCACCTTCGGCCAAATTAAATAATTTTTTGAAAAATTGAATTATTTACTATTTGGTTGGCGCAAAGCGCCAACCAAATAATGAAGAATACTATTATATGTTTACTTAAAATATGATTAAAATTTTTGAGCGAAAACTATCAAAATTATGACATGAAAAATATAAATATAGGATGATAATTTACTGTAAATTCATAATGTAAAAAGTGTGTGTGTTGTCCTCTATATATACTGTCTTAATTCTATCGGCGCTTCGCGCTGATAGAATTGATTGATAATATATAAAAAATAAAATAATTTAATAATCATTTTACATTACTTAAAGGGCAAAACCTATTAGTTCTGGTGTTGGAGTTGGTGGTGGTGGTATTGTTGGTGCTGGTGATGGAGGATCTCCTTCCCTTGCTTGTGGCAACTCTTTTTCAATTTTGTGATTATAAAAATTTTCTTTTGGTAAGGATTTCTGTAATTCATTTACCTCCTGGCGCAGTGATTTTATTTCGTCTAAAACTGACTCTAGAAGATCGCCTTCGTCTCGTTCGAGTTTCTGAATAGAAAGAGCTGCAATCAGTAAAAAGCAGATCATTTCTAAAATTTGTCGATTATTTATAATTCAATTTCAATCTCTTATATATATATATATAAACCTATTACATTATATATACATTATTTATAAGCCCGAAAAAGTAATAAGCAACTATTAAAATATATATATTCACTTTTTAATCGTCGTCCCTCCTCTCAAAAAGTGACTAATATATTTTGAATATAAACTTTTTCTGAGCTTTTGTCAGAAAAATGTTTGGAGAATATTATAAGACCAATAACATCAAATTGATTATGGCATTACACATTCATTAAAAATGACTCAAGAAGTGATATTTATAAAATGCACCGTGAAATTCTTTTTTGACTTCGCCAACATGACAAAAATTAGAATCCTTTGAGATAGATATATTTACACTGAAAATAAAACCTTAAACAAGAAATTTGAGTAAGTGTTAGTGGTTGATGCACCACAAAACAATCAAGAATTAAATAAAAATTTAATACTCACCATTACAAAAGCAGATCACAATTATTTTTCTATTACATAATAATTTGCAACAAATATAATGTAGCATAATTTTTTGGGTTGTGGAAATGTAACGGGTGTTGGAGGTTTGAATTTCAATTTTTGAAATGTTTGTTCGATTTTGAAAAGACAAATAGTCTATTCAAAATTAGGCAAAAATTCATCATAGACAATATTTCAAATATAAGTGTTGATATGGACCCTCATTAAAATCTGGGACAAAAAAAAACTATGTAATGCTCATGAAAAAATCAAAATTTGATTAAAAATATTTTTTTACAAACAAATATGATATATTCCTTCTGTTGATATCTGATAAGGTGACACATCAGCCCACATTAAAGCAAATTCATACGAAAGGACTTTATTTCCAACCATGTAAGGCTGGCCATTGGAAACAAAGTATCCGAGTTGAGTATAATTTGAAGAGTTATGGGATCTCCTTCCAACAGATTCAATAGTTTTAGAATTCAATTTTCTGATATCTCCAGTTATTGTCTTAAGAATCTCAAGAACCTTTTCTGTCCATTCTTGGTTGATCTTCTGTGCAAAGAAAATTGCTTTGTCAACAATTTTTGGAAGAATTATAAAGTATTTCTTCCAATATGCTTTGTAAAAGCTCAAAACCAAAGAGCAGAACATTATAATATCAGAATCTGGTATATACATGAGAGGCACAAACTGTATTGGCTTGAAAAGATCATCCAACAAAGAGAAATCAAATTCATCTCTTGAAATATTCTCAACTGCAGCATTCTTGAAGTTCTCTGCATGTTGGATCATTGTCTCATAAGAATCGAACGTCACAATTGGATAATTCTTAAATAATTCAACATAATCTTCATATTTTTCGGGTAATTTTTTCAAATCAACAATATTATATTGTATCAGTTTCCTTGTACTGTCGTTAACGAATTCCAAATTGGCTTTTGTTATCTGGTTAACGAAATACCCGACAATCGGCGCTCCATGTCTAACAAAAACGTGACACGCCTTGTTTACATTGCCGATAGAAAGGTAACAACAACCAGCTTGGACCACTTCACCTTCTTTTAGAAGTTTTTTAGCTTTTTTGGTTGCAATAGAGTAAGCAATGAACAAATCATTATTGAGGAACTCGTTTTCCATGTATTTGTATGATTTGTCAATTGATTTCTCTTCAATTTGGGAAATTTGTGGCTTTTTTATTAATTGTGACTTAGAAGCAACGCTCAACAATAGCTTATCCTGGTAGTTATCGCATGTATTCGATGCTGTCTCGGTATTTCCACGTGCTACAGATAAAGCAATCTTTTCTTTTTGGTCAGAAATGTCTTCCATGGCTTTTTCAATCATTTCTTGCCAAAATTCAGCGGAAACAGCCGGTGCCGCTGCAATTGCTTTCTCTTTTTCACCTGCCTGCATCATCAGTTCGCAATAACTTCTGATGTTTCCGGCTCTGAGCTCTTGTTTTGCTGCTTCTATCTGTTTCTCTTTGGATATGACGGCGCGTCTTATTAAAGAGACGTTGTCTTTGGTCTTGAGCATCTTCTCAACATGTTTGGAGCTCATTCGAACTAAATCATTGATGTGTTGTGGATCATCAATTTTGAATGAAATTTTTTGGTCTTTTGCAATGCGGTGAGCAAGTTTTATTGTTTGCTGGACGCCTCGCATTGGTGTTATCCACATCATTTTGTCTTCAAGTGGGATTTCTTCTTTGAATAATTTTGAAATTTGATATTTGATGAAAACTCTATTCAAAGCAAGGAATCTGAGCGTGGAATCAGTAGATGTGGTGATCAATAATAATGGATATAATGGAGAAACTGCAATTGTTGGGATAGGAGTGTTATGCATGTTAAATTTGGAGATTACAGATTGTCTTTTGATGGACATTACATTTATAGCGAAATCTTCGCCACAACTGATAAGGATATCATCGAAAACAGGATGGAAAGTGCAATTTAATGCAGCTCCATTATGAATTCCAACAAATTGATGGACAACAGTGAGGTCAACTACATTAATAGTAACAATTCTGCCATCTTCGAAAGTCAGTGCAATAAGATCTTGGTTCTTGGTGGAGAATGCAATATTTGTCGGATAAGATTCGGGTAATCTAATTGACATAGTGTCAGTATTATTATATATATTCAAAATTCCATCTGTAGTTGCCAAAAGATAGCAGCCTGGCTTGTGAGGTGAAAATGCCCCACATGCTATCTTAACTTGTTGGTTTTGAGATGTCCAAATACGGTTTTTCTTGGGTATATCAAGTAATGTAGCCCTTCCAGTGGTTGATATTGCTAATACTGTTGTTGGAATATGGCGACAAATCGAAATCGACTTTACATGGCCTGAAGTAAAGCATGGCGACTTGTCTATGATCTTTGCTTTCTTTTGGGATATAACATAGACCCATCCGTCGGTGGCTCCTGCAACAATTGTATCTCCATCAGGAGCTAAATCGGAAGAGGAGGTTGAAACCTTGGCCATCGATAGATCAAATCTATCTTGTAATTTCATGCTATTCAAATCCCAGAAACAAAACGTTCCATCGCATGAATTCGTAAAAAGAATATTTGAATCTTTTTCTAAGCATCTCATATTGATAATCATTGCTGAATGTGGAGCCATTGATTCGTAAACTGTCTGTTTTTTCTCAATATTATAAACGCAAACTGTTCCATCATTGAATGCAGTGAAAATATTTTGATTTTTGAGAGCAACAGCCTGAATTGTTCCACTGTGATTAAGATTGAATGATTGTATCGGTGCTTCTGAGCCTGCAGACCAAATTCTTATCGTTCCTATGTTTGGATCAGAGGCAATGAAGTGTCCTGGCATATTAGGGAGCCATGAAGCACTTGATATTTTCAAATTACTTGAAACGGTGTTAATTAAATTAAGTTTGTCCGTAATTTGGTACAAATAAATGTCTCCATTAGATGTTGCGATCAAACAATTTTTATTATTAAGCGGATCGAACTCTACCGAACATATATCTTTATCAATATTTGTTTTGTCTACAAGTTTTAGCTTTTTATAAAGTTGAATTGAGCCAAATTTATTGCATCCAACAATCTTTGGATCGCTTTCATTACTGACTGCGCAAGTAAGCATTGAATCTGTAAAGCTTATTGACGGTGTTAGTTCTTTTGCTTCAATATCTATTATAAAAGTCCTAGAAAATGATTTTGAAAAGCAGTATATCATTTTTGTACCATATATCCAGCATAAACTATATATTGGATCATCAAATTGATATATTGATAAAACGTAGTTTTTAGAAATTGAAATAACGGAAATTCTGTTATTTAAGAATGAAATTGCAAGTAAATCAGGATCAGATTTGCATAAATCGAGGGTTATTGGTGGTATATAGTTCGTTGTCGGTTGCATTACGATTTCAAACGTATCAATATTTCGAACAACGCAAGAAGTTGAAGAACAGTATGCAAAATATAGTGAATTAACTGAAACTACTTGATAATTTGTTGATTTCACGCCGGGATCTGTCCACGCAACAATCTGAGAACTACTCGCTTTTTCATCCATAAATTTGATAACATTTTGTGGTTTATATGGTACATTGTTCTGATTATTGCTATTGTTAGGCTTCATTTCATAAATGAAATCAGTAAAAATTTGAAAAACGTTACGACTCCGATTTTAAGCAAAAATAATTGGAATTTAATGTGTGTGAGTTGCTTTTTTGAGAAAACATAGAATAAAAACGTTTTGTTGTTGCAGTTGACACTTTTTCCTTTTCCAAAATCGGACATTCAAAAGGCGGGATTCGGCCAACGAGGCTGTTTCCTGTGATACTAACAGTATTTTTGTTTCAATTATTCCGAGTACTATTTCCATCTCCAGTTATAGAAAAATCTGCGTTTTCTAAACACCATTATTTTTTTCTCGAAAACTTTCCGCCATTAAAGATCTTTAAATATAATATTTCGATTTATGGGACAGAAAAAAGATGTCTCAATAACTATTGCGATGTAAATACAACAAGAAAAAATGCACATACTTTTTACTTCGAAAAAGTATTACATAACTCTCTGAAACAAGGTATTTACAGTACAGATGATCCAGAAACAGCTGATTTGTTTTATACTCCAGCATATTTCGGAATTTTCAATATGCACAGAAAGAACTGTGATCTTGATAGAATAGTTTTACCAGAGATCTCAAAATACCCGTACTATCAAAGATATAATGGAGTTGATCATTTATTCATACAATTATTGTTTACCCATAATAATATTCCAATTACTCCAGATCATGAAAAGAACCTTTCATCAATGTTAACATTAGGTGATCTGAAGTGGAATTATACTATTTTCACGCCAAGAGAAGTATGGCGTAATACAATAATGCCTTATAATTCTAATTTTGATATTATTGACACTTTTGAGTCCAAAGATAGACCAATGAGACTTTTCCTTATAGGACAATTCAACTTACAAGCTTTCGATCGGCGTTCACGTGTTATTCGACGAGCATTATTAAGATTCCTTCAAAGTTTACCTCATAGCACTGTTATACAGACAATGCGTAAGTCTACAACACATAATGCCGGTCTATTTGATATAGAAAGCTTCATGCGACATAGTGATTTCTGCACAGTTCCTCACGGAGATGGCCCAGCCTCAAAAAGGCTTTATGATTCATTTAGAACAGGATGCATACCACTTGTTATGTCCGATGAACTCAGATTCCCTTTTGAAGCAGTTTTCTTAGAATATAAAGATTTCATCACTCAAGTTCCAGCTTATCATCCAAGATTAGTCGGATTAGCTGTTGGATGCAACAATGGCATGAAGCATCGTCAGTTTGTTCGAAGAAGACTTCGAGAAGTTGATTCTTTACTTAGAGTTTATAAAGGAATTGATGAAGTTCAGCCAACAAATGGAGATTTCCTTTGGGGATGGGGATGGATGCAATTCTTTAAAGCAGCAACTGTATCTTCCGTGAAGAGAAGATCTTTGCTGAAATCAAAATATATTTTAGATTAATTATTTGTTTGAAAGTTTAATTTTTGAATTAAATTTTTTTTCTCTCTCTCTCTATTTTCTTGTGATATCACGATTTACTATTTTCATTTTAAAAAAATCATTTGACAAGTAAGGAAATTGCATAGTCTCGTGTGACTTGTAATTGTGATTCTAATGATATTCAAAATAAATCATTTGATTTATGGGGCGAACTTTCCAATTATGTATTTACAACTTTTTTTTTCTAATACTAAAAAAAAACTCTCACTTCAAGGAAATGTGGTAAATTTGATATTCACCTATCATACATATATATCAGTATGAACCAACACTATCATATTATGTATGGTAATAATGAAAGATATCTATCCCATGAACCTGCAAGATGTCTTAGAGTTGATGAAATAAGTGGTCGGTTTGAACCCTTAAATTTTTGAATGTCAAATCAAGATGTTCACCCAGATAAATTCATTGAATTTCGAAGTCATTTTAAATACTACATCGAATCATATAATACGTTATATCGGTTAAAAACTGAAAATGAAGAAGAATTAAACTCGATTTACAAAATGATCAAAACAAATCTGATAGATTCAAATGCATATCGCCCCAGCTTGATTGTCAAAGACATTTTAAATTTTATTCCCTATAATAGCCGTTATACAAAGTCATATTTATCTCTTGCGAAACTCATAATTGATGAATATCATATAAAAGGAGTTATAGGTATTCCACCTACTTCTAAAATCAAGTTCTATAAAGAATATGGGATTATATTATGCAAATATGATGACTTTAAAAAAATTAATTTAGGAAATCTCAATATTCATATTGAAAATACAATTTACAGAGCAATTATGGATAATAACAAAGAAGCATTCATCTCATTCACTGAAAGGGAAGGATTTGAAGATTGTCAACGGCCTTCAAAGAATTTTTTTATGTTTACTAAGAAAGAATATACATTACTTGAATTATCTTGTTATTACGGAGCAGTTGATTGTTTCAAGTTCTTAAGAACTGAGTATCACTCAAAAATAACCGAAAAATGTCTAAAATTTTCATTTTTAGGTGGAAATCCAGAGATCATGAGTGAATGTTTGAAATATCAAAAACCAGATGAAAAATGCATGAAGTATGCAATCATTTCACACAACATTGATTTTGTTGCATTCTTGATGAATGAATACAATATATCAATCAATTTAGATTATTGCATAAATTATAATAATCTTGAATCATATTTTGTTTATTATGAACAAACGAATGATATTAATGAATGCTTTATTAATTCTATGAGGTTCAATTTTCCATCCCTCTGGGAATATTTCCTTTCACACGGTGCAAATATCAATGAAAAAGATAAAAATGGGAAAACTGCTCTTCATCTTGCAACAAAAATTAATAGTAAAGAAACAGCCGAATTTCTTATTTCACATGGTGCAAACATCAATGAGAAAGATCAAAATGGGGAAACCGCTCTTCATATTGCAACATGGAATAATAGCATAGAAATAGTTGAATTTCTTATTTCTCATGGTGTAGATATTAATGATAAAGATAAGAGGGGACAAACCGCACTTCATATTGCAGCATGGCATAATAGCAAAGTAATAGTTGAATTTCTTATTTCACATGGTGCAATTATCAATGAGAAAGATCAAAAAGGGAAAACCGCTCTTCATATGGTTGCATGGGTGGATAGAAAAGATTCAGCCGAAGTTCTTATTTCTCATGGTGCAAAAGTCAATGAAAAAGATAAAGATGGACAAACCGCTCTTCATATTGCAGCATATAAAAATATGAAAGGAACAGCAGAACATCTTATTTCGCATGGTGCAAACATCAACGAAAAAGATAAAAATGGACAAACCGCTCTTCATATTGCAGCATATAAAAATATGAAAGGAACAGCAGAACATCTTATTTCGCATGGTGCAAACATCAACGAAAAAGATAAAAATGGACAAACCGCTCTTCATATTGCAGCATATAAAAATATGAAAGGAACAGCAGAACATCTTATTTCGCATGGTGTAAATATCAATGAAAAAGATGAAGAAGGACAAACCGCTCTTCATATAGCAATAAAATATAGTCATAAAGAAATCGCCGAACTTCTTGTTTCTCATGGTGCAGGCATCAATGAAAAAGATAAAAATGGACAAACCGCTATTCATATTGCATCATATAAAAATAATACAGAAATAGCTGAACTTCTTATTTCACATGGCGTAAATATTAACGAAAAAGATAAATATGGATCCACCGCACTTCATATCGCAGCATATAAACTGAATGAAGAAATTTTCGAACTTCTTCTTTCACATGGTGCAATCATCAATTAAAAAGATAAATCTGGGCAAACAGCTCTTCATCTTGCAGCATTACATGGTTTTTGTAATGGTATAGACAAAATTCTTATATCTCATGGTGCAAACATCAATGAAAAAGATAAAAATGGACAAACAGCTCTTCATTCTGCAGCAAAATATGATAACGCAAGATTAGTTGAACGTCTTCTTTCACAAGGTGCAAACATCAATGAAAAAGATGATTTTGGAAATACCCCTCTTGATATTGCAATAAAAAATAATAACAGAAAGACAATTCAGATATTACACAAAAATATGGGACAGAATGTGTTGCAAATCAATCCGAAACTCTAAACCTAAATCTCAGGACTGAAGTTCTTGAAAACGAAATTAATAATAAATATAAAGCTGAAAATAATACACACCAAAACGAAATATCAAATTATCAAATTGTATTTTAATGGCAATAACTGTTGGACACTTCGAAGTAGTTAAATATCTTCATTCATAAGGAGGAAATCCAGAAGAAAGTAATATTTTGAGGTGGAATTCAATAAATTCAGCTGCAGCAGAAGGTCATCTACAATTGGTTAAATATATTGTTCAATGCGGATTTAAAATCACTCTTTACTTCCTTTGGCAACAATATATGGCCATTTTAAAGCTGTTGAATATTTGATTTCAATTGGTGTCAATCTTAAGGATAAAAACCAAGCTGGAAAAACGCCACATGATTAACAAAAGAAAATCATAACCGATGTGAAAACTATGTAAATATCATGTATCTTCTAATTAGATCCGATACATTATAAATTTAACCTAAATAATTATCTTTTATTTATGGCCTTTTTGAAATTTTCTGAATAAAAAGGAATTTTATTCTAATTTATACTATATCTATGCATTCACATCATATGAATAAGGTATAAACTGTCATTTGACCAAAAATTTTTGGAGAATTATTCAAAAATGTTTTTCATTTCTGTGGTGAAAAAAAATGATCAATTAATTAAAAATCATTGATTTCAGATAGATAACTTAGCAAATCAAAAAGCCTATTATCTAGAGTGCATGCGTATCTAGTTTTAAATGTATCTTCTCTTCCATATTTCATTAAGAAAATAATAAAACATATTCTTTTGTGAATCTAATCTAATAAAATTAATACATGGTTCCATGTTATAATTTATTCATTATCGTTTTGCAGAATGCTATAATCATATAATATTGTCACTTTTCTGTGGTCCTAAAAATTGTGTAGATGTAAACCCCTGGCCTTTTCGAATGGCTGATCAGGCTGTTATCATCAAGTGCCGTGTTTGGGGTGGTGAAACCGGTGTTACATCCAAGCTTGCTCCAAAGCTTGGTCCACTCGGTGTCCCAGCTCCAAAGGTTGCTCAGGAAGTCGCTAAGGCTACAGAGAAATACAAAGGTTTCCGCGCTACAGTTAAGATCACAGTCCAGAACCGTGAATTCAAGGTTGAAGTCGAGAACTCCACATCTACACTCCTTATCGCTGCCCTCAACGAACCACATCGTGATCGTAAGAAAGTAAAGGCTGTCAAGCACTCTGGCTCCCTCTCCCTCGACACAATCATCGATATCGCTCGTACAATGAGACCAAAGTCCTGCGCTCGCACACTTGCTGGCACAGTTAAGGAAGTCCTTGGCACAGCTCAGGCTATGGGCGCTCATGTTGATGGCATGGATCCAAAGGAAGTTCAGAAGAAGATCGCCTCTGGTGAAATCCCAATCCCAAAGGAGTAAAATAATACTTGACGATTATAAAAGATTCAATATTTAATATTATTTTTATCATTAACATAACAAAAACATCTTTTATCACTTGCTGTAGTAGCAAATGATAGGATGTAATATAATAATTGATAACTTCTACTTTTTTTTTGTCTATAATATTAAAAAACAAATTTATTCGTCATGATGACTTGAAAGATATTTTCTAACTTCTATTAATTTGTCTGTATAATCTTGTAAAGGTTTTGCCATGTGATTTTCATCGTCATCGATTCCAATATCACCTGGAAGCATTAAATCAAATTGCTGCTGTAATATTACATGTATATCGTTTGGTTTCAAGCTATCAGATTCTTCGAGTTTGCATTCTTCAAAAGCGGCTGTGCAAACATCATTGATAAAGATCTCCGCAATTTTTTGGACTAAAACTTCGGCATCAGGGGAAATTATTGCATCCTTGTCTATTTTCTTGATCATTCCTTGAATGGCTCCTGGAGTAAATACTTTAGTTGATTGAGAATTAGGATCACTCATTCTGAACTAAAATAGGGTCTCTTTCTTATTTAAATTTGGGAAATTCAAAAAGTGACAGATGAAGAAAACAAGACATTTATTGCATACTATTAAACGATATATTTTTGTTCCTTGTATAGTTTTGGTAGCCATATGTACTATACTAATATATAAAAGTAAAAGTTCATCAGAAAAAGAAATATTAACGTGTCCAGTATGCAATATACCTCTGGTATCAAATAGCACTACTTCTTCATCAAGAGATGTAATACTAACATCAGCTCTTTCGGAATATAAGAGATTGCAATACTTCATTCGTACTCTAAGATCAACACAATCTAAAGCGCGTGTTATTTTGTTTTTGGAAGAAGAAAAGACTCTAACTAATGATTTGCTTTATCTTTTTAATGCTTGCTCCATTGAACCAGTTTTTGTTAAATATACAAACGATGTTATAAAGTCTGCACCTAAGCTATCAAGGTATTATTTTGAATATCAATGGCTAAAAGAGCATGTTAATGAAGTAGATCGAGTGCTGCATACAGATTCATTTGATGTAATATTCCAAGGAGATCCTTTTTCAGAGAAAATCTCGAGAAACAAATTATATTTCACTGTTGAACATGTTAGTATTAAGAATTCTTTATGGACTTCATCTTGGATAAATCAATGTTATGGCCCTCAGAAACTGCATAGAATAGAAGATGAAACAGTATCTTGCAGTGGAGTTACAATAGGGGGAAGTCGTGCGTACTTCGAATATCTTAAAATTCTCTTGAATACTGAAAAATGGGCAGAATGTTTTGGCCACAGCTTAGATCAAGCTCATCATAATTATTTATTTTATAATGGTACATTCAAGAGCGCAGGACTCGATATACACAAACTAAATTGTGATTCCGAATATTTAACAATGCATTTTTGCTGTAAAAAGCTGAAATGCATTTTAGATGATAACGGCGTAATGCATGGTCCAAAGCATTCAGATCCTCTTCTTATTCATCAATACAATCGTTGGCATAATTTAACAGATCGTAATAAAATCATCTGCCCTAATTTCAAAGTCGGAAAAGTACTCAAGAAAGAAGAGATTCCAATAATTGGATTTGGTGAGTTTATTTTACCTCAAAAAACTCTGGAGCCTCCAAGATAATTCCAAAATTATTTTTGTATTAATAGAAAAGAACTAGTTCAATGGTTATTTATGGATATTGATATATATTAGGATGTAACAATATCCAAAGACAATCAAAAAAATCTTCAGTTATATTTTCTTTAATAATAGTATAACTTTAGAACGGAAGCCTATATATTAAGATGTTTTCCGTATATTTCCTTGCCGAAATGGTAATTTGTTATTGATCTACGCTGTTAAGCTTTAAAGATTTGCACAACAATATGTTTTGTTTCTTATAATGAACATTACTCCATATTAAAATGCTTCTTTAGTTTTTATAAAGATACTTATTTGGAATTCTAATAAAGAGCTATCAAAATTTGGTACTTGTGTTAAAATCTCAGAAAACTGTTATTTCAATTTGAAGTCTTCTCTTTATGCCCTATGTAAACTACTCAAAAATCACTACATAGCCGTATACGAGTTTGTAGCTGCGAAATGGTCGTAAGTTCACTATGAATTTGAAGTTTTTTTTTAAGAATAAATTCGTCTATGAATGAATGAGAGACGAAAATATTGTCAAAGAGAAAAAGAAAATCATTAATGTTTGCTCAATAACTCTTTCAAAGACAAAAGGAAATGATATCAATAAAAAAATCCGATTGTTAGTTATCATACAAACATATAAAAAAACATTTATTAAGAAATAAATAAAAATTAGATCAATGAGAATTCGAATATTTGAAGTGCCAACTTTTGGCTGTTCAAGAAAGCGCATGTCTCTTCTGCTTCTTTTTCGCTCTGGTAAGGAATATTAATTGTTGTTCCTTTGTTTGTTTTGATCTTAACACTGTTATTTGCCAAAATCGAAAATGTTCCTTGAGAAATATAAGTTCTCATGACTTTCTTTGGATCATTCTTATTCATTACAACTAAAAGGGAATCAGTGATACAAACATATGTTTCGTCGTGTGGATTCAGAAGCATTCTTATCCTTTCCTGTCTGTTTTCTGACTCGTTTTTAAGTGCCAGTTGTAGTTTGTTTTGCATAGTACTTGCCTCTGTTGAGTATTTCTCGATTTTATTGAGTGGAAATGCTCTTGGAAGTCTTCTTTGTTTCAACACAACTGCTGTTTTATCTTCTGCATCGCTTGGCTCGTTCCAAACACCGAAAACACCTCTTCCAACTCTTTTTACTTGGAGATTTTCGATGTGTTTGTTTTCCATCAGAACAGAAATGATTTCACTTGGCATTGCTCTGAAGTAATTTGCTCTTCTACTGATCAGCTCCAAACTCTCTTTGCTGAACACTCCAATGACATTCACTCTGTTCTCGTAGACATCGCTTGTGTTCTGAGATAATTTGGATGATTCATCTTCTTCGGAATTAAGTTCAGAAACCATTTTGATTCCTAAATATTCAGCAATTCTTTGACTGACTCCAAGACCATCTAAAATAGAGCCACTGAAGCCAAGCATTTTAATGAACTGCTTGAAAACTTCTGTTTTGAAATCACCTGATATTTTGTCAATAATATTTTGTAAAGTGTCAGAAACTTGGCCCAACAAAACACCAGGAATTTCAAAAACTCCTGAAATACTTGGAATGAAACTGGAATAAGGGAACTTCTTTGTTTCACATGGTCTATTCGATGAAGTTCTAAACGCCGTATATATGAAGATAGGAGAAACTTCAAGCCATGAAACATTTGCAGATCTAGAAACAGATGAAGTGTTTTGTAGAGGTAATTTTGGTTCAATCTTGTAACTTATTTGTTCCAACAAAACACTTAAATTATTATAAACATCTGCCAAGAAATTGATATCAAGATTTGCATCAATTCTCTCTATATTGATTCTTAAATAGTCGAAACTTGTGAACATAAGAATATTTGGTGGTAGAACCATTTCCATTTGGAAGAAAGGAGTTTTTCCATTCATTCTTCCTGACAAAACATTTGGTGTTTCACTGAATGTGTGTTGATCATCGAGTTGCATTTCATTCACTTTGATTTTGAGGCAACTTCCTTTAGCTCCTGAATCAAATGATCCTGAAACATCATTCAATGAAAGTAGAAACAGTTCTCTCATGTATTCATCAATCATTGAGATCGCAAATCCCGCAAATGTCAATGAAATGTTCATCGAAAACTTCTCTTTCTCTTCCCAGATTTTATCTGACAAAATAACTGTTCTAAAACCTTCACTTGTCATTCTAATTGCCACGTAATACTTCTGTTCTTGTGTGCTGGAAATCAACTCAACAAAACCAGTGTCTTCTATCAAAGAAATGTTGAGGAGCTTTCCATTGACAAGAATCTTCAAACAAGGATAAGCAAATGGTTCATCAAAAGCAAAAATAGAAGTAGAAAGTGGATAAACATTGAAAGAATGACGAGGAATGATGTGATAGACAGAAATAGGAACTTCCAAGTCATTTGTGATGACGAAAGGTGTCGGGAACTTGGATTTCTTGAAAACGCAATAGAATGAGCATCCGTCATCGAAAACTTCCAATTCAATGATGAAGAATTTTTTGTCGGAAGAAACTCTGAAAACTGTTCTTTGTTTCTTTATTAAACAAAGAGCAGGAGTTGTCAAGAAACCAAAGACACTCAACATGAAACATCCTGATTGTGTAACATGTTGTATTTCTTTTGTTTCTCCTTCCAAAACAACACTTCCTGGGCCATGCATCTTCAAGTTTTTGGAGTTTTCTTCTTCTGATTCTGTAAATGATTTCGGAATTTCCAAAATCGGTTGCAAACCAATAGAAAACGGCAAACAGTTCTTGACAATGATCATTTCACTTATTGTTAACACTGAGCATTCATCCTTTTGTGAAATATCAATTCTCAATGGTCTAAATATGTCAGGAATTTCGGTTTTCAAGAAAAGTGACCTATTTTGAGTGACCAAAAGATTGATTGGTTCACTTCTCTTTGTTTCTTCCATCAAAATTGTTGCTTCAACTGTCTTGTCGCTCTCGAAACTGTCTGGACAAACCATTCCAAATAATCTGTCATCAACTTTAACTGATTGTGACTTTTTGCCAACGGTTTCGACGGTTATCGGTTTTTTGACACTTGAGAAAATGATTGATGGCGAGTAAATGTTTATTTGGAGCATATTGTCATCATTTTCTATCGGAGCATCAACTCTAACCGCCAAATTAACGGTTTTTCTTGATAATGGGTCGATTAAAGAGAAAACTTGAGGATTTCTTTCTCTCAGATAGATTGTCCAAGTGTTGAAAGTGTCTCCATCCAAAGAGATTACGAGTTTGGCCTTTCTTTGTGATGTATCGATGAATAAATCCTCTGTTTTAGTTCCTTGTTGCAAAACCAAAGGAATTTGTCCTTCGAAAGGAATTGCTTGCAAAGGTAATGGTAAATAAGAAGTCAAATAACAACAGGGCTCAATTGCAAAGATCCTACGACCTGTTGCTCTGTCTGTTCTTGCAGTTCTTCTCACAAAAATCTGTGTCTTCTTATAGAAAATTTTGAAAGAAATTGGTTTGTCAATTTTTGGAGAGAAAATAATTTCGTAATGACCAGAACTTGCGTCTGAACCTTCTCCAACGAATATCAATGATGTCTCCTTCTTCTGGGATGTCCAAACCAATTGGTATCTCTCGCCTGGTCTCAGTTTAGTGTTTTGGACAAATTGTTTATCGTTCTTTACAAAAACGATCAAATTTATTCCCAAGCAATTTTCCACTTCACTTGGTGTTGATAATTCTACCATCATTCCACCTTTGTAAGGCTTCTTGACAGCGGATACTGTTTCATTAAGTAATGTCGGGTAATTCAATATAGATGGAGAAAAGTAAACGGAATTTTTGCCAAACAAAACCGAAATTCTACAATTCATATCAATATTGTAAATTGGAATAGCTTGTTCTTGAGCCAGCATCATTATCATTCCATCTTTCGATTCATCCTGAGCTATGATGTATTGTACATCATCTCCCAATCTGTTTGACAGCCAGAATGATGGTAAATCATCACAGTTTATCGCTCCATCCATTCCAGACTTTATATCATCCCACATTTTCATGTATTGTAAAACAGCCATCAAAGGCAAATTGATGTTTACTGTTTCAGCGCATTTCAACATGAAATTAACTGAGTTCTCGTTCAATGCTGCGATGATGTTCAAATCGATTGGCTCGATGATTTGGTCGTAGTTTCCTGTTGTTTCATTGAAATACGTCGTGTAAGGATTGATGTTTATTGCCACGGCGTTGAATTCAGATGAAGAACTGAGTTTAAAGTTGATTGGAGGAATGACAACTTTAAACATTGGTATGCATTTGGTGGAACTCCTATTATCTCTGCACATAATCAACTGCAAATTGCCGGAACTGAATTTAATAAACGATACAGAAGTATTTCCTTTTTCTGCACTTGTTGGAAGTGGAAATCTCAATTTGGAAACAACTTCTTGGACTTCGCTTCTGATGTTATTGAACAAAATAATATCAGCAGCACTGATCTGCCAAAGGAAATCAGATAACTCAATTCTATTAGATATTTTTCCATTGGATTTTGTTACGTTTTCATATTTAACTGACAAATTTTCGAAAATTGGAGGATAAACGATTTTGTCTATTGAAATATATAATTTGCATTGTGAAACATTGACTGAAAAGACATCACTTGACATCTTCACCAAAGTGTTGAACTCTAAATTAACCCAATGCCTTGTTCCGCTCTTTGATTTCGTTGGTAATTTCAGCCTTAAATGAGGAGCATTGAATTTTAATGATAAATTAGGTTTGGCACTTTTTACTTCACTTTTCACTTCCTCTTCATTTGATTCATTTGTTTCTGATTGGTAAGCAGACATAATCAAAGGAGATCTCATGACAAATGATAGTAATCCAAGCCAAAATGAATAGTTGAAGTTAACTTCGCTTTCGATTAACGACATTGCGAAATCTTCGCCTTTCATTTCGAACCTGAAAAATTCTTTGTCAACTGGACAAACAATCATTGAGTTGTTTGTAAGACCTGGTGAAATTGCTAATCCGCCAACAGTTGCACTCCATATTGTGCTGAAACCTGCGTTGACATTTGTTACTTTGATGTTTGCCAATGGCTCGAAAATGACGAAAACAATGGAAATTTCGTTTATCGACAAAACCGCTTTTGGTTGGTAATTCGATATGACTTTTGAAGGCGACGAAGAAACAACAGAAGAAGTCTCTGAAGAAGCAGTAGACGAGAGAGTTTGTTTTGGCTTATTTGGAGAATCAGAGAAAGGAATGCACTCCAAGATTGCTTGAGCTGTTTGATGTCTGTATTTAACATAAATATTATTTACAGACATTGTTGAAGAGTTCTTTGAGAAATCGAAACCTCTCATGCAATAGATATGTTTCTCAGCAAATATATCTTCGATTTGAGGAGGAATGTCATTCTCAATGAAAGATACAGCAGCAATAAAATTGTTCAAAACAAAAACATCATTATTTTCTAGTTTGACATCGATTTTGTCCAAAGAAACAGCAGCATGTTTTTGTACACATTTGATACAAAACTTTAAGTTTTCAATCAAAATATCAAGTGTTTTCTCGTTCTTCAAATTGAACAGGTTTGTTCGAATTGATTTAGATAAAAGTGACAAACCTAAAGTCCAACCCAAATCTTCTTGATCGATATTTTCAGAATTCGGGTTATTCATCCAATAAAATGTTTGTGAGAAACTATCAAGTAATGTTTTGAGAGGAATTATTGCTGTATTCAAGTTCATTTCATCGAAAACTAAATCTATTGCGTAGTTTTCATAATGAAGTTTCAAAAGTGAAGTGTCAAGAAACGTGACATCTGACATATAAGATGTTTCTGTTTTTAGATCAGGCAAATCAATATCAAGAGCAACAGCGTTGTTATAAACACCTGTCATGGAAACACCATGAGTATTTGCCTTGAAATATTCAACACCATTATCAATTAAAATTGCTTCTAAACCGCTTAATTTAATATTCAAATCAATTGGATAAGGAGGTGGAGGAGTTTCTGGAGGATCTGTTGCAGGGAAAGGAATTCCTATTAACCAATTGAATCCTTCTCTTGTTAAATTAAACTGTTTGACATCGCCAATGATAGTACATTTTGCATCTTCTTTGTATCCTTCATAAGTTATTTTAAGGTTTTGGGAATCAACAAATAATGGTTGGTTCTGTGTCAAATAGTTTCCTTTGAAGGTTTCTATTGTTACATCAGTTATTGATTGTTTGTAGTTTGATGTTGTTTTAACGAAAACATCTTCTAGAATTGAATCAAATATCTTTGAATAGAATAAATATCCTCCCAAAGAAATTTTCTTTATTGAAACTTCGTATTCCCAGATAGTTTCTGATGGAGGAATGTTTGGATTATACGTAACTTCTAAATACCAATAAATAGCATTCATAATTGAGTGGTATTTATCTGTATCTAAGTTAATTTCTAAGAAAGGAATGTCTAGTTTCATCAAATATCCTTTTTCCGAAATTTTTTGGTCAATTAGTATATCCAATTCATTCAAAAACATCTTATCTCTCCTTGTTCCACTGATTTTGTCGATTTTTATTGTCATCTCTTTTCCAGAAACCATGTAAAACTTTTCCATGTTCAATACAATATTATCATAATCAGCTGCCAACTCAATCACCGGCTTCTTCATATCAATCTCCAACATCCATGGTTCTTCTTCAACTTTTGTCAAATTTTCATTTTTATTTGTCAAATTTCCATTTTTATTTGTCAAATTTTCGTTTTTATTTGACAAATTTTCTGGTTCGTTTTGTTTTTGTTGTTTGTTTTCTTCTTGTGGAGAAGCTGAGATTGACATGAGTTTGTTGAAAGATTTTTGGACAAATTTTATCCAAAGGTGGTCGAAAACTATGAAAGGAGTTGAAGATTGAACCAAAACTTTGTCTTTTGTCATAGAAATGATTGTATTCTTCAGTTTCAAGTAGTTGGTGTTGTATTGTTCAGCGGTCATATCAGTAACTGTTATATCAGTCATCTGGTTATCTCTTGTTTTAGTGAAATTGCACTCAATGTCATTCATTTCGAAACTTGATCTCAAAATTTCTTTTTCGTATAAATCGACATTGAAATTTTTCAAAGAGAAATTAGTCATGAAAGTTAATCTCGTTATGTTGTAAGTAGTAGTAACATTCTGTTCTGGTTGTTTCTGGTCATTAGAAGCTGCTAATACGGATGATTGATATTTCAACGCGTTGTTTAATGAATTAATACAATTTTCGTTGATTATCAATCTGCTGTTTTTAAGTCCACATCCGATATTCAACTCAACATTAAAATCATCTTTGGCAAATGTCAATTGATTGTTTGAATAAAATGTCATTTTGTCAATTAACGATTGATTGTCAACTCTAAATGAATTAATAGTAAGTTCATTAGATATTGTAATAACTAAAAATTTTTCTGTCACGTTTAACGGGCGTGTTTGTAATTGAATATTTTCAATTGAAAAAGTGACGAATTTTTCAAGATCATTTTCAATGTAAGGCATTGTGTAATCGAAGGATTTCACGTTGAGGTTGAAGTTCATTCCTCTTATAGATCTGATGATCTGCAACTGCTGACCGAAATCAATAATGTTCGCCGTTGTTTGTGTCCTTAAACTTGGATTTTTGACACTTGTAAAGTATTGTAAATTTTTGACAGATCTTATATCAAGTTTTGAAGTGCATGGGTTGATATCGACTTTGACATTAAGTAGTTTATCGTTTTTGGACATCTCCAATGATGGTTTTTCTGTTTTAAAGATGTTAATTGCATCTTTTAGATTATAATTACCGGATTTTTGGTCAGGGAACGAGTAAGCGTTGATAATTGTGCATGTTAATGTCTGTAAGAATCCATTCTTGCTGTTATTTTGCATGTTTCCGTTCAATCCTTCGATGATAAATTTGTACAAAGGTTCTCCTTGGAAAAGATTGATTTCAACTTCAAATTTGGGTATCAAGAAGTCCATTTGTATCGATTCCATTTGGAAAACATTTTCGGATTGATCAACTAATTTCTTTAATTCGTTGATATCGATTTGGTTTGTAATATGGGAGCTTTTTTCTCTTAACATAATGGACTCTGAATACCTACGAAGGATGTTTGAGGCTTCTGTTCCGATCTTTTTCTCAAGATGTTCTAAATCTTTCTTCAAATGGATGATTTTGTGCTTCTTATGCCTTTCTTTGTAGAACTGTAAGTACTGCTTTCTGTTTTTGAGTACAGTTAAAGCTAATTTCGGATTAAATTCGTTTGGCCTTGCTTTGACAATTGCGCATTTAGCGAGATAGTTAAAGAACATTGCTTTATCATCTGGTGATGGTTTGATGATGTGCGCGAACTTTCTTTGCTTTTGGAAATTTGCATAAGCTCTATTGATCAAAATGATTGTATGGCATTGCATTAAATCGAAGGAAAGATGCAAGTTTTCAAATACTGTAGATATAATTGTTTCAAATAGGGCGTGTTTCGAACGGTCATGAGTTAAATTCGCGTGGATAGAAAATGGCTGCAAAATGAATTGGTGGAAGTTTTCACTCATCTTTTCTTTCATTAACTCCGTAAATTTATCAAGATCTATAGGTAAATCTGTAGTGTCAAAGTAAATTGAAACTTTTGAAATATCAAGATTCTTCTTCATATTCTGGCCTTTCTTCTTTTTGCCTTTGATTTCGTTTCCATTTTCATCAACTGAATAAACACGTATTGAAGGAATAATAAATCCGAAGCAGATATTTGCACCGTTAAGACTATATTCAAGTCGGATGTGTATATTCGTGATATTTACGTGCAAGTTGTCAATAACTGTATTGATTAAGTTATGAAGAGTTGAAGCAATTTCATTGGCTTTCTTTTCATCTTCAGAAGTACCAATATGAAATGCTTCGTTGGCGGCTTGAAGATCATTCTTAATGACTGTTTCTGCATCTGGTGTAACTAATATGTATACATCACTGATATTGATGATGGTTGGATCACGAGCAAGATTCTTCCAAGGAAATGTAACATGAATTTTACTCAATAATCCTTTAGTTACTGTAAGTGGTATGCCATTATTAGTCAATGCAGTCTTTTTTAATATTAAATCTTGAAAATTTGCGTCTCCTTTCCAAATTTTCATGTCAAGCTGATTCTTGCTGACGTCTTCAATATAATCGTTCAAGTATTTCTTGATTATCTTGGACGCAACAGCATCAATCATTGCTTGTCAAGAAATAATTGAAATACAAAAAGTTTATCTCAAATTGAAACAATAATTTTATATTTTAATTGACATCAGATTTATGTTATAATTTTCAGCAAATATGATAACATGTGACATGAAAATAATTGTCAGATTTTATCAATTAATTCGATCGGTGCGCTGCGCTAATAAGACTTTGTAGATAGATGCCAAAAATGCTTCAATTGATATCATAGTGATATTTAAAATCACTGTGCTCAAGTCATTATCATGAAATTTCATCATGAAAAATATGATATATAATCTCTCCCCATATTTTTGGGGTACTCTCAATTCCAAATGTCATATATCAATATACCTAATCTTTTCGTACTTGCTCCAGTGGGTAAATATATAATATAAATATTATTGTATTTTATTTCTCTCGATTTAGATTTTAGCTCCACGCACTCCTTATCCATGGATTAGCAAACTTAGTCTAATTTTTCAAATTTTTCTCATACAAATTTATATCTCAAGATTCTAAGTTAGGATTCCTTTCAGACTCGTATATCTATACACTATGGGACCTAACTAACTTATATTCCAAGTCCTGGGTGAAACGGACTGTAAAAAGTTTCGCCGTACACCATCTAAATTCAAATTGCAGAATTTAATAGTAGTGAAGAAGCAGCCCAAAAATCTTCGTTCACATGGTTCAAAAACATGTGTTCTTATATAAGACGCCATTCTTTCTTTTTCTGATATTTTCGAAGATGAATTTTATTAGAAAATAGTTCTTTTTCTAGTGGAAATTGGAACACTAGAGCTCCTGAAGAGCAGAATGGCTGCCAGAATCTTCTGATCAGCAGAGGTCCAAATGGTAAAATGCCTATGTAGATACAGATTGAGGAACTTCAAAGCTCCATTTTGCAGAGATTGTGAGCTTTGGAGCTCCTCAGGCGAAGAACTGCAAAAGATTTAGCCATAAAATTTAATAGATCTTAGAAAATACAGATCAATCTATTAATTTAATGTATCCCTTTATCTATATTTAAAAAATCAAATGGTTTGGAATGATTGACAATAAATTATATCCGAAATCTTTATGGTCTTTGTTTTCTACATGTGTAACATAGTATTTTTTTTTCTTCTAATGAATTTAGGGGTATTTCATATGGTAAAATGTAAATGTGTCTTTTTAAAAAAATTGATAATGTCGGACCATGACGTTCATCCAAAAGAATACAACAAATTACGAAGTACTTACAAATACTATATCGATTCATATCTTGCATTGTCTCAGCTAAAAACGGAAAACGAAGAAGAATTAAAGTCAATTTACAAAATGATCAAAACAGAACTGATCGATTCAAAGAAATATCCTCCCCAAATAATTATGCGAGACATTTTAGATATCATTCTGTATAATAATCGCTATACAAAGTCATATTTATTTCTTGCCAAACTCATATCTGATGATTACCATGTCACAGAGGTCAACAGAGTTTCAACTATTCCAAACTTCTTGTTTTATAAAGAATATGGAATTAAATTAGACAAATCTACCGATTTTGAAAAAATTAATTCAGAAAATTTTGAAATTCTTACAGAAGATACAATTTACAGAGCAATTGTGTATAATGACCTTGAGAGATTCATATACTTCACTGAAAGAGATGAATTTGATAAAAATCAAAAACTTAAAAGCAATTTATATCCATCTTTTTTGGGAGGATATTCATTACTTGAATTATGTTGTTACCATGGAGCAGTTGATTGTTTCAAGTTATTAAGAACTAAATGCAGCTCAGAAATAACTCAAAAATGTTTAGATTTTTCGTTTTTAGGAGGAAATCAAGAGATCATGAGTGAATGTTTGAAATATCAGAAACCAGATGAACAATGCATGAAATATGCAATTATTTCACACAACATTGATTTTGTTACATTCTTGATGAATGAATACAATATTGAAATTGATCTATTTGATTGTGGAGCATTTCATAATCTTGAATCATTTTTAGTTTATTTCGATCAAACTAATGATATAAACAAATGCTTTGTTTATACACCTATATTTAATATTCCATCTCTTTTCGAATGCTTCCGTTTACATGGTGCAAATATCAATGAAAAAAATAAAGATGGAATAACCGCACTTCATTATGCAGCAATGCACAATAATAAAGAATCTGCCGAAGTTCTTATTTCACATGGTGCAAATATCAATGAAAAAAATAAAGATGGAATAACCGCACTTCATTATGCAGCAATGCACAATAATAAAGAATCTGCCGAAGTTCTTATTTCACATGGTGCAAATATCAATGAAAAAAATAAAGATGGAGATACCGCTCTTCATTATGCAGTAAGTGAAAATAATAAAGAAACTGCCGACGTTCTTATTTCACATGGTGCAAATATCAATGAAAAAAATAAAGATGGAATAACCGCTCTTCATTATGCAGCAAAGAAAAATAGTAAAGAAACTGCCGAAGTTCTTATTTCACATGGTGCAAATATCAGTGAAAAAGATAAAGATGGAATAACCGCTCTTCATTATGCAGTAAGTGAAAATAATAAAGAAACTGCCGACGTTCTTATTTCACATGGTGCAAATATCAATGAAAAAAATAAAGATGGAATAACCGCACTTCATTATGCAGCAATGCACAATAATAAAGAAACTGTCGAGGTTCTTATTTCACATGGTGCAAATATCAATGAAAAAAATAAAAATGGAATAGCCGCTCTTCATGTCGCAGCAATGTACAATAATAAAGAATCTGCCGAAGTTCTTATTTCACATGGTGCAAATATCAATGAAAAAGATAAAGATGGAAGAACCGCTCTTCATTATGCAGCAATGCACAATAATAAAGAAACTGTCGAGGTTCTTATTTCACATGGTGCAAATATCAATGAAAAGGATAAAAATGGAATAGCCGCTCTTCATGTTGCAGCAATGTACAATAATAAAGAAACTGTCGAAGTTCTTATTTCACATGGTGCAAATATCAATGAAAAAAATAAAGATGGAATAACCGCTCTTCATTATGCAGCAAAGAAAAATAGTAAAGAAACTGCCGAAGTTCTTATTTCACATGGTGCAAATATCAGTGAAAAAGATAAAGATGGAGATACCGCTCTTCATTATGCAGTAAGTGAAAATAATAAAGAAACTGCCGACGTTCTTATTTCACATGGTGCAAATATCAATGAAAAAAATAAAGATGGAATAACCGCACTTCATTATGCAGCAATGCACAATAATAAAGAAACTGTCGAGGTTCTTATTTCACATGGTGCAAATATCAATGAAAAAAATAAAAATGGAATAGCCGCTCTTCATGTCGCAGCAATGTACAATAATAAAGAATCTGCCGAAGTTCTTATTTCACATGGTGCAAATATCAATGAAAAAGATAAAGATGGAAGAACCGCTCTTCATTATGCAGCAAAGAAAAATAGTAAAGAAACTGCCGAAGTTCTTATTTCACATGGTGCAAATATCAATGAAAAGGATAAAAATGGAATAGCCGCTCTTCATGTTGCAGCAATGTACAATAATAAAGAAACTGTCGAAGTTCTTATTTCACATGGTGCAAATATCAATGAAAAAAATAAAGATGGAATAACCGCTCTTCATTATGCAGCAAAGAAAAATAGTAAAGAAACTGCCGAAGTTCTTATTTCACATGGTGCAAATATCAGTGAAAAAGATAAAGATGGAGATACCGCTCTTCATTATGCAGTAAGTGAAAATAATAAAGAAACTGCCGACGTTCTTATTTCACATGGTGCAAATATCAATGAAAAAAATAAAGATGGAATAACCGCACTTCATTATGCAGCAATGCACAATAATAAAGAAACTGTCGAGGTTCTTATTTCACATGGTGCAAATATCAATGAAAAAAATAAAGATGGAATAGCCGCTCTTCATGTCGCAGCAATGTACAATAATAAAGAATCTGCCGAAGTTCTTATTTCACATGGTGCAAATATCAATGAAAAAGATAAAGATGGAAGAACCGCTCTTCATTATGCAGCAATGCACAATAATAAAGAAACTGTCGAGGTTCTTATTTCACATGGTGCAAATATCAATGAAAAGGATAAAAATGGAATAGCCGCTCTTCATGTTGCAGCAATGTACAATAATAAAGAAACTGTCGAAGTTCTTATTTCACATGGTGCAAATATCAATGAAAAAAATAAAGATGGAATAACCGCTCTTCATTATGCAGCAAAGAAAAATAGTAAAGAAACTGCCGAAGTTCTTATTTCACATGGTGCAAATATCAGTGAAAAAGATAAAGATGGAGATACCGCTCTTCATTATGCAGCAATGCACAATAATAAAGAATCTGCCGAAGTTCTTATTTCACATGGTGCAAATATCAATGAAAAGGATAAAAATGGAATAGCCGCACTTCATTATGCAGCAATGTACAATAATAAAGAAACTGTCGAAGTTCTTATTTCACATGGTGCAAATATCAATGAAAAGGATAAAAATGGAATAGCCGCTCTTCATTATGCAGCATGGCGTAATAGTAAAGAATCTGCCGAAGTTCTTATTTCACATGGTGCAAATATCAGTGAAAAGGATAAAGATGGACAAACCGCTCTTCATTATGCAGTAAGTGAAAATAATAAAGAAATAGCCGAAAATCTTATTTCACATGGTGCCGAAGAATAATATTCTTACTTAAGATATTCTTTAGTTTTCTGGTATTTTCGAAGAAGATTTTCATTAGGGAGTAAAATAATCGTTTTTTTTTTAATTAAGGATGCGCTCACCATGTCAGATTTTTCATGCATGTATAACTTTTGATGGAATTAAACCTAGAATCTGGTATTCTGCCATATATATTAATTTTTTATAAACTACTATTTCTATTAATGTTTTTAAATAATATTTGTTTTTCACAATAATCAGAATTAATTTTTGGCCAAAATCGTAAAATATAAAAATATCAATCCATCACAATATTTTAAATTCTAATGATATTCTATCCTATTGATGGTATGGCTGGAAAATTAACATTCATGAAGTTATTAGATTAGGAAAATTGAATGGACCCTATTCAATTTTTTTGATTTTCCTCTCAATTTTATAAAAGATATAACTCAAGAACATGTGACATCAGGAATGGCTCACACAATCAAAAGGATATATTCCTTTTTGGATAAAAGCCTGATGGAACGATATTTTAAAAATATATTACTAAAATGAAAATAAAAAATCTAATTTTATGAAAATAAATGTTTATTCAACAGTATGCAAACCATATAAAATTTGCATGAGGGAGAAAATTCTGATATCAGTATTAGTTCGCAGTATCTATTATTCCGACCTCTGGATTTTTTTGAAAAATCGCGACAGACTTACCATCATGTATTTTTGCGTATTTGAAATGCATACATAGTATATGTTACGAGTCTATTCTTTGATTTTTTTTCTGATGAGTTTTTGAAATTTGATTATACAATTATATTGATTTTTCATATAAGAAGTGTAGGATAATGTAATTCAATATGAGTATATTGGTGTTAGCTTGCTCATTTAAAAAAATCAAAGTATAATACTATATTTGCTAATTATTCATGGAAGAATCAATAGATATTTTGTACACAGCTTTATGAAAGTGTGCCTAAACAAGATCAAACAACATAGGTAACAAAAGTCATTGCTGTGTCCCTATGTTGCATTGGTGGGAAATTGTAAACGGCTTTCAAAAAAAGTGCAGAAAATTCAAATGTAAGAGAAGAAAATATCATAATTATTGTAAAATAATAATAGGTACTTGCAAATAAAGATTATTTTAATGGAATTATGGAAAAATACTTATTCACTTTTAAAATTTTTACACTTTTGAATACTATTCAGAAATTCTTTGAAAATTTAAAAATCTTTCAACTCAATATCGAAAGGGATCTAGAGCCTCAAAGTTTTTCTATCATAATAATTACATATTCTAAGCACTTTTATGGAATGTTAGTGCATCCTTAATTAATTTATTAATTTTTGTACTTGAATTTGTTAGATGTGCTGAGTTATATTAGATTCATCCTCGTGAAGTTGCACATGAATTCACTGGATAAAGTCTTTCAAAAATACACTACATGTTTAGGAAGAGTTTCAATCCTGATAGTCATATTTTGAACAAAAAACCGACCGAAAGTCCACATTTCACAAATTTTGTTGAATTTCAGACAGAAATGAGCATAAAATACAATCATATTCAATGGAATATCATTGAAATGTTCAATTCTCTTGAAGAAAAAGGAAAACAAATTACTTGAAACGTTATTCATGATTGCTGGTGAAATATAAATAAAATATTTAAATAAATATCTTTATTCTTAGATTTGAATGTTGAATTACTTACTAATAATTTGACTGTTTTGATAATTGTTCTAAGATTAATTTGAAAAGCGAAAGAAAGATTTTAATCGACCATGCAAACATGAAACGAAATTAAGAAATATGGTATATCTTTATGTCAATAATCATGTGTTTATCTTTTTTTCTTGATGAAAATTAATCGATCTGGGTTTCTTTGATGCGACGAAATTAGAAAAAGTGCCAAAAATTTTGAATGGCGCGTTATCTTACCCAGCGGTCTAAAACAAACGTGAACCCTCCATTTTTCTCAGATCTTCTTGAAATTTTAGAAGACAGACGCCAAAAACCAAATCAAGTATTGATTGTTTCTTTAGAAGATGATGATGATGTCAATTGCACAAGATTTTGGAGTATTCCCCAAATATATCAAACAACAATGAATAGGTGCAAAATAGTTAGAATATATCGCGAGTTGCAAGCAACAAATTATATGATTTTCACAGAACAGTATCCAGTTTCAAGTCTTCCCACAATTTTTGTATTTGGCCAGAACAGTACTGTTCCAACATTTACATTTAGCGGTCATATTCCAAATCCATTCGAATTTATCGCCCAATTTAACTCATTAAACCCGCCAACAATTACATATACACAGCTTTCGACAGCTGATCCTCAAGTTAATGAGTATGATCCATTTGCTGAAGAACTTCATTCACGTAATCCAGAAAATACCACAAAAACTACACCGGCGCCAAAGATGGAGTTTGCCGATGAAGAATACGTTGACCCGTACTTAGCTCCTCGACCAAAACCGAAACCAGCATCTACTAAGACGCCAAATACTCAACCAGCTCAGCCCAAGCCGAAACTAACCGTTACAGTTGATCTTCCTGATGGCCAGCAAGCGCACAACGACTTTTCAGTTACTCAGCCATTATTTATTGTTCATAAATGGCTAATTACTTTGGTTCCTCCAAATGCCGAATTCAAAGTTTACGTTCTCCCTTCAAATGAAGAATTCTCTGACAGCCAATTTGATAATCTCTCGAAATATTTACCAAGTCTTCACTTGAAGATCGTAATTCAGAGAAAACCATTCCCAAAGCTCAAATTACCAGGTCTAAGCAAAATCAAGGAGTGGTGGGACTATATTTCACCTTTCGCAACCAAAGATGATGACTACATGGACTTCCACAGGCCAAATCAACAACCAGTTCATAGAGCTCGTCATATTTAATGCGAAATATTGTAAATTCTTTTGTAATTAAAAATTTTTTATCAGTACTTTCTTAAAAATTATAGTTAATTAAATGATTTTTTTACAAAAACAAAAAATTATAAAAACTATCGAGTCAATACTTCATGTGAGAGACCTAGATAAACCAAAATGGAGTATACGTTAACAAGGAAATTAAAAATTTTAATTTATGTTTATCTTTTTAGAGAATTCGATCGAAAAGATTTGCTCGGTAAAATATTTGGAGTATATTGAACTACCGATCATTTCAAATTGTTTTATATCTTGCAGATTCATTATAGAGGCATCCAAATATTTTGAATTGATGGATATTCTAATCTAATTCAAAGGGAAAAACGCAATAATCTGATTAATAGAAGGAATTCTTAATAAAACTGAAGATGTATTGAACTTTGCAACCAACTCTAAAATTATAATACTTAAATTCAGAAAAAAAAATCTGGATTTTCATAAAAAGAATACAAACAATTATTTTAAATTCTACAACAAGTACATTTTGTGTCTCCTTGAACAGCCTTATGCTTACCAGTGATTCCATACTTTTCAAAATAATTCTGAACGAGATTTGCAGCTTTTGGAAGAGGAACAAATGGAGAAACTCGTGAAACTTTGCTTTCTGGTATGGATTCCCAGTCAAATGGATCTGAAAATGAATGGTTACTATCGAATATGATCTGAAGTAAAATTTTCCTTATTTTATCAAAATCTGGCATTTCGGCGAAACCCAGAGCGTTTATGTAATACCAAACTTCGGCATATCCTGTAGGTAATCCGCTGAGTAGTTCTGTATCTGGAGTTGATTGTTTTATTTTACGGGTGGAAGCGTTGTCTTTTGCTTTGGACCATATCAAGCGTCCATTGTATAGTTCAATTAATGAGTACATCCAGCTGATTAAATCATCTCTTTGAGATTGATCTTTGTATGAGTGAGCGTTCATTGAAGCGTATTTAGAAGTACCTCTAAATCCTGATTTTGGTCTTTCCGGGAGATGTTGGTGGGTTTTCGGATCAATGTAACATTTTGATAAACCAAAATCAATAAGAACGAGAGGAATTTCATTATTATCATTGAAAATGAAATTTCCTGGTTTTATGTCTCTATGAATGAAGCCATGTCTATGGAAATCTTCTATACAATCTAACATATATAATCCGATTCTCGTTACAGTGAGAAGACTCATTCTTCTGTTTGGTAAAAGTCTTCTTGTATTAGAAATGCTTAAACCACATAGTGTCATTACTAGATATCTAAAGGTATCTGTAACACCATATCCATTAATTTTCGGGAAGTGTGGAGAGTCTTGAAGTTTCAGGAGAGTTTCAATTTCGCAAACAAGTCCTTGCTTTTCACAGTCTAATGCTTCAACTTTCATTGCATACATCGTTGAATCTGTTAAAGTATGCACAGTATATATCTCACCATAGCCACCTTGGCCAATTAAATCATTTACTTGATAATTTTCTATAACTGTGCCGCGTTTAAGGGTTTCCTTCTTCTCTTTTTTACTCATGGAAACCACAAAAAAACGCAAGTAAAAAAAAATTAATGTATTCAAATTAATTTATTCAGAAATGATTAATTCGTGTAAGCTCACTGATCATTTATAATTAAAAAATTCCGATATTACCCGTTGAATTCAATTGAATGGAAAACGTTATTGTGTTCTTTCTATTGTTTTTCGCTATGTTTTTTGCATAAACTCTAATTTAAAACTTGTTTTATAAGAGATTGCTATTAATATATCAGATACATGGCAAAAAAGAGTGGCCGGTCGGGAAACCAAAAAAAAAATTCGCAATTCTTACATTTCAAAATTTTGTTGAAAATGGTATGGTTTGTATTCTTCTATTGTTTAGATATGTTCTGATCAATTAATAATCTTTAATTGATTACCTGATGTTTCACATCATTTAAATTGGAGAAATATCAGTTCGATAATAATAGCATGATATTGATATTATCTGCACATTTAAATGTGTTAGTTGGATTTATGTAGATCTCAGTATAATGTGAAGAAATTTAGGAATAAAAAAATTCTGAATGAAGTTGTAGTATAAGAGATAGGTGCTATAGAGCGTTAAGTAAATGTAAGCAGATGATTCATTTTTGAACTATATGATTCACTAACAAAGCTATTCGTTTCAAGAGCAATTTAATAAAATGAAATAATGTCAAAAATAAATAATTTTACGTGACAAAATGTCAAAAATCTTTGCTTTAATTGATTTATCATGTTACCTCAGTATGAACCCCGCCAAAAACCACAAACAGAAGAAGGCCCAACAGGAGCCGAATTGCAGGCTAGTATTGAGCTTCAAAGATTCATAGACAAGTACGATGCTCCTGCAACTGAGGAACAAAAAACAAAAAGACAAGAAGTTCTTTCGAAAATCAAAATTCTCATTAACGAATTCGTCAGAATCATTGCTAAAAAGACAGGTAATACTGCCGAAGGTTTAGAAAACGTCGAAAGCCAACTCGTTCCATACGGTTCTTACCGTTTAGGTGTCGTAAGTGAGGGCTCCGATATCGACTGTATTGTTGTTGCACCTAGCTTTGTGAAAAGGTCGGATTTCTTCAACACATTTTATGAAATGATGATTAATCACCCATCAGTCAAAGAACTAGTCAAAGTTGAAAATGCTTACTCACCAATTATGTCATTTCATTATGATGGAATCGAAGTATGTACAATTTTTTTGATTAATATTATTGTTTCTTGCATTTTCATGCTTGAAACAATTATATTAATTGTTTTATTCATTCACTAACACACAGATTGATCTTTCATTCGCATCTCTTGCTATGACAACCGTTGCAGAAGATACAGATTTTGCCGATGACCATATACTTGATAACGTCGATGAAGAATCTGTTCGTTCTCTTAATGGTCGTCGTGTGAACGATATGCTTCTCCAATTAGTTCCAAATCAAGACATTTTCAGAGTTGTTTTGAGATTTTTACGTATCTGGGCTAAAAAGCGCTGCGTTTACGGTAACGTTTTCGGTTATCTCGGTGGTGTCAATCTCGCCATCCTTGCAGCCTTCATTTGCCAAAGATATCCAAAGAAATCTCCAGCTTACATCATTGTTATGTTCTTCAATGATCTCGCGACATGGACATGGCCAGAACCAATCTACATCAACACTCCAACCACAGGAAACAGATCTAACTGGGATCCAACAAGGCAACAAGACCACAAAGATTGTATGCCAATTATTACTCCAGCATATCCAACAATTAACTCTCTCCACTCTGCAACGAAGTCCAGCAGAAACAGGATGACTGTTGAATTCAAGCGCGGATTCAAAGTTGCTTCTGCTTGCTTGAAATCCGAAGCTTCGTGGGAGAGAATCATTGATTCACCAAAATTCTTCGTGAGACACAGAAAATTTGTCGAAGTTTTAGTTGTTGCAACAGAAGAAAAAGTTTACACAGAATTCATGAAATTCGTGCAGTCACGTGTCAGATTCCTCGCTATAAACATAGAGACACAATTAAGACACGTTAGCCACGCTTATATTTGGCCAGTTGAGTTCCCTGCAAATGGATACAGAGGAAACGAGTTTTGTTCTGTTTTTTACATCGGTTTGTCATATCATGTACCAAAAGACGAGAATCAGTCAAGAACACTTGATCTGACATCGCCGGCAAAGAAGTGGGTAGATGATATAAGACAGAAAGCTCCTCCGAATGCTGATGTAATTCTTGACGTTGTTGATACAAAAGATTTGCCATCATTCTTGTTCCCTAATGGAGAAAGGCCGGAAGTTAAGAATGTTAAGAAGGTTGAACAACCTGCAAAATAATTAGATTGGATTTGTAATAGAGAAGCAAAAATTTTTTTTATATTTATATTTATTTTTTTTAAAGTTTGGTTATATATTATATAGAATATTTATTGTATTTTTTTAACATTACCATAAGTCATTGATAATATTTCTCCTTTCTATTTTTAATAAAATTGAAATTACGTCTTTAATTTGAATCATGAACTATCTAAAGCATATCATATGCAATCTAAATGTATTTCAATCAACAATACACTTTGAATCATTTCCAGCCATGATCATGATTACCAATATCATACGTTTCCAATATCTGTAGAAACCAAATTAACTGTATTGTTCATTTACATATTAACCTATCTTGAAAACTATTTCTCTAAGAACATTTTAAATTTTAATGTAAAAATTTGGGTAAACTGAACGTTTTGACAGAGAATACATTTTATATCACATTTCTGTAAATAAGCTACCGAAATGTCTATCATTTTACTTGGATGAATGTCGGAATACAAGCAAGAAGAAGAACAAATACTGGCCTCAAAGGATTTTGAAGATAACGTGCACATAGATCTAGTTGGTCATTTCAATGAACAGTATAATTTATTGATTCAATCGTTTGAAAATAATATTATTAACCAATATCACAAAATTTGTTATCATCTTTATACCCTCTTTTGTACCAAAGATAGTTCGTTATTTGAAGAAGCGCAGAACAAGAATCTAATTGAATTTTTGATTTTTGTAATTAAGCAAAATAAAATATTCTTAGAAGACTCATTATATTTGCTCCAAGGTTTAACCAATGATTCCGAAGGTGAAAACTCAATGAAACTAATATCAGACCAAGAGTTACTAGAAATATTAGAATCGATTTTGAATGAATTCAACGATTCATCAAATTATCACATTATAATCGATATTATTAACCTATTTGTGACGATATATTATGATTGTACGCAACACAAAGTCTTTTTTGAGCCTGAAATCAATTTAGAAATCATTATTTATTTAATATTAAATCATCCAGAACATATATCAGAAATATTTAGAATGATCAGCTTTCATATTATAAATAGAGCAGAATTTGGTCGACTTGTTGAATCATTAATCTATATTGAACCAATAATGCAAAATTCTAAAAATTTATGCATCTCTCCTATAATGAAAACAATTAAGAACATTGTTGAAAAGAATAAAAATCATATTCAAGATATTATTGATTCAGATTTCATTAAATTCTTATTCTGTGTAGCATCATGTAGAGACGACCAAGATTCTAATGCTGAAAATACAAATCAAAATGATTGTTATGAAGAAAACGCAATATCTTGTGTAGAATTAATTCATGTTTGCATGATGTATTCAGAAAATAGCTGTATATTTAATATGATATGTGACTATTATGATATCTTACTGGATCCATGTAGAAGTAATGACTTTTTATCGATTGTTTTCAAAATATGTGTTATGAATATGAAAAAACATGATTTTCTAATTCAACTCATTATAGATCATGGAATCCTTGAATTTGCATCTGAGTCAATCATAAACGGATCATATGAAATCAAAAATTCTTCAATAATTTTGATTTCTTCTATTCTAGATAATATTTCATTAGAAACAGCTAATGTCGTTTTTAATAGGATCACACTTCCAGAAATTTCTTATGAAATTGCGTCAACCTTAGAAAACAATCCCAATCATGTTCATTCAATCAAAACAATAGTTCAATTTTCAATTACCTTGCACATGGATGATACAATTGATGAGTTAAGATCTGATGAATTATTTGATTCACTAGATTATATTTTAAAGAATAATAACATAGATAATCAAGAATTAATAAGTGACATTCAATACGTTCATGACATTCTCTTTTCAAATGACGAATGAAGGCTTTTTCGTTTCTCAAATCATGGAAGCAAATTCGATTTTTTTTTTTTTTGAAAATTAATTCACTTAAATCTACATGATACGTTTAGGTATTGTATCATATTTCAACTAAAATTGTTAATTCCTTGTTTAGAAATGTGTTTGTTACTGTAAAATCTAATTCTTCAATATCTTCATCATAACTGACATAGATTCATGAATGGTTCATATAATTAAATGTGTTTACTATTTCTTATAGTGAAATTATAGTAATATTATATTCAGTATGTTTGGGAAAAATTTTTTGAGATTGTTTGGAACTCTTTTTGATTTGTAAATACTCATGTGATTTGTGCTTTTTGATTTGCAGTTGCTTTAGTACATTGTTCTATCTTCTGATTGTAATTTTAACATCAATTCAAGGAATCTGAAATTATGAGAAGACAAAAATGTCCTAAATTTATATATATGCACACACATGCATCAGTCCATGTAATTTACTGTTCAAATCAAAAACGATGGTCCATTTGAGAGATAAAATAGCATCCAAAGTTAGTTGTTTCAATCATCAAAGTACCATTGGAATTCAATGACTTTCATGACCTAATGTTGTTTCTAAAAATTTGAATGTGGCTCAATTTGAATTTTGCATTCAATTTGGCAATCATCAAAATAACTCTTGTTCGAGAATTAGCAGGCTATATTCAACTATAAAATGAGACCAAAGTACTGATTTAACAAAAAATACAATCAATTCGGTTTTTCTCTCAAAAAAATTGAGAAGTGTCTTCATTTTTCCAAGTAATGCACAATACTCTTGTACCAACTTCACGTCATCTTCCATCCTTCAGTGAAGCACTTGAAGTAGCCATATCTGGTAAGAAAATGTCCCACGATCACATTGTCAGATTACTCAATGCTCGCGAAAAATCAGAAGTAGACGCACTTCATGAAGCTGCAGGAGAAGTTACAAAGAGGAACTTCCATAATGAAGTTTCTGTTCGTGGTATTGTCGAGTTTTCTAATGCCTGTGAAAAGAATTGCCATTATTGTGGTGTAAACTCTTACGAACCATTCGTTATTCCACATGAAGCTATTCTTGATTGCTGTGAATTCATGTGGAAGAAGGGTTATAGAAATCTCGTTCTTCAATCTGGAGAAATCACATCTAAACAAAGAATGGATTGGGTTGCATCACTTCTTGAAAAGATTTTCAGCAAATACGGAAAAGATAAGGATACAGGAATGTGTGTCATTCTCAGTATCGGTGAATTGGACTACAAGGACTATAAGAGATTTTATGACTTGGGTGTCCAGAGATATCTTCTTCGCATTGAATCAAGTAATCCAAAACTTTACGCAACAATGCATCCAGCTGACCATTCTTGGGAAAGAAGAGTAGAATGTCTTAACAATCTCAAGAAGATTGGCTACGTTACAGGAAATGGCTGCCTTGTTGGTGTTCCAACACAAACTTTCGATGATTTGGCCGGTGATATTGAATTCTTCCGCGATGGCCACTTCCCAATGATCGGATTAGGCCCATATCTCATCCACAATGACACAAAGATGGGAAGAGATATTCTTGCCTCAACAACTGCAGATGAAAGAAAGGAAATTGATGCAAGAAAGGTCAGATCTACACTCAATATGTACGACACACTTCGTTTGGCATGCCCATTCAACAATATTGCTGCAACAACAGCTCTTGATACATTGTATCCAGGCGGAAAGTTCATTGCTCTACAAGGTGGATCCAATGTTTGCATGCCAATCATTACACCAAAGATTTTCCGTGGTGGATATCAACTCTATGAAGGAAAGAAAGAAGTTGATGAAGATAATGAACAGACACACCAGAGATTGATTGATCTCTGCAAGAGACTTGGAAAGACTCCTGTTTTCAACAGATGGAATCATCCTCCAGCCTACTTCAAGAATAAGATGGCTAACAACAACCAATAAGCTTATCTTAACTATAATATTATTTCGAAGAGTGTGAATAAATGTATATATATTAATGATAGAAAAAAAAAGAAAATTATTTTGTTTGGTTTCATAAAAGAAAGCTAAAACATGCGAATCGAAATAAGTTTAAAGCTGTAGTAATAAGAAGTGAAAGGATTAGTTAACAGGTTAAAGAAGATATGAGTTCATGTATAAGATTTTAATGGGGAAAATTCTCAAAAATCTACAATATGAATTTGAAAATGTGAAGCACCGCTGGTCTAATGGTAGAATTTCACCTTGCCAAGGTGGGGGTCCGGGTTCGATTCCCGGGCGGTGCAACTCTTTTTTGATTTTTATTTTTATCGTATTTGGATTTTTAAAATGAACATTTGTAAAGTGATCTAATTTTGAATATGCTTGGCCTGTGAATCCGATCGTTAAATTTTTGAATCTTGCTATTTCAAGCTTTTGTTTACAGTACTGTAATGTTTGCGAATGAATTATGGTCAATTCAGAAAAATTTCTCCATGAAAAATCATAATGTAAACTATTGAAATTCGACCTTATAATCATTCAAAATATGTTACCTGAGCTTCGTGAGATCGAACTCAAGTTCTTCGCATACTTGAACTACGTCATCTGTTTTATTACAGGTATTGTCAGAGATTGGATTGACAGGAGAACCGGCAAAGGCCGCAAACCAGCACCAAAAGGTTATGTTCCAATTTTCAACGACTTCGCTGATTTCTTCACCCGCCGTTACTACCACAGAATTGATGACTGCTTTGCTCGTGTTGTTACATCCAATGCTGGTGCCTTCATGGACGTCAAGGTTGCAAAGAAGGCCGATGACCTCGCCCAAAACCAGTTCTTCACAGGTGAAACACGCAGAATCATGAACCTTGGTTCCTATAACTACCTTGGCTTTGGCGATCCAGATGAATATTGCACACCAGTTGTTAAGCAAGTCCTTGACAAGTACGGTCCAGCCACATCATCATCCCGTGTTGAAGCCGGTACCACACAGATCCACAAGGAATTCGAAGAAATCATTGCTAAATTCCTCGGTACAGAAGATGCAATTTCCTTTGGTATGGGTTGGGCTACAAACGCTACAGTTATTCCAGCTTTCATGAAGAAGGGCGACCTCATCATTTCCGATGCTCTTAACCACAACTCAATTATTACAGGTGCTCGTGCTTCTGGCGCTGCTGTCCGCGTTTTCAAGCACAACGATATGGAAAACCTCGAGCAACTTCTCAGATCCAGCATCTCCCGTGGCCAGCCAAGAACACATCAACCATGGGGCAAGATCCTTGTTATTGTCGAAGGTATCTACTCAATGGAAGGTGAAACATGCAAACTCCGTGAAATTGTCGCACTCAAGAAGCAGTACAAGTTCTACATATGGCTCGATGAAGCTCACTCCATCGGTTGCATGGGTGATACAGGTCGTGGTGTTACAGAACATCTTGGTGTTAATCCAAAGGATGTTGATTTCCTCATGGGCACCTTCACAAAGTCCTTTGGCGCCGCTGGTGGCTACATCGCCGGTTCCAAGCAAATGATCAACTACCTCAGATTAAACTCATTCGCCAACATCTACGCTGATGCCATGCCAGTTCCAGTTGCCCAGCAGGCAATGTCCGTCATCAAGGTCCTTATGGAGAACGAAGAAGGAAAGAAGAGAATCTCCCAGCTCCACGAAAACGCTACATGGTTCAGAGAAGAACTCAAGAGACGCAACTTCAAAGTTCTCAGTGAAGATAAGTCTCCAGTCGTCCCAATCATCATTCCACCTTTCTCTTACTTCACAGAGGTTTCTCGTAAGGCTTTCGAACTCGGCCTCGGCTTAGTCGTCGTTTCTTTCCCTGCTTGCGATATTCTCCAGGGCAGAATCAGAATTTGCATTAACTCAATCCATACAAGAGAGGAACTCCAGCACGCACTCGACGTTCTCGAAGAATGCGTTAAGGATATCCCAGCTAAGACTCAATAAAAATCTTTCAATTTTCCCCTTCTACGACATATAAAGCATATTTTTCTTTTTATACAGAATAATAAAATGTAAATGTTAATAATTTTTTTGATTTTTGTAATAAATTATTTAAAATTAATAAATATTTAGAGATAGTTTTGTAATAATTATATTTATTTTCTATTATACTGATAATCCGCTGATATAAATAATCAATATTTACATGTTTTCCCTTCCAAAAATTTTTTGTTTTTCTTTTTTTGACTAAATTTTTCTAAATTGTTTTGTTGATTTTTTGAAAAATGAAAAAATTTGGAATTTTAATAGATAGACAAACATATATGCATCATCAAAATCACAAAAATATTCAAAAATATTCAAATGGCGTCAACTCCTCTGGAGAAATTACGCCAATCATATCAAGACATCGAAGATAAAAGAAAACAAGCAACAAAACTCTTACTCATTGAACCCAAAACAGTCAAAGAAGAAGCCTATGTCACACATTACGTTGCAAAATATGCAAAAGAAATACAAGAACTCAGTAACTCAATTCTTGATGTTATCAACAACAACGGAATAGAAAAAGTGCAAAATCCTCTTGAAGCTTTTAATCAAGCTCTTGAAGAAAGAATAACTTTTCATTCTCAAGTTGTCGACAAACCAGTTGCAGCTGTTAAAGAAGAAAAAGAAGATAAAGGACTTCATGGAAAGACTATGAATGATATTATTTACGATATTCAAGGATCTCCACATCTAAATTTATTTTATGATAACGCTAGATTCCAAGAATGGCGTCGCCAATTCCAGGAGGAAAAAGAAAGAAGAAGGAACAAGAAGAAAAAGAAAACAGTTATCAGTGAAACTGATGAAGCTTTGACAAAATTTTCCGGAGAAGAATGCTATGGCATGTTCCTGGACTTAAACGAGCTACATTCGCAGTACATAAACATTACAAAAACATCAATTTCATACTTAGAATTCTTGGAAATCCTTCAAAAATCGAATGATTTTTCAAATTTACCAAAATCAGAACAAACAGAGAAATTCATCGAAAATTTAGTTTCTTATCTCATGGGATTTCTGGAAAGAGCACAACCATTCTTCCCATTGACGGAAAATGTCGAAAATATTATAAATCAATTTAATAAAACTTATGCAGATAAAAAATCCCAACAAAAATTCTACTGCGAGTACTGTAATCGCGATCTAAAGACAGAAGAAAGGTTCAAAGTCCATCAAACAGAAAAAAGTCACCTTCGCAAGGTCCAGAAGATCGAAAACACTCCAGGAGGACTCGAAGAAGTTGTCAGAATGAGGACTGAACGCAACAGAGCTGTTGAACAGAATAGTTTCCTCGCAATTCAGCTTTTACAGATATTAAAGTCAGTTTTAGAGGCCACAATCGAAAATACCAAACGTAAACAAACAGTAACAGCTGCAACAATTGAAGCTGAACGTGATTTAGATGCTCCAATTACTTTTGAAGAAAATGATAGCGAAGATGAAGAGCAATTCGTTAATCCGAAAGGCCTTCCACTCGGATGGGATGGAAAACCAATTCCTATGTGGCTTTACAAGCTCCATGGCTTATCTGTTGAGTATAAATGCGAAATTTGCGGAAATAGGTCGTATTGGGGAATTGCCGCATTTGAACGTCATTTTGTTGAAGCCACTCATGTATCCCACCTCAAAGCGCTAGGAATTCCAAATACAAAGCACTTTTTGTATATTACAAAAATTAATGAGGCCGTGAATTTATTTAAGAAGATCAAAGGCACTCTCAAGGAAGAAGTTTGGCAAAAGGGCCAAGAAGAAATCGAAGCTGCTGATGGAACAGTTGTTCCACTTAAATTATACGAAGATTGTGTTCGCCAAGGCCTTATCAAGCCTCGCTCCAAATAAAAATAGAATATTTGTTTGATTATCTATCATATTTTTATATAAAAACTCAATTTAATATCAATATCTTGGTTTAATATATGAAATTATGAGATGACTTCATCATGCAACAAAAAATCTTTATGAATTCTCTCATAATTTTAATGTCTCATGATGGAATTTTCATTACTGACCAAAAATGAATCAGTTTTATTTTTGATTTTGACAAAATAAATTTAGAAAATCTACTACCTTACCAATCTCTAAAACAAATTAACTATTTTTTGTCAAAATTTTTAAGGACGATAGAAATCGACCAACTTTCAATAGAATGGATAACGAAATACCTTTTGTCGAGCGCCTCGGCAACATTGTCGATCCTAAAGATCCCAATGTTCCTTTAACACAACGCGCAGCACTCCTTGAAGATCTTATTGACGAAGTTATTCAAGACGGAGCTCATATTGAAGAACGTGTTGGAGATTTTGAACAAGTATTAAATCATCTCTTAGAAACATACGTACAACTCGCTAATTCAGAAAAGTTCGCAACACTTCTTGATCATTTAGCAGAATATTTCACAAAAATCCCAAAGGCTCGTACAGCTAAACTCGTCAGAATTATTATTCAGGCACTCCGTAAAGTTCCTGGCACACTCGAGATCCAAGCTGATCTTTGCCAGAAATGGATTACTTGGGCAAAGGACCAGGAAAGAACATTACTTCGCCAACGCTTAGAAACAGAGCTTTCTGAAATTCTTCTCGAACAACATAAATATAACGAAGCAATTGAAATTCTTCAACGCTTAACAGCAGAACTTAGAAAAGTCGATCATAAATCTCAGTTAATTGAGGTTCACCTTATCGAATCTCGTACATTCAGAGGTTTAGGCGACTTCTCACGCGCCAAGGCTTCTCTCACAGCTGCTAGAACAAACGCAGCTGCTGTTTATACAGCACCTCTTCTTCAAGGCCAATTAGACTTAGAGAGTGGTATTCTCTTTAACGACGATGGCGATTACAGAACCGCTTCTTCCTATTTCGCGGAAGCTTTCGATGCTTTTGCAAACGCAGGAGATCCATTAGCTCTTGACGCCCTCAAATACCGCCTTCTCTGCCGCATCCTTGACGGAAAGGCTTCTGAATGCCCAGCGATCGAGGCCGCCGCAGCCATTTTCCTTCAAAATTCAAAGAATGCGATTGTACAGAAAAACACACAGATCGAAACAATGTTAGAAATAGCACGCGCTAGTGAAGCTAAGTCACTCCACGATTTACTCGACGTTATCAAAAAGAGAAAAGATGACTTAAACGCCGATCCTGTTGTGGCTTCAAACGTAAAGAACCTTATCAACTCTCTCGAGGAGCAGCACTTACTCAGAATCGTTAAGCCATACTCTGCTGTACAACTCAGCAGAATCGCAGAACTCATTCACTTAGATGTCGAACAGGTAGAGGCAAAACTCGTACAGATGATTCTCGACCAGAAGCTAAAGGCTTCAATCAACCAGGCTGACGGAATCTTAAATATTTTCGAGGATGAAGAGGCAAATGAAATCTTAACGGAGTCTATCGATTTGATTGAAAATATGGATGGTGTTGTTGACGCACTTTACAACCGCTGCAAGTTAATGAATTAAAAATTTTGATATCATTATTATATTTAAATTAACACAATTTTTTTTTGTTTTTTTTGTTTTATCAAGATAATACATTAATGGAACATTTATCACTTTTTATGATATTCCCTCAATTTTTTAAATTTATCATAGAAAGATTTCACTTCTTAAGCTTTTTAGAATTATGCTAGATTTTCCATAACGAATGGTACATTTAGATTTGCAGAGTCAAAGGTGGAATAAGTATTATATTGGAAACAATTTTATAATTAGATCTTATTTATGATTTGAAAGGTTGTCTAAAAGTGGTAAGGGCATCATTGAGAGAGCACTGCCTTAGTTTACTAAAATGAATATTAAATCCGATTCGAGTTTTCCTCTGGATATACTTTTTTAAATTCTGAAACTGTAGAAAGATGGGTGATGATATGTATATGCTATATCTTTGCTTGGTAAGAAAAATATTCAACTCATCATAGAGAAAAAGTAATTTTAAACTTAAGTTTCAAAAATTTGAATAGTTATAAAATAAGATAGTTGTTCCTCATCTTAATATATTTAATCAAATAGATAATACTTTGGGCATTTTTTAATGTCTAAAATAATTTGTAAAGTTACAGCTTCTCATTTCGATGAGCCAGGGTATTATTCAGAATTATGAATACATTGCTTCTCATATCCACGATTACATAACAGAAGGTAATTTCTTCGATTTGTTTGAAATCGAAGACATCGAAAAGATCATGAAAAATTCAAATTTAACATCAAGTGACTTCATTGCTCTTCTGGAACAGTCACATCATACTATCAAAGCAAATGAATTATATATGTGTACTCGAAATTCTAATATTTCTATTCAAAGCTTGGAAGATGTTATTTCTATACTGAATTCTATCAAAAAGTACATGAAACTCAGAATACTTAATGGAATTGTTGACTTTTTAGATTGCATAGCGAAAGGAATTCATGATTCTACAGAGAAAATACAAAAACTTCAAAGAGAGCTAAACGAAATTCAAAATCAAAATCTAAAAAGTAACAGCGAAATAAAATCACTTAAACTCCAACTCAATCAAATTAATGAAGAAAACAACAAATTAAAGAGAGATATCCAAGATATAAAAATCAATCAAATCAATGAAGCTCAGAATGCTCAGAATGAAATTCTATCAAAAATTTCAGAACTCAAGAAATCAGGTGATTTCCAAAGTGTCTACAATTTTCTTGATGAACTTTCATCACAAGGAAATCAAGAGATGATTTCAAAAGCATGTGAAGAAGGACTTTGGAAAAAGATAGCACCTAAAAAAGTATATGGGATGATGAAATGAATGTTATTCATGTTGCAAGCGAAAAAGGAAATCTCAAACTTGTTAAATCTCTCATACTCGGTGGTTGTGATAAAGAACCCAAGAGCAAATATGGAAATACTCCACTCATTTGGGCATCAATAGGAGGTCATCTTGAAGTTGTTAAATATCTTATCTCTGTTGGAGCTGATAAAGAAGCAAAGGATAGCTATAAATATATTCCACTCATTATAGCATCAGAAAGAGGAAATCTTGAAGTTGTTAAATATCTTATTTCTGTTGGAGCTGATAAAGAAACAAAAAGTAAAAGTGGATGGACTTCACTCATTTTTGTATCAGAAAAAGGTCATCTTGAAGTTGTTAAATATCTTATCTCTGTTGGAGCTGATAAAGAAGCAAAGGATGATGATGGATATACTCCACTCATTTGGGCATCAATAGGAGGTCATCTTGGAGTTGTTCAATATCTTATCTCAGTTGGTGCTAATAAAGAAGCAAAGAATAATTATGGAGAAACTGCACTCGATCGTGCAAAAGGCAAGGCAAAGGATTATCTGAAATCTGCATGAAAAACCTATAATTAATTAATATCAGATTTAAAGCAACGTAATTATCAGAAATTTGAATTGAATCTTCGACTTTTTGAAATTTGTCTTAAATATTCACTTCCCACTTTCTAACATTCTCTCAATTTTCCTGACAAAAGTTTTATTTTCAATATCTCTTCATGCCTGTTTTTGTCATTTTGAGAGAATGTCATGAAGTGGTAATTGCACCCTTAAGAAAAAAGAATAAAACTATATTATTATTACTGTATTTATAAAGTTTATATAGTCAATATTCATATAAATATTTCACATTCCATTATAATATGACATTCATTCCATTACATTATGGTTCTATATACAAAAAACCATATTCTTGTCTAAATCAAAATATCATTGTCCTCTGTGGACACTGATAATTTTAGATGGTAATTAAACATCCTCATCAAAAAATAATATTTACCTCTCTGTGAATTACCTTATGTGCAAGATATTATTTATTTCACGCAATTGATCAGGAGTAATATTACATGTAAAAGTGAATCTCTCCAACATGTTTATCAGCCAAAAATTATTATATAGCAATGTAAGTTATTCCAATTGTTTGAATAACAATTAAGGCTGTAATATTGAGTTCTTATAATAATGATATTCCAAATAGAAACAATTACTAAATGAACTTTTTTGACAAGTTAATCTATTGGCGAACATTTTCCTACATTAAGTGTAGAATTCTCATGAAAAATGAATCATTTCAACATATATATTTACGATTGAATATTTAGATTTTTTTTTTAGGAAATATGATATTGAGAAAATTGTCAATAATAAATATTTATAAAAACATAATTAATGAATCAGTCATCTTCCTCTTCTGAATCATAATGATTTGGTGAATCTTGGTGATCTTCCTCTTCTTCCTCTTCCTCTTCAGGTTCGGAATCATCAGTTGAATCAGCAACGGTCCATAGTTGTATATTATCACGTATCACACGAACAATATTTAGTACATCTTCTTTGACAACTTGGCTTTGTTTATCCAGGCCTTCTGTATAGTGAGCTAGTGCCTGCTGGAGCATTTCAGTAGCTTCTTCGACACATTTAAGATATTCGTACTTAAAAACCGCATAATTCAGAAAAGTTCCTAATCTAATTGGAATACATGGTTCTAATAATTCTTGACAATTTACATATGCGTAATTATATGAATCACTTGCATTTTTGAATGCATTTTCTTGATCAGGGTTGACTTCTATGATATAACGATATAAGTCTCCTCTGACTTTCTGATAATGTATTAGCGAGACACGATCATCACTATTTTCTGGAATAAGAACATGCTCAATTACGTCAAGAGTTTTATTACATATATCTAAAATTTCTGTAACACAATTTTTCTTGATTTTTAATAATTCTTCCACGTTTTCTGAGTGCCCTGCTGATCTCTCTGTAGTAATAATATTGTTTAATTTTTTAACGGATGATCTTGTCGGGTCAACTGAAGTTTTAACAGCTAAATTTAATAGATCTCGTTGCTCTAAAGTTAATTTTGCGCTTTTTGAGCAAAGAGTTAATATGTTTTCAAGAGCCTCCTTCGGCCTTTCGCAATCAATATTGAGATGAGCTAGAAATTGATAATCAGTCATCAATAGTTGTCACTTTTGGCGCCAAAAAAAGTTTTGAATCAATTTTTTTTTCATCGGAATAAAAACTAAATGAATCAAGTTTATTAATAAATTTATATTAATTACAAGCTAGAATTGCAATTACTTCACTAAAAATATAGTTATCTCCTCAAAATAATGTAAAAAAAGATGGAGAAGTGATTCGAAAAAGTGACACGAAGATAGTTGTAAAACGGCAAACCCAAATTTTAGCTAAAAGTAACAGGAAAAAAAAACGTTTAGTATTAAAAAAAAAGACCGATGAGAGCTTCGTTCGAAATATAGAGGGAACTGAGAATGCGCAACCATTCTCAGGGAATATTGGATGCTATTCCCGTTCCCTCTGTATGGAAAATTGAGGTTTTCAAAGGGAGTTAAAATAATATCAAATTTATACTAATTTACTTCAAAATACAAAAGTATTTGACAGCTAAAATTAGTTACTTTAGCAAGCCTATCAATACCCTTTTACGATTATTGTTACTTTTTCGAAATAAAAGTAAAAACAAATTTATACTAATTTACTTCAAAATACAAAAGTATTTGACAGCTAAAATTAGTTACTTTAGCAAGCCTATCAATACCCTTTTACGATTATTGCTACTTTTTCGAAATAAAATAAATTTATTATCAAAAACCTTTTTTTCTTAGTAAAAATAAAAATGTTATTTTATATCAAGTTTTTATTCATAAATTTTTATAATGTTGTATAAATTTGAAGGTGGAAATCTGTAATAATTTTATCTTGAAAAGACTTGGCATTCTCAACAATGAATTGAGGGGTATTGCATCCAAATTCTGTAATTTGCGTGAGAATACTAAGCTTGATTTCCATTGGGATACTTAATTTCGAAAAATACTGGGTCATTCGTTTTTGAACCTTTGCTGCCTTGACAACTTTATCAAGTAGGTCATCTAAACCCAATTGAAGCGTATTTAAGTTTGCTGATGAGTTAACTATTAACGATTTAATTTTATCAGTGAGCATTATACATTTTTCTGTATCCAGTCTGATTGTAGACTTTTTTGGCTTTTTTTCAGATGGCAACGGATTTGGAATTTTGTCTCTGAGCCTTATATCTTGAGAAATTCTGTAATAAAATGAAGGAACGATAAAATCGATTAATTTCATCACAAATCGATCAAATCTCATGAAAATTGTTCCGCCAAAGTAGTAATATTTAATTTTTTTGTTAATCGATTCTGAAATGTTATTTGTGAGAGCTAAATTTTCATCTCTTTCAGCGGCTGTCCATCTTTCTTGGTTTGATATCCATTGATTTTGTATGTATTTTGAAAATTCTGGGAATTTTTCGGCTATTTCCAGAATTTTTTTGAACGTTGGTTCAATCCATTCTTTCTTGCCATTTCTGCCGTATGCAAGATAGTTCATTTTTGTATCTAATATCAATTTGTCTGAACTCTCAAATGCATAATCTTTCAAATTTTTCTGAACGCCCTCATTACATGAACTGCACACCAATGAAGGATAACTTCTGGAAAAGAGTTGATAATCGCATTTTCGATTTCTTGTGCACAATCTGACATAAAATATTTTGGTTTTACTTTTGCCCAGTTAAAAAATGCCTTGAGACAGAATGCAATATTTTCTGAAGTGTTTGGATAAACGACAAATTGAAAAATTGGGAATGCATGTGTATTTGAAAATTTGGCTGATATCATGTAAAACAACATTTTAAATTTAAGTAATGAATGGGTTGCATCAATAAAATGCTCTTTCACAATTTTGATTATGTCCAGAAATTTGAAGGAAGCATAATAAAAGATTAATTTCTTTGGTTTGTTGTAATTATCGACATCGAAATAAATTAAATCTTTTGGTGACTCTTGTTCTTTGATACCCTTAAATAATTGAGTTGACTTGAATTGATTATCATCGTACTTTTGAATACCTTTGATCTTTTTAGGTCAGGTATGAGGGGCTTCCAGGGGCTGCGCCCCTTCTAGCCCTAAGAAATTTTGCCCAAGACCCAAGAGGAGGACCGAACCCCAGCCGACCAGCCGGTGACAAAACCAAAACCGTTGTTATTTACATCATATTAATGATGTCACTTTTAAAAATGTCACTTTTTGTTTCACTTTTCACAAATTATATATGTTTTCATGCTTTGTCACTTTTCTGTCACTTTTCAGGTAAAAACATTTTTATTATTATATATAAATGAATTTTACAAAACCACCGTTACCGTTCTTTGGAAATAAGAGTAGATGTAAAGATATTATATTGAGAGAACTTAAGAAACTACCGAATGGTCTAACATTTGTAGATTTGTTCGGTGGAAGTTTCTATATATCCCATTTATGTCATACAATATTCCCAGACTCAAAGATTATATGCAATGACTTCGACAACTATATGGACCGTCTCAAACATATACCAGATACAAACAATATATTGAAAGAGTTAAAAGAAAAGATACCTATAGGTAAGATGGAACGTATACCATTAGATAAGAAAAATATTGTGAGAGAGGTTTTGAAAAAAGCAGAATATATAGACTGGGATAGTATATCTGCTAGACTATTATATAGTGGTTCTATAAGAGTTCATGACATTGAAACACTTATGTCAAAAGTTTTATATCTTAACTATACAAATGTTTTCAAAGAGGACATAGAAAAATATATTGAGGGTATAGAGTTTGTGAGATGTTATTGGACAGAGTTGTATGAAAAATATAAAGACAAGGAAAATGTTTTCTTTATAGTGGACCCGCCGTTCTATAACACATGGGATTTTCAATACCAAGTAGACTGGACTTTGAGAGACTCTTTAGAAACTTTAGACGTTTTACATAACTGTCCATGCTTTTACTTTACATCCGATAAAAGTGGTTTGGAAACCGTTATGAGATGGTTAGAGGACATACATGACTATGAGTTTAGATATGACAAGATAGAATATGAGAGAGGTCCTATAAACCGGAGAAAGTGTCATAACAAAGAAATTTTATTAGTAAGTAAATGTGGTTTGAAATAGGACTACTTGTTTTAGGTTTTTTCCATTGTGTCATTTATTTATTTGACGTGGCAGAAAAGTACAGAGAATATGAAGATGAACCAATGCCTGCAAATGTTCAGTATATGTACTCGTAAGAGATATTTTTATCTAATATTAAATGGACGCACAGAACTTAGCGAATGCACAGCAACCTGGACAACCAAACCCAGAGAATATTCCAAATGAAGTTAGAATACAAACTGCAATGGCAAACTATGGTCAAGTGCCAACAGATGTACAAATGCAAACTGCCATGTCAAATGACGCTGCGTTAGGTTTGCCACCATGGTATGCAAATATGAGATGGAAAGAGTTTTATACAAACCCTGAAGTGGGATATAAACAACTTTATGCAGATGACGCGAACACAGGAGTTGACCCAGAATATGTTTTCTACCAGAGGAGAAACAGAATGTATGAGCTCCAGTTAAAGAATGCTATGGAACTCAACAGGAAACGTAAGAGACTAGGCGGACATTAGATTTTTACATATAGTAAAATGGGTTTCTTCAGTAAGATAGGAAACTTCTTTCGAAATGTTGGAAGAGGTATATGGAATGGAATAAAAACCGTAGGAAGAGGAATTTGGAACGGAGTCAAAAATATTGGTAAAAGAGTAGGTCAGTTTGTTGGTATTATACCTAAAGACCCTGAACCAGAAGAACAAGCTCCTGTTATACAACAGCCTGAACCTGCACCACAGTCTAGTTGGCAACCAAATCCAACACCTCAACCGTATTAAAAAGTTATATTTTTACCGTTCGATAGTAGTTGTATATGAAACTAAGTTCTAAGTAAAACGCATGGTATAATGGAATTATTCTTTTTCTTCCATCTGTAGTAAACCATACTTGAAAGTCTGAAATACTTCCACTTGGTGGTTCGTATAACTTTGTAGGTTTTTCGTAAAAGTCATTTGCCAAGCATAAGAAAGAGTTTTGGGCGCCAGAAAATGAAGCATGAACAATAATAGCAGCTGGGTCGAAAACATTTTCATATGTTCCATTAGGGTTTTCGACTTCATAAAAGTCTGGGTGTACTGGATATGCTGCAGGCTGATTTAACATCCTCATAAATCTATACCATGCCAAGTTGTTATATTTTGTAGAAATATAAACGTTTTCTCCAAGGTCTTCTATTCTATTGATTTTAACAGTTGCATTTTTCCTGTCATAAATAATATCGAGATGGTATTCTCCCTCGTCAATGTTATACTGGTTTGCATATTCGATATAGATATTGTTTATTTTTTCTTGAAAAGCTTGAAGAGTTGTTTCTAAGTTTACAAGCAAACTAACTTGTAAAAGTTTTCCCTGTTCAAATTTCTCATACATACGTTTTTCTTTGTTATAGTATCGAACTTCAAAACCGACCGTAAATGGGAAACCATGTATGGCTTCTGAAATGAACTTCATTCTACGAAAGCCAATAGCTTTTGTGACAGATGGGTCTCTTAGCCATCTTAATGGGTAGTCAAAACGATAGCCTTCATGCTTTACGGTCTCTGTCTCAAACTTTTGACCGACATTAGTAAAAAGTTCATCTAATGGTTTAGTTGTAGCAACTCTTGAATTTTCTTTTTCTATTGGAAGCATATTTTATCTAGAATAAAAATGTCGAAAGATATTGCTTCCATGAGAGAAATACAACACAACCGACAACTCATTATGCAAGCTCTAAATAAGAACACAACAAACTTTTCAAACTATTCTAAGATATCTGAGTCATTGAAAGAAGGAAACTTAAAACTGACATTAAACCCAATGACAGATGAGTTTCTGTTTCAAGACAAGAAGAACAATACTGTCTGTATAAATCCAACAAAAGGAACTTTAAACGAGAAACCTATAAATGAACTTCTTTTGAAAGCAGATGTTGACAACAAAGCTGACAAAGAATATGTAGACGATGCAATAGCAAAAGAAGAAGAAAGAGCTAACAATGCTTATGCAACAAAAGAACATACTCATCCTGAACTAGCAGACAAAACATATGTTGACAATAAAATGTCAAGTGAAGTGACAAGAGCTGAAAACGAATATTCTAAAAAGACTCATACACATTCTATATCTGAAATAACAGACTTAAACGTTAGCCTTGAAAAGAAAGCGGATAAGGAATATGTGGCTAGTAAGTTAGAGAAGAAAGCGGATAAGGAATATGTGGATGAAAAAGATAATGAAATTATAGAAAGGGCTGAATGGTATCATGAATGGACATCGAAGATTTTAAAAACTAAAGCTGATACAGGATGGGTTTCAGGATGTTTAGACCTTAAAGCAGATAAAACTTATGTTAACGATGAGTTAGAGAAGAAAGCAGATAAAGAACATACACATAACTTCTTCTCAACTGTTGCTATAGAAAGTATTGAAGGAACGGTTGAAGGAACTGGTGGGGATGCATTATATTGTAAACCTCCTAACTTTCCACAAGGTTTAACATCGGATGACGACATAACGACGATGAGAAACATTAGATGTAAAGATGTTTATGTCATGAAGGATGAACATAATATTAAATTCACTGCTCAAGATTTATATGACAAGAAAGCAGACAAAACAGAGCTTCAAACATTAAAGACAGAAATACTTCAAACATTATATCCTATAGGCTCTATTTATACGTCAATGAACTCTACCAGACCAGAAACAGTTCTGGGTTTTGGAACTTGGACTCAAATAGTCGACAGGTTTTTGTATTGTGCAAACTCTTCAAAGGAAACAGGTGGAAGTAAAACGATTTCAGGTGAAAATTTACCTGCACACAGTCACTACATAGATTTAAGTACATCTCAAGCAGGTTGGCATAAGCATAGATATTGGGATTGGTCAGCAATGACAAAAGGTAAAGGATCAATAGCTCGGTTTAAAAGCATAGGGTTGCTTGACATTTGTTGCAACATAGTGGGGTCATTCATCATTTGTTGTTGCAAATGTTGTTTGGTGTCAGTTTTACTATTGGATGTTTCAATGCTCCCTTCCTCTTACGTATATTCTTACGTAGCTTACGTGGCATTTTAAGTGAAGTTAAAAAGCGGTTTTTGACAGATGTTTATATGACACTTTTTGTTCAGCACAAAAAACTACTCGGTCAAAGTGTTGTCAGTTTTGTAAAATAACCGTCCTATCTCATTCTATAAGGGGAAAAGGCTTCTCAAAGTATACTTCCTTGGAACGCCCGTAACTTTTCCTGTAGCGACGATAGACCCTTACTTGTCCGGACAAAGTTATACTAAACATCTTCAGGGCTAGAGGGCACGAAGTGCCTGGAGGCCCCACTCCCTTTTTTTTTTTTTATTTCCTTTTTCCTGAATTGTTTTCATTTGATCTGAAGATGCATTCAAAAAAGATGGCCTGTTAAGTGGATCATCCAGATCAAGTTTTTTGTCGCATTCAATTTGAGCCATTTTCGGATCACCCCCCTGTTTTATAAAATTAATAAGTACCCGACGATAGCATTGTGATAATGTGTGGTATTTCTTTGTCTCATCTTTGATTTGATTGTGATTATGTGTTCCATTATATTCTGTTAGGATATATTCTTCATCATCCTTTAGAAATGAGATACATGCTTCACATTTATCTGCACTGCACCTGAATTTTAATTTTGTTCCCCCTAAATTTGGATTTTTTTTTAATTGATATGGACAACCTGCATGGCATTCGTTATCAATGACAGCTTTCATAGCATCTATATAAGATAGCCTTTCTTTAAGTTCGCTGGATTGCATCGATATGCATCAAAAAAATGAAATGAAATTTCAATATCAAAAAAAGCACAAAATTTGAAAAAATTCACAAATCTCGGTTTCTGAAAGAAAATGGCCTCTTAAACTTTGTGCATATATTCATCTATAAGACACATTGTATCCATATATTATTTAGCCAACACAACTTATCTGGTATCGAGAAAATTCAAAAAAAGCACAAAATTTGAAAAAATTCACAAATCTCGGTTTCTGAAAGAAAATGGCCTCTTAAACTTTGTGCAATATTTCATCTATAAGACACATTGTATCCATATATTATTTAGCCAACAACTTATCTGGTATCGAGAAAATTCAAAAAAAGCACAAAATTTGAAAAAATTCACAAATCTCGGTTTCTGAAAGAAAATGGCCTCTTAAACTTTGTGCATATATTCATCTATAAGACACATTGTATCCATATATTATTTAGCCAACACAACTTATCTGGTATCGAGAAAATTCAAAAAAAGCACAAAATTTGAAAAAATTCACAAATCTCGGTTTCTGAAAGAAAATGGCCTCTTAAACTTTGTGCATATATTCATCTATAAGACACATTGTATCCATATATTATTTAGCCAACACAACTTATCTGGTATCGAGAAAATTCAAAAAAAGCACAAAATTTGAAAAAATTCACAAATCTCGGTTTCTGAAAGAAAATGGCCTCTTAAACTTTGTGCATATATTCATCTATAAGACACATTGTATCCATATATTATTTAGCCAACACAACTTATCTGGTATCGAGAAAATTCAAAAAAAGCACAAAATTTGAAAAAATTCACAAATCTCGGTTTCTGAAGAGTAGGTGACAAAAGTGCATACTCTTAAACAACCGTCGGATTTCCGGGTGAAATCGTGACACACTTTCGTCTTTCGTAGGCAGTGGTGGTTGTTACAAAAGGTAACTTCGAATGTAGCGTGAAATCTGCAAAAAAAATTCTGAAATTTGAATGGAGAACACAAAAATTGAATAGTTTACGTCAATAAAAAAGAGAAAAATGAAGCCAATGTGTCTCGAACCTAGGACTTAGAGCAGCAATCCCACTGTTTATCCCATTACACTACATGCATCTCTCACTTCAGTGAATGAGATCAACTATATGATAACTTTTTCCCCATTATATTCTTGTGGAAAAGTGACAAATAGCAACTTTGACCCTCTCTCGGTTTCTGAAAGAAAATGGCCTCTTAAACTTTGTGCATATATTCATCTATAAGACACATTGTATCCATATATTATTTAGCCAACACAACTTATCTGGTATCGAGAAAATTCAAAAAAAGCACAAAATTTGAAAATTGCTCGGTTCTACATTCAAAATAAATTTCATTAATTTTTACGTACATATTAAGGTACTTATCTTCTACATATATAATCTTCATTAGATAAATACATGATAAATAAAATTCATAAAACATTAAAAATCAAAAAATTAGATGAACCCTGGCAATTAAACTTTATTAAATAATAGTTGTTTATAAATTATATTATATTATCATTTAATATTATTTTGATAATGAAGATTTTATTTTGCAATAATATAAACGAAATTTTTTACCTTATGAACTTTTGATGGAAATATGCAAATTTAAAATAATAAAGAAAGCCGCGAGCGAAGCGATCGGCTTAGTTCGAAGATTTTGATTCAAATCTTTGCTGATCTGTAATTCGCGGAAGCCGCGAGCGAAGCGATCGGCTTAGGTCTAAGATTTTGATTCAAATCTTTGCTTATATTCCTTAAATTCTTTATGAAACTCGCAACAGTTCCATAAAAAATTTTAAATTCTAAACTGTCGAAATTACCGATCGGTAATCACACCCTTCACGGGTGTGTCACTTTTAGCTAAAATTACCCCTACTCGTTGTAAAACCGAAAAATACAAAATTAGATGTCTTTATCAAAATATAATTTAATTACAAGGTATTCTATTTTTGAATATTACGTTCCTTGAATTATTGTCACTTTTTATTACACAGAAACTCGCTAATGAATATTCCCGCCTTGAATCAGCGTTCAAACTCTGTTACCTTGAAAGCTGTACTTCTTGGTGAAAGCAAAGTCGGAAAAACTTCACTTTGCTCACGCTATGTTAGTGGCGACTGGGATTCTAACACAGCAGCAACAATATCTGCTTCTTGCTTCAACAAAGATCTCACAGTCGATGACTCAAAAGTGAAATTTTACATATGGGATACAGCTGGGCAAGAACAGTTCCGCTCAATCTCTCCTATTTATTACAGATCTGCCCATGTCGCAATTATTGTTTTTGATTTGACAGCAATTCCAACAATAGACGTTGCAAACTTTTGGGTAAACGAACTTAGAAACAATGGGCCAGCAGGAATTCCTTTAATTGCAATCGGAAATAAATCTGACCTTAGAATGCTTCGAATGATACAAAATGCTGATGCTAGGGCATTCGCTGATAACATAGGCGCTTTGTACTTTGAATGCTCAGCTCTTTCTGGCGATAATGTCGATGAAGCTTTTGCTGCAGCTGCAGCTGCAGGTTTAGAGTTCTTCCGCTCTCAGAAAGAGGTCCAAACACAAATTGGACAAGCACAAGTAGTCCACCCACAGGCTAGCGACAATAAACCACAACAATCCGGATGTTCTTGTTAAATTTTGATAGAAAAGATATTCTTTTATTTGTAATACTCATATTTATAAAAACATACTATCGTACGAGTGTAAAAGTTGTTTAAATATTTCAATTTTACAATTTTACAATTTTTTTTAATTAATTAACTTTTTTCTTATCATAATTATATATACAAATCAATTCAAATACGATCAAATATCCTTGTAATTCAGTTGCAACAGAAGTTGTAATTAATTGTAAAACATATCCATCATAATAAGGCCTAAAAAAGGATTTCTATCAAAACAATGAATCATTAAGCTAACTAATACTCATAAGTAAATTAAAATAATCTACTGAACTGTTAAGCGGATTTTCCATGGCTCAAGAAATTGATTAAAAGTATTAAAGTAATTAAATGATTGAAGATGCTCTTGATTAATCTGCACCTTTTGGAAAGGCCTTTCAATTGTGAAATTACATGAAATTATTATACTATCAAAAATAATGGATGACTAAAGAATTGGATTTATATAAAATTTTTTGTCACTTTTCATAAATCATTTATGTACATTCCTTATTATGCAGATCTTATGTCTATGAATCAAGATTACAACGATACATTTATGTCTATTTACAGATTACACACATCCGATGAACATGAAATCGACATTATTTTTGAAAAGATCAAACGAAATTTAGTTGAACCCAAAATATTTTCACCGACAGATATTATGGCGACCATTTCAAACATATCTAAATACAATAACCGCTATTACAAGTCATATTATTCTTTATTTAAAAAACTTTATGAAGAATATCGTCCAACAAAAGTCCCCGACATAACTTTTGCATTCGATTACTTTGCATATAAAGACTATGGTGTTATTCTTGAAAAATATAAAGATTTGAATACAGATTTCAAGTGGTTTGAAAGTGATCAAGTCAGTTTAGATATTCATGAAGACAACACTATTTACCGATCAATCATTAATGACGACGTTGACTCACTTATCACATTCACACGTAAATTTTGGTTTAATTCTAAACAACTATTATCTAGTGACTTTTATCCAACATCACCTTTATCACTTCTTGAAATTTGCTGCAACTACGGCTCAATTCGTTGTTTTACATTTCTTCGCACTAAATTCAAATCATAAATCACCATGAAATGTCTTAAACTATCTATTTTGAGTGGCAATTCAGACATTATCTCTGAATGCTTAAAATTTCAAAAGCCAAATTTAGGATGCATGTATTATGCTATTATTTCACACCATCTCGACATCGTTATCCTTCTTTATAATGAATATCATTTACCGATTGATTTAGAAGATTGTTGTCGATATCATAATCTTCCTGCATTTTTATATTATCTTGATCAAACTCGTGACATTGACTTATGTTTTGTTATTTCACCACATTTATACTTAAATGGTGCTCGTATTGATGCTACTCAAAATTTACGTACTACTGCTCTTCACAATGCATGCTCAGAGAAGTTACTTGAATTAGTCTCATTTCTTATTCTTCATGGTGCTGATGTCAATTGCAGAGATTATACATACCTTACTCCTCTTCATTATGCAGCCATGAATAACGATATTGATATGGAAAACTTTCTTCTTTCTCATGGTGCCGATCCAGAACTTTGGGATGATAGAGGGCTGTTGTATAAGCACTATCATCGTTCAGAACGACAAGAAGAAACCAATTTAGAAGAAGACTCTATTTCAGAAATTCAAAAAAATGGATTTTTTCTTTTCATTCTTAACTAGTTTTCTTTATTATTTAATTTCGTGAATATACATTCAAACATATTATATTTATATTTACTTTATATTTTCTATCCAGATAAACTTACATAAGATACAAGATAATCATTTCTCGGCATCTCGGGAAAAATAAGATAAAATTTATAATGGAAGCATTTTAAAACAATACTGATTCACTGAGTACCAGATTTTTATTAAAAAACTAATCTTTATTCATTATAACAACCGAAAACAAAAGAAATAAGGCATAACTATGGAACATTGAGGCACAAATAATCGTTTTACATATATTATATAATGGAAATCTGCCATAATAAGTTATTCTTCAGATATTCC